AAGGTCTGCTCAATCTTGCCAATCCTGCTCATGGCGCCACTTTTTGAACGGTTAAAACAAATGAGCGTCACTGTGCGTGTTGTTACTGCACAGAGCGTCGGCAAGCAAAACAAAGCGGTTGTTTCTGAAGGGAACTGCGAGTTTAGGTGGGAAATTCAAGTGAAAATCAAGCAAAGTGTCTGCAGAGATGTTATCTCAACGTAAGTAATCATAAACCCGCTCGTAATTTTAAGTTAAATCATGGATTTTTGGCAGAAATCAAATTGGAAAGGAGCTGCAGCGTGTGATTGAAGTAATTGAAAAGAGAAAATGAGGGAGCCTTTAGCGTGTGTTTAATACCAAACAGGTATGAAAAATTAAGAATATAATTATATCTTGTTCATCTAAATATGTATATCCAATTTTAAGACGCATTTCTGGCTGGATCTGAGTGAATCTAATTGTAAGGTAGCCATTGGCTTTAGGAAATTTCCGGGGAACATAATAATGTGGCAGCCTTTCCACTTTCACACAGATAAGTAAAAATCTCACGTTTTTTTCTGCAGGAATGATATTTTAAATTGGATTTCAATAAAATTATTCTTCAACATCCAAACTTGTTTAAGTTATATATGTATTATCATTAGACCTGAACCTGTTTCCCGTTTTTCCAGTTAATAAACTTAAAAAAATATATATTAAATATAAATATTTTTGTCACCGCCAAAATTGAAATCATTTTAAAAATGTTTTGTCCCTATTATTCTTTATTTTAATCGTTGAAATAAAACTTGCGGATTCACCTATAGAAAAGTAAAAGCATGTTTGCCAATACTTAAGAATATTGCTTTTTACAATAAATAAATATGTTTCCCCCCCTTAAATATATTTGCATTTAAATCGTAATTGCTTTGAAATAATTTAAATGTAATAAGTTGTTCATAGTTTATGTAACCCAGCATAAGATATAAATTGTTATGTTGGTTAAAATAATTTTAATTCATTCTTTGAAATCTTTGAATGCATTTATTAATTACGTTTTGGATTTTAGTAGTGTTTAAAAATATTTTTTTGCACCAATGTGTGCGCAGATGTTAAAAAGATAAATAAGAGCAACGATCAACAATATTTTTTTGTCTTTAAAGTTGAATAAAAAAATAATAAAATTTAATACAGTCTAACCTAAAGACGTGAATCAAGTTAAAAGTTATGCATATTGATAGAGAAATGTGTATGAAAAAATATTCTTATCAAAAGTTTATAACTCTTAGATAGAATAAATAATTTAAGTTAGAAAAAAAAGAGAAGCATCGTTTTTTAATGTCATGTGAGCAAAGAAAGCAAGAACGAGCAGACTTCAAGCTAAGGATTTCATTTGCGAGCTGAAAAAGCAAGATTGAGCAAAGTTTTGAGCAGGAAGAGCAAGAATGAGCAGCCCTACGAGCAATGGCATGGGGTTTGAAAGTCACGAGCAGAAAAAGCAGGATCGAGCAGAGCACGAGCAACGTGGTTTTAAAGTCGCGAGCAGAGAAAGCAAAAACGAGCAGAGGTTTGGGCAGGGAGAGCAAGAATGAGCAGGGGTAGCTTCACTTGTTTTGCGAGCAGAGCTTGCTGCATTTGTTTGAAATATAGGCAGGAATGGAGCAGGACAAGAATGAGCAAGGCCTGCTCACACTTTCCAGCTTGCTCAAAACTTTTGCCTGGGCAACACACAGGCACATTGTACTCCACGGGCGAGTGGAGTACACTTACTCGTTCTCCAGCTTTTGTATGCTATGCGACTATTAGCTGTTACTGCAATTTTCTCGCGGTGAACAAAAATCTCGGCAGGGTGTCGACGCAGTGCGAACAAATGAATTTCAAAATTCCTTCCGAGGGAATCCGCAAAAAGCGATATTAGCGAACAATTGAATTCAAACTCCAAAGGACGAGATTATTTGTTCTGATGCTGCGGCCAAACTTTAGCTTTTGTGTGTTCCTGAGTCTCTTACAAATATCTTTATGAATGGCGACGAGCACGTTAGCGCGCGGTATTCAATTGCTTTTTGCTACTATAGAAACGGTTGCGTATGTGAAATATGGCCTGTTTTTTGTCTTTGGTACACAAATAAAATATTAAAAACGTTATCAGTTTGATCGGCACTAAATGCCTTCTTGCTCCATTAAAGTGCATGCACACATTTTGTTTCATTGAGATCCTTTGAGCAAATTCTAAAACAGAATAATAACTCATGGTAAAAATCGCTGGAAAAATATTTTCAAATTATGTTCCACTCCACCTTTAATGGGTTGTTGGTGCTTTTAAACTCGTTACCAAAACTTTTGCACTCTGCTTATTCCATTCCGACAAATATCGGCGTTGATGGATTTTTTAACTTTCGGGTTAAATCCATTAGGCTAGAAAAGTTGGCGGGAGATGTGTTACACAACAAAAGAGGAAACTCGTGAATTTTTTTGCTCATTTTTCATATTTGAGACGAGGCGAGAGCCTTTTGCATTGTGCGAGGGTGAATAAAATAGAAGGGATATGAATTTTTAGGCAAGGAAAAACGTCAGCGAGCATTTCTCTTTGACGTCCAAAATGTGCCCACGATGAAGTCGGAAATGAAAAAGAATTCATTTCCGCGTCCAATATATTTTCCCTCTTTTTATTAGAATTTTTAGGGAATAATCATAGTCTGACAATGTGTGTAGAATGGACAAATATTTTAAGCCAACGCAGACACCGTACCAGAAAAGCAGAAAGCTCGGCACATTGGAAATTTATCTTCGGCTGTTGTGCCATGTATGTTTATACGCACGTGCAAGGGTTTAACAAAGGCTTTCAATGCGATAGAGAATGAGAGACCGCTGGCTGCAATCTGCCTTTGTTTGAAAATGGACTTTAGGAGGGGAATACATTTAAACGGCCAATGCTGATTCTGATCACGAATCACGATCTTGTAAAATATAAAGACAGACCTCTTTTTACTAAATCTGCATTGCTTATCTGTATAATTGTTTTTGGAGTGTCTTGCCAAGGAGCAGAAGAAAAAAATAGCAACACGTAAAGTTTATCAATAATTTTTTCCCCAATAAAAGGTTACAATTTATTTTTAATACTATGTTTAATGTCCAGCCCCGCCAAACCATGAAACTCATATTTTAAATTAGTCTCTCTCAATGCCTGCTAATTCTGATTGTAATTTTATTACCAACCGGCAGCAAAAATTTAAAACTATTTCAGTCTGGGCTGCCTGAGTCTAAAAGCTCCTCTCATTAAATTTCCTAACTGAAAATCCTCTCTTTGTCATACAAAAGAGCTCCTTTTTGTTAAAAAAAAATCTAGTTCGTGCTCTGTTGAATGCATAGAGGAAATTTTTCCATTTGCCGGTGCTTTAATTCAGCTTGCAGCTGGGCAGCTCGTCCGCGTTAATTATGGTGGACTAGCTGCTAGGGCGACACACTAATGGAGCTCGCAACAGACTCGCTTTTGGCTCGGCCGCTTCAATTACTCACCGTGTTACGAAGGCAGGCTTTCCAACTTGGAGAGCACTGCTCATTAATGCAATAGCAGTCAATCGGCATTCCGAAGCCCATAGGACGCTGAGCCAATTAGATTTCCGAGTCTATTGAGTATTGGAAATTGCGGACTGCCACATTATTATGCAATTCCTTGCCGTTAAGTAATTACATCTGCAGTGCACCCAATGCTGTGAGATTTCTTTTCAAAAGTGAGACAATGAGTCTGGAATTAACTTGAGAGGATAATCAAGTACTTTGGAAGATTAAAGTTAAATCAAAACCTGTAACCAAAATTCAATTAAGATTCAATTAGAAACAAATTTTTTACTTTGATATTCTTTTTTTTTCAATAAGCATTAAGAAATTTATAGCTGAATTTTTGCTCTTATTATAATATTGGAATATAATTTTTTTCTAACTAGAAAATAAGTAAAAACTACTAAGGGACTTTTTTAATAATACTGCAAGAATCAAAAGAAAATTGTTGACGATAGTAAAAGGTTAAAATCATCAACCAGATATTGTGTGAATTTCCTGACATTTCCATTCATTACATTTCTGCTGCTGACCCATGACCACAAAATAATATATACATGTTTATTTAAACTCTTCACTCTTCAAACATGGAAGCTTTAAAAACATTTTGGAAGAAAATATTTGCTGCTGTCAAATATTATTTCGCGCGCACGCACGCATTATTTTCCGCAAAAATTCACAAGCGAATAAAAAACGCGTGCAGAATTCCAAAACCAGGCCGGATGAGGGAGCACAGAGAGACGAACGAGCGAGTTGCCACTGCCGGCGGATCGAGAGCGCCTGCAGTGCTGCGTGTATGCTTTTTGTTACGCATCCCCGTCACGCGAGTTGCATAACCAAACATCCGACGAATCCAATCCAACCTCGGGCCCTTTATTTTATTCAGTATTAAAAAAAAAATCGGCAGGTGGTTTTCATTTTACAATCAAACGCCGTTAATCGTGATAACGGTGACAGCTGATTTGATTTGCAAAAATTAATTAAGCAGAAATATCCACGCACTGATTAACAAAAAGTAAAATTGTGTAGCCTCTACTAGCCTGCAGGGATCGAGCAGGATAAATGATCCGTCACAAAAGTGGTCTCTCTAGGTGCCGAGGGCAAGGCATGTAGTAATTCCTCTTCTCGGCGGGATTGTTTCGTACTCGTCAGTTGATTGTGAATTCACAATAGCGACGCGACACGACTCCTACAAGGGACTGTGTATTTGCTTTTTGTTGAGCTAACACGTAATTTGAGCAGAACTTCGGCCCACCAGAGTAACGTGATACATCTGTGGGTGAATATAATGAGACTCTCCGACTGTGTAACTTAACAGGTTAATTGCATTACATGCTAATTAATTTATAATCTAATTGAGGAACGGCTCTGTGTATAATTTAGCCAATCTCGCGTTTTGAATATATATCACCTGAACTTATTATATCAATTTTCTTTCATGAAAACCTTATTTTATAGAGAATAAAAAAAAATGCTTTGATTCCAAAATAATGGATGCTTTCTATTCCTAATTTATTTCCCATTCATACATCCTTTCCGCACCTATGTAACAAAATATCAGAGAGCTTTATTAACATGATTATTGTGCAAGTAAAATAATCCTCTAGTTCATATATTGTAATAGAATATTAATTATTATATAAAAAAGATCAACTATGATCAGGACAGAAAAACAATGTTGTTCACATTCTGACCATTTACACGTCACTTGCAACAAATAATAAAATAATCTGGGTTTGAATGATTCTTTTTTTCATCCGAATGGAATGTCAGCCAGGACTTTGAGATTGATCCGAGTTTAGGGCAACAGCGTCGACGGCTAAGTAATTCTCGCCCGGAGCTGACACCAGCAACGGACAAGTCTCTCTATGTCACATGTCTTCGATCTCGATTCCGTTGACAACCGAACTCTGTGATGGTCAGAACTTGAGGTCTTTGATGGCCTGCGGCAGGTCAGGCAACTTGATGTCCTTGATTTGCTGCGAGAGGTTCATGTTTTTCACTGCCGACACGGCCCTTGCTGGGGCTGCCGTGATGCCAGCCTGCAACGAAACAAGTGATGAGCGCTGAAATTGAAGTGTCGAAACAAAAAAGGTTATTTTGAGATGCTTGGCTATGCAGGTGAATGACCAGTTAAGGCTATTGAGGAGGGTTATATCAGATAATTTGTAATCAACTCTGATTTCCGCCATTTTATTTTGATTTGCATGCAAAAGTTAGTTACCAGTAAGTTACTTCGAAGCAAATAATTAATAAAAAATCAAATAGATTGAAATCATGTAGGCTGATTATTATTATTTTTAGAAATTCAAATTAAAACGAAATAAATTTTTGAAATAAATTCTCAATTTATCTTGTGTTATATTAAATATTATTTAAACTTAAAATGGACATGTGTTTCTTAAAAAATAGTTTAGTTTTAGTAAATTTGTGCATGATAGTGATTTTTAAGCATTATGGTGTTTTAGGCTTTTATCTACAAATTCTATTCTCTAGTTTAAAATTTTTGCGTGATCTCAACCAAATCCATCGACAGCTCTACTCTAGACACACATATTAATCCAGACTGAAGCAAAGCTTTCAGTGGCCGAACCTGTTTATTCAAGTGAAGAAGAAGAAATTAGACCCTAGACTGTGCGGGGTAGGGGTGGAGGGATTGGAAGAAGGAGCTCGAAACGACATCAGCCTATTATGCTGCAAGCCCAACATTAACTACACTCTCATTCTCAATTATTAAAAATCCCACGTATTATGAAGATGAAAAAGCTTTTGAATTTTGATGGAACCTGTCTCACCTCCTGCTTTTCCAGTTTGCTCTGCTCCTCCACTCGGGTGAGAATCTCCGACATGTTCGTCTCCAGCACCATTCCACCCATGACCAGTTCATTCAAGATGTAGTGCACCTAAATCAGTTTTTATTTTCATTTCATATTAATTAATTTCTTTTCTTTCCGTTTCTACCTTATCAACGTGGAAAATAAGATCCAGTTCACACACATTTTCAAAGCATTTGTCCAAAGTTTCAACAAAAACCTGAATGAGATCGAGAATTCCAAGCTCTGATTCAGAAGAATCAACGCAGAAAACAAAGTAAAGAGTCGCGTAGTGTCGGTAAATCAGTTTATAATCAGATCCTCCAATCAGACTAGAAGAATTGAAATTGGTTGTCAGTACACTGAGTACATACACACGTATTTTTAATTAAAAATATATTTATTAGATTTACCTTCCACCCTCCAGAAAATTGCACACATTGTCTTCCCTCTTTGAAACAAGCTGAAATGTTTCTTTGATAATCTGCTGCTGCATGTCTTCGTTCTAAAATTCGCAGAAACAAAATTATGCATATCGTCGGCTACGCGGCCAAATGGCCGATCTGGTAAATACCCCTGTGGGGAAAATGGCTAGTGGCCACTTTCCCCGTTGGGGAAAATGGCAGATGAGCATTTCCGGACAAATTTTTTTTATTGTTCCAATGCATTCAGTGTACAAATCTGCATCAGAAATAACCATAAAAGTATCAACTTTCTCAGTAGATGTCTCACTATCGCGAGTTAGGGGAGCAAAAGTAAGGCAGTGCCACGCCCCCTATACCAAGATCCACAGCATTCCCGCTTGCTGAATAATGCCAAAATTGTTTTAAATGCAATAAATGTTAAAAATAATGAAAATATCGAAAATAAAAAAAATATAAAAATAAAATTTTAATAAATTTAATAAAATACCTAACATAAATTAAGAAGTAAAATATCAGAATAAGCTGTAGTTTCGTCAATATTGTATTCCAAAGTGACAGCTTTTTCATGCATTTTGCATGATAATGCAAAAAATTCTTTAAAATAGATATAATTTTAAAATCAAATAGATAGTAAAATATAGATTTTATTATTAAAATATTTAACATGCAACCAGAAGCTTAATGTTGTATCCGAGCTAGATTTTACTTTACTAATTATTGCAATTTATAGTAAGTATTAGTAAAACTATTCATGAGATTATAATTAGAAGTGACGCCGGGTCATGTGAAATAAGAAAAAAATGCTTTTAATGCCAAAATTGTTTACTATTGTTCAAATAAAAGAATAAAATTTAAATTAATTGAAATAAAATAAAATAATAAAAATATTGTAAAATACGATGAATTAATATAAAATAAAATATTATTATCAAGTTAAATTGAACAAAGAAAAGCAGGAAATAATTGCATAAGTGGTTTGATTTCGATTGTATTGTACGTTTTACTCTTTCAGTGTGGAATTAATTCCCTTTAAATTTCTTACAACAGTGGTATATTAAGGTTTAAAAGAAAATTAAGTCTACCAAATTATCTGCAATAACATGCTGAACTTTGGTTCAAATTTTGAAATCTGAACATAGAAAATTAGAGCAGATAATCAGTTTTTTGCTTCTCCTGTAAAATTTAAAAAAAGGCTCATCTGCCATTTTCCCCAACGGGGAAAGTGGCCACTAGCCATTTTCCCCACAGGGGTAATTACCAGATCGGCCATTTGGCCGCGTAGCCGACGATATACATACATATGACTTTGTGTTGAATGAATGAGTTTTTGAGATTTGCTTACAAAGTACTGGTAAAACTTCGAAAGTCTCGGCTTTCCATGGTTGTTGAAAACCAAAATCGCTTTTATCATTATAAAGTTGCAAACGGAAAGAAAAATCAGTCAAATTTCATAGGGATTTGCAAAAGAAAAGGGTAAATTAGTTGCTGCCTCTTCGCTAGTTGTTGTGGTGCTCCAAATCCTAGTGCGCCACGCCCCTTTCATTCAGCTGGGGGTGATCAATGCGAGTTTCCGAGTTCGGCCGCCAGAGCATCACGTGAGGAAATTGATGGTGGTGTAGGTTCGCTCAAACTGCAAATTTCGGGTAAATATATCGCCATATCGGCCCAAGCGTCTCTTTAATTTAATTTCCAACGCTCAAACTCCTTCTTAATAATATTTCCCGCCTAATTACGCAACCTTGGTCCCAATTCCCTTCACTGTTTTTGGTAGAATTGCGGATAACTGCAAGTTCACCAAAACTCCAGCTGATTTTGGCATACCATATTGTATGAAATTTTCAGCCCGAAACATGAGCGAGTACTGGCTGATTTCGGCCCCTGGCGAAAAAACGTGCCAGCAGACGTGGGAGACGTTGAACAACGTCACCAGCAAGCAGAACAACCTTTCCGTCAACTACAAATTCCACATCCCCGACCTGAAGGTACGCCCCACTTCAGAAAAACTCGATTGAAAATTTGTTCAATATTTTTCTTTCCCTTCAGGTTGGCACTTTAGATCAGCTGGTGGGTCTCTCGGATGACCTGGGAAAGCTGGACAGCTTTGTGGACTCTGTGACCAAAAAGGTGGCCTCGTACTTAGGAGAGGTCCTTGAAGACCAGAGGGACAAACTGAACGAAAATCTGCTCGCCAACAACAGTGCGTTGCATGAAATTAATTAATGACAGTCAAATGAATTTTAACTCTATCCAGGTGACCTTGCAAGCTACATCACTCGCTTCCAATGGGACTTGGCAAAGTACCCCATCAAGCAATCTTTGAGGAATATTGCAGACATTATCAGCAAACAAGTGGGTCAGATCGACAACGACCTCAAGAGCAAGTCCACCGCCTACAACAATCTCAAGGGCAACCTGCAGAATTTGGAAAAGAAGCAAACGTAAAATTTTCAATAGTTATTTTAATTTTCACTCATAGATTTTGAAAAATTTAGTGGCAGCTTATTGACTCGCAACTTGGCCGACCTCGTGAAGAAGGACGACTTTATTTTGGATTCAGAATATCTCACCACTTTACTCGTTGTCATCCCAAAGTAATTATTTGACAAATGAATAATTTTTTGTCTAAAAAAAAGGTTAATAAATTCAGGGTTTCTTACAACGACTGGAATACCAATTATGAGAAGTTGACGGACATGATTGTGCCCCGGTCCAGTCGGAAGATCACCGAGGATGCCGAGTTTGGCCTCTTCAACGTCACCCTTTTCAAAAAGGTTGCTGAGGAGTTCAAGATCCACGCAAGAGAAAAGAAGTTTGTTGTTCGTGAGTTTGTCTACAACGAGGAAATTCTGGCTGCTGGCAAGAACGAGATCACCAAGTTGGTGACTGATAAGAAGAAGCAATTTGTAAGTCATCGATCTTAACCTTTCAGACCAGATCTACATAATTTTAAATTTCAAAGGGTCCCCTTGTGCGCTGGTTGAAAGTCAACTTCAGCGAGTGCTTCTGTGCCTGGATCCATGTGAAGGCGCTGAGGGTGTTCATTGAGTCAGTCCTCCGCTATGGTCTGCCTGTCAATTTCCAAGCAATGCTGCTCCACCCTCACAAAAAGTCCCAGAAACGGTTGAGGGACGTCCTGAACCAGCTGTACGGCCACCTCGACAGCAGTGCCCTCCAAGGATCCGGGAAGGGTGAAGTAAGTTTTTTATTATAGTAAAATGGAATATTTAAAAAAAAAAAAATGTTTTTTCAGACCGTTGATATTCCTGGGCTTGGTTTTGGACAGGCCGACTACTTCCCTTATGTGTACTACAAAATCAATATCGACATGGTGGACCAGAAGCCTATTTAATATAATCACCCGTTCAAGATACGTTCCAGTATTCTAGTGGCGATTTTTTTCTCAAACAAACCATTCCAGAATTCTGTCGAACAAATGTTTTTGGGCCATCAAACTTCTGATTTAATTTTTTTTCCGCCAACTAGGAGGACAGTATTCAATCAAGTCTTGATAAATTACATTATGGTTGTTGTTAAATTGTACATAAATTTTTGATTATGTGGCCGTATATTCTGAACAAATTAAAGCGTTGAAAGGGTGTAGTGTGCCATAGACCTAGGCAGAATATTGTTATCATGAAGCTAGAAGATTTTGTTCATATGTAAAAACTTATACTAACTGTAACTTAAGATGAATAACGTTGATGTAAAAATGTAAAATTTTGTTCAGAGAATCATAAATGTTATAAAACTGTGCAGCACAAATTATTCAACTGCTGGCAATATAGTGTTCTTGCATGTTTGATTAAAAAAATGAAGCATTCCTTGTTTTTAAACAAAATTATTTTACAGTCCAAATGTGAATAAGAAGTCAAATTGTATGAATTTTAAGAGGAAATGTTTACGCATGTTGAAAGTCTCATCAGCTACTTGCAGTGCAGGAGACAGAAAAATTATAAAAAATCACCATAAAAAAATATAATCTGTTGGAACAAATTATGTGATATTAGCTCATCCAAATTTTTAGGATTTATCTTTGTTCTGCACTTGTTAGAACTGAAATTGCAAATAATACTTGGAACGCAATCTGCAATAGTCAGCCCTTTGTTCATCTCACCATATCCTCTGGCTCTTGTTATAAACACATCAATAAACATCATGTGGAGCAATGCCATTGTTTTACTTATTTTTCTCGGTTATTGAAACAAACAATTTATTTGCCCAATAGTAAATTATTATTTAATGGCACTTGTTTGCATTACGCAGGAATGTTGGTAACAATATTGTTTGATTTTGTGCTGATGAGTTTAAAAATCTCTCATACAAAAATAATGTTTTCTAAACACCACCACCTGGGGTTGAGATTGAGACACTTAGTGATCTTCGAAACCTGGCATTGGGAATTTGGAAGCAAATTCATTCACCTCAGCCTTCAGCAATTCCATTTTCTTGATGGTGGCTGCATCGCTGTCCAAGAAATCTTTGAAGTCTTTCACTTTAGGTCCTGCAAATAGAAGTAAATTTATAACAGCAACTTTTTTTAAATTAAATATATTTCCAGGTCCCAATTTGGTAATAAATTGTAAATATTGATTAAAGATAAAAATAAGGCTCACCGCAAACAGCCTTGACCTCGGTAGCAATTTTGACAGCCCGGTCAAGCAGAGCAACAACAGTTTCAAAATCTTTCTCAGTAAAATTTCTTGACGTCAAAGCCGGAGCGCCTAAAATTTTCAATTGCGTAATTTTTTAAAATACTAATAACTTTAAAAAGTACCAAGTCTCAGTCCTCCAGGGGTCAGTGCACTCTTATCTCCAGGGCAAGTGTTCTTGTTGACAGTGAGGCTTACCCTGTTGCACACAGCCTCGGCCCTAGCTCCGTCAAGGCCAAGAGGGCGCAAATCCCACAGAAGGAGGTGGTTGTCAGTGCCTCCTGAGACCAGTGTGTGACCTTTGGCCAAAAGGGCAGCAGCCATGGCCTTTGCGTTTTTCAGCACTTGCTGCTGGTACTCTTTGAATTCCGGTGACAGGGCCTAAAAAAAATTATATTATATTACAACATGAGATTTTAATTCTTTGGATTATTAAAAGTTACCTGTTTAAGAGCAACAGCGACTGCTCCGATGGCGTGGTTGTGAGGACCGCCCTGGAGAGAGGGGAATACAGCCGAGTTGACTCGAGTTTCCAGGTCGTAGATAATAGGCTTTCCGGCTTTGTCGACGCCTCTCTCGCCACGACGGAAGAAGATCATTCCTGATCTGAATATTTGGGTGAAAAATTATTTAAAACAGATTTAAGAGACAAAATTTATTTTTAAATTTTCAATGAAAATAATTTTACTAATTCCTGCTATGGGTACAAATTACGGAATTTTTTCTTCTAAGTTTTCAAAATTATTAATAAAAAAATGTTTTGTTTATCTTGAGTAACTTGAATAATATTCCAAATGAGTTCATTTAATCTAAATTAATTTTAAATTCAATTTCAACAGTGATAACTTCAATGAAAAATTCACCTTGCACCGCGAAGAGTCTTATGAGTGGTTGTTGTGACAATGTCAGAATACTCGAATGGCGATGGAATGACACCGGCAGCAACCAGTCCGGAAATGTGAGCCATGTCACTCAACAAATAGGCTTGAACTTCGTCACAAATCTGCACAAATATTCAGCAAATGCAGCAATAAATTTAAAAAATTTGACTACCTCTCTGAATTTCTTGTAGTCTAGCAGTCTTGAGTATGCAGACGTTCCGGCAATGATGACCTTTGGCTTGAAAAGAATGGCAGATTTACGCAAGGCTTCATAGTCGATCAACCCAGTGGAAGGGTCCAATTTGTAGGGCATCGACTCAAAGTAAACCGACGTTGCAGACACACGCTTGTCGGCCGTCATAAATCCATGAGTCAAGCTTTGATTTTTTTTTCAAATAAAATTTTTAATTCCAATTTATAAAATTAATTACTGTCCGCCATCGGAAAGATCAAGACCCATGATGCGGTCGTGGGGCTTGAGCACCGCAGTGTAGGCTGCGAAATTCGCAGGTGACCCGGAGTAGGGTTGGACGTTGACACCCCACTTGGCCGGGTCAAGGTTGAAGGCATCCAGGGCACGCTTCTGGCACAAGAGCTCAATCTTGTCGATGACCTCCGTTCCTCCATAATATCTAAAAAATAAAAGAAAAATAAATCAAGTTAATTGAAAAAGGAAGATTGAAGTCACCTTTGGCCAGGGTATCCTTCAGAGTATTTGTTGTTAAGGCACGAGCCAAGCACCTCTAAGGCAGCTTTACTGCAGAAATTCTGCAAATAATAAGGAAAAGAGTAAGAATACATCTTGTCCAATTTGCAATAAAAAGGAACAGGTTTCCTGAGGTAATAAAAAAATATTAATAAATAAACAGTGGGATGAGCGCCTGACGCAGATTGTTTTTATCGTCAACTGCACTTTTGCCACAAGGTCAAACTAGTGTCAAGTAAATTTCCACACCGGCATTAGCCAACATGATGCTGTACTCATTTAAATAAGTACTGAATAATTAGTTTTAAATGGAATTAGTTTTTTTAATCAAAAATTGGCAAGTTCAAAGTACAAAGATAAATTATTGTCTAATTCTCTCATCTCTCTCATTGATTAATTTTTTTTTAAAGTTTCAACAACAAAATTAAATTTAAAAAATTACTGCGCTTGGAAAAAAATTAAAAAGTTACATAATAATCAGGTGAAAAATTTTTAAAGATGAATTAAATTTTCAATTCTTTCCAATGGGCACTTTAAATTCCACATTTCTTTCAAATTACTTAAACATGGTAATTATTTTTGACAAAAAAAATCTGTTTGAGAGAAAACAATTAAAGATACCTCGGAAGCAATCAGCTCCAAACCAGTAACCTGGCGGCGTTTCTCTTCGTTGACCAACTTGTACATTTCAGGGTCATCATCTTTAAGAGCCTCATTGCCGGTCCAGGCAGATGCAGGTCGAGCCTGGGAAAATTGCGACGCAAAATTAGGCACCAAATAAGATGTGTAGCGGTCGAGATAATTTCGTAGCTCTCTCGTCAAACCCGAGAGGCGAATTTTAGGAGCTGAATTTTTAATCAAACTCACCGCCATGGTGACAGGAGCAACTTGCTTCAACACTCGCTGAAAAATACGAATCATAAATACGATGTTGAGTAAATCCGATTTACAGGCGATTTTTAATCCGATTCAGATCGGATGGGAGAGAGAGAAGAGCCGCACAGAGATAAAGCACCAAAGCCAACCCCGCCGCCGCATGTATGTGAAATGTTTTTCAAATTAACCTTTGACCTCGAAAGGACAGTCCACTTCGCAGTGACGTCACGGAACAATAAGCGGAGCAGCACTGTGATCAATCGTTGCGGTCCGACAGATCGAGATTTCTTCTTCAGCAGCAGCGAAACAAATTATTATCGCACTTCTTCTTCGGAGAAAAGCGGCAAGCGAACAGCGGGCAGTAGGCAACCGGACAAACACCACACTCTGGAGGGAGCGAACCATGTGATTTTTCAACTTGTGGAGGGAGAACGGCATGTGGGGGGAGCACCCCGTTGTGAGTGAATATTATTCTGTGAAAGAGAACAAAAAAGTACGTTTAATTTGTTGTTATTAAATTTTCACTTAAAATTGAAAATTGTACTGACACCGAAAATTTATCACAAAAAACTAAAACAAAGACGATGATTTACAAAATAAAATATTTTAATTTTCAAATCGGGTATTAATTAGGAACAACTAAGTCTCATTTTTCTTAAATTATGGAAATAAAGTGTGCAGTATTCATTGTAAGTAGTGTCAATCTGTTTAATTTAATATATCCACATGCGAAAATAAAAAAGTATGTAGTAAATAGTAAAATTTTACATAGGAAATAATTATCAATCTCTCTATTTACTTTACAAATACGAAAAAGTGAAAAATGGATATAATATTACACACAAAAACTCATCAAACTAAAAAGTTTTTGTTGTAGCTCTCAATATTTTAATTATTTTGTGTTTCGTCCGGTTTTGTCTACAATTATTAGTTGCCTATGCTAGTAAGAGAAATTTCTCAAAATAGTATACTTTCTTCCACCACGATTAAAAAACCTAAAATTAAGATTTAAGATTTTGGAGTTTCTGATTAATAAACACTAACAATCAAAACTTTCCTTTCTCATAGAATCTTTTTTGCCATTTTATTATTTGAAATAAATTACTGCAAATAAAAGGAAGGACTATAATAAGTCACGCAAAAATTATAATATTCTTTATTTTACACAAAAAAGCGTACACTCTTCTGTATGTACATATTATTTTAAAAATTGAAAATAAATTATTCATATTTTTTTACTTTGGCCAGCTCTCAGATATAAGATTTAAAATTTATAAAGGATTTTTATCAATTAAAATTAAATATTTTATATTTTCAATTTAATTATTAATTTCAAAATATTAGACCTTAATTTTTTATCTGATAAGAAATTGAGAATAAGTATAGAAAATTAAATTAAAATCTAGCTCTTCTATAAGATTAAAGATTAAAAATGCTTTATAATTTTACCAAACCGCATTTATATTTTATTTTTCATACATTAGTTAAATTAACCTTTTTTAAATTTTATAATTTATTTCATGAACTTTCTTATACTTTCTATGTGGAAATCATATCGAATTTTAAATATTAGCAATTTTTATTTTAAATTTTGCTAGAAAAAATTAAATTTTATTGCAGCACCGATTCGCGCCACAACATTTTCGTATCTTTTGTAATGACATATTCTCCGCTAGATGGCAGAGTGGACGCGGAAATCACGAGTGGTCGCCAATCAAAACAGCAGCGAACGGCGAAGAACAAACAACGCTGCATTCCAGGGTGATTTCGGCGTCCAAGTGCGTATCGGCGAGTGGAATCGGCTGCCGACGGCAGTTGATGTTTGATTGATGGCGTCTTCGGCGCCCGCGGGCACCGGCGGCGAGTCGGCGCCGGTGCCTCCGCTGGCGCAAATCACGCCGGCCAAGACGCAGACCGTCCTCAGCGACGTGCTCCTCTCGAGGCCCAGGCTGCAGGACCTGGTGCGCGAGGTCGACCCTGCCGAACAACTCGACGAAGAGGTCAATCACCTTATCAATAACCGAAACCTGATTTAACAAAAAAAATTAATAAAATTATTTGGTTTTGGTGGGAAAATATAACTGATATTGGCCTCATTTTCAATTTCTGAAAATTTAATTTATTTTGTAGGATAATGTTTTCATAATTGTAAGCATCAGGTTTTATTATTTAAGCGACTTTTTAAAATCTGAAAAAATCCTACGCTTTTATTTTTTAATTAAAAATTTTGTTTTTTCAAAATTATTTTGATTTGATCAAAAGCTGTTGATATTTCAACATATTTTGGACAAATTAAACACAAATTTTAGATTTCAATGTAACAATTTGTATAATTTTTGTCCATTTCGAGGATCAGACTTTTGTACTTATTTGAATCATCCGAATTGCAGGTTGAGGAAATTCTGGTGCAGCTGGCCGATGAGTTTGTGGAGAACACGGTGAGCGCCGCCTGCCTCCTGGCCAAGCACCGCAAGGCGACCACTGTTGAGGTCAAGGACGTGCAGCTGCACCTGGAACGCAACTGGAACATGTGGACACCTGGCTTCGGCACCGACGAGCTTCGTCCCTACAAAAGGGCCCCGGTCACCGAGGCCCACAAGCAGAGGCTGGCGCTCATCAGAAAAACTCTCAAGAAGTACTGAGATCGATTTCCGGCTCTTTTCTTTCCGTGTCTTGTTTTTGCTGGATAACACAATAAATGAGATGGAACTTGTAAGATTTTTTAAAATGCTCGGATTCTCCTTTTCTAAATAATTGACCTTATTAAAATAATTTAAAATTTTTTATTAGTCTTGTTAAAAACTAATATTTTATTTGACATTTCAAATTCTAACTCTCAACCTGAGAAATCTTAAAAACAATTTTATTTTTGACAAGAAAAGTAAAGGAAATATTCTCATTTGATGGGATGATAAGAGACTTAAGCCTGTTTTTTTTTTTAAGTCATTGTTTTTTATTTGTAGTATTATGAGTCCATTCAATGTCAGTTTTTATTGAAATATTTCATAAACCATCTAAAATCCACCAAATCTCTTAAAATTGTCACATTTCATCTGTTTCTTTTATTTACGACGATTTGTACCATTTTCTACTCCGTTTTTTAAATTTATGATTCAAAATTATTACCTGTTAAAAAAACTTTATTTAGAAAAGTACTAAAAAATTTTTAATCCAAAATGCGAGAAATGATCAAGACCTTGATTCAACAGTATGAGCAACAATTTGTTTTTGATTATTTTAGTACTTCAACAATTGCTTTAAAAATTCACTGTTAGAAAAAAATACTGAAACCAAAATTTTTTAACTGCTTCTGTTTGAATCTCCACAAAGAATCTTTTGAGAGAATCTTTGGATAAACACTTCTCACCATGAAGTTGGTCTGGTTGATGCTGCTGACCCTAGTACTTTTATTAATTTGAGAAAATTTAAGATTTTATTAAATCTTTCTTTAGCTGGTCGCAGAAGTAGTTCTGGGCTTTCCAGCAAATAATCAGGACGCATCATCTCACCCTTCAGAAGGTCACGAGACTCACGAGGAAGATCATAACCATGTGGACCAATACGAGGCACATGAAGGTGACGATGAACTGCACGACCGTCACGGTAGACATTTAAAATTTTGCAAGAATTTTTTTATGACTGATATTTGATATTCATAAGACCACCACTTTGACACTGACGAGGGCGTTGGTGAAGATGAGGTGCCCAGTCCATACAACGTGACCGAGGGTCAGAGTTGGGTGCGCAATGTTTGGCAGTGGCTCCAGGTCACTCCACAGCATGTGATTTATGTCCGAGAGCCTCAGCTGCCTTGGTACGGCAACCTCATCAAGTGGCTCAGAATCAACGTTCTCTTCGAACCAGTTTATTAGAAATACATTTGTTAATTTTTTTTTTTTTTTAAATGATACTTCAGTTTGAAAAAAATGCAGTGGCCTCTTGATAAAAAAATATAAATTGAGTAGTTTTTTAATTGAGAAAAAAATTTAAATATTACATCTAAAAATAATGGGAGATATTAATTCACATGCTATAACTTTCTTATGGGATTTGCTGGTGCTAACTTAGCATGTGAATATCATCCCCCATTATTTCTAGGGAATTTTTCTTATCTTTAGAGATTTATGGAGTTAAATCAACTCTTGCATATTTTAATATTCTTGTAATTGGATTACAGTTAAATCTGAATGGAAGAAAATATTATTTAAAAAGAATTTTTTTTTTCAATAAAATAGGAAGCAAACTAGTGTAAAAATTAAATAGAAATTTACTAATTTTAGCTGCAAATGCTTGATAACTAATTGTGCAGTATATAAGGAGTAACCAATTTTTAGGCATTAATTTAGGAAATGTAAGAAACAATTAAAATTATGATTTTAATTCTGAATAATGTTCTTAATATAGAAAATTAAGTATTTATAAGAAGAAGAAAACAAATATTTTTTATGAGATCATTTGTTTCAATTTACAAATTAGATTTTAACATAATTTGCACATTGAAGCAGGGCCGTTGGCTGCATCGGGGGCAGGACAGGTGGCGCTGGTTCGCTCGGTGCTCGGCGGCTCTGGCTCGGCGGTCACAGTGCTTTGTAGCGTGACGAGCAAACCGGAGGGGTCCGTTGCTTGCTATACATACCTCTGGCCGTTTCGTACCTTTTCTGGGACCGTGCAGAGCGAACCATGTTCAAGAAGCGCTCGGCCCGCAGCAAGCAGGGCGACGAGAACCACAACACCAAAGGGCCGCTGCCGGCGCCGCCGTCGGTGCCCGCGCCCCCTGCCCCCGTGCAGCGGCCCCAACTCGTCTTCCACTGCCAGCAGGCGCAAGGGTCGCCCACGGGACTCATCTCAGGTTTCGGAAACGTGAAGGAGCTCTACGCCAAAATCGCAGAGTGCTACGACTTTCCTATTGACGATGTGAGAGCAAATTTAAATTATAATTTCCGTTTTTTTTTCTTTATATAGAAATTAACTTTTTCGTACGTTCTGGAAAAATTAATGAAAACTGAGGAAAACGGAGTTGTTCCAAAATCAAATCAAAAATTAAAAAAAAAAAAAATATTATTTTTACATTATATTTTCTATGACTTTTAAATCATTTTAATTTTATTGTTCTACTTATTTCAATTATTGATAATTTTTATTTCTTTTTTTGAAAACTCATTCCAAAAGACACGATTTTCAATTTTGTTTTAAATTCCATAATCTAAAAATAAAAAAATCTTGAATTACGTGATTGTTCTTCAGGTTATAAGAATTTTTTGCAGTTTTTTGTTGTTCAAGAGCTAGCACTAAAAATAACACGTTTTGATCAAATAATTTATACCAATACAACAATTTTTTTATGCTATATAACACAAAAAATCCCTTGTTTTACTCGAATGATTCTAATTCAATAATTATTTTTAAAATGGTTATGGAGTAACAAAACAGTTTATCATTTATTACAGTAGATTCAATTTGTAAATATTAAATTGGATTTTTTTAAATGAATTTTAATTACAAGATTACTCATTTACTGATTATTTTTCTCTTGTCGCCATGCAGCTTGAAAAATGTTTCTTTTTTTAATTCCCGTACTCGTAAAGTCTAATCTTTACTCTTATCTCCAAAAGCTCGCGAAAATTCGGACGTGCAACCAACAAATTTTGCGCCTGTACGTTTACCGTAACTAATTAGTTGATGAGAAAATTTCGCTGCATCATTGTCTCTTTGTCATGCAAGCTTTTTGCAAATTTTTGTGAGAAACAAGTAAAAAAAACTCGCAGTCATTAATAAAAAAATACTAAATTGGTATAGAAATCACTATTATAATCTCGCATCACCAATTTCAAAACTAAAACGTCGTTTTATCTAAGGCAAGGTTGTCAATCTAATGATTAATTCGCACTAAACTCTTTGCCTAATTTGTTTCACAAAATGTGACGTTTTTATCTATGAAATGCGCCGCGGAGCAAACGAGCTCCCCATAAGTCTATAAAAGCTTGATGTATTTATTGGATTTGTTCTCCGCCCAAAAAGCAGCTCGTCAAGCAGGTAGCGATTTGCGTTAAAAGTATAGTGTGTCCCTATTGCACGCTATCTTATCTGCGTTCGGCGCGCGACGCATCATCACCGTGGTATTCTCGATAAAAAAAATGAACCTTATTGAAGCTGTATAATACTAATTGGGCGCGTTTTCACAATTATTGAGCTGCAATTCAGAGCTCCCGTTTATTGCGAGCTTTTCTTTTCTCCAACTATATGTGATGCATCAAAACGATCGGAGATAAAGCAGGCCGAGCGAACTATTATCTTTGATGAAAGTTGCAAACGAGAGCATTCCCTGAATTATTTTGTTTTTATTCGCAACATTTAAACAGAAGCATGAATTAAGTTGAGCTTCATTATGAAAATTATGGTCTAGTTTAAATTAATATTTTAGAAAAGGGTTTTATGGAGTTTCTCTTGAAGTCCATTCTTAATTCACGAGTTTTTTCATCAAGCTGTGAGTTTTTATTTAAGTTCAATTGTAAATTTAATGTCGAGCAGTCTTAACAATTTATATAACTTTATGCGTTTGCGTTAAAAATTGTAATTACTCTCTTATTTTAATTTCAACTTTCAACAAAGTTATTTTTTACCATTAGACATTAGACTGTTGAACATTAAATTTATTTCATTTGTAATATTTTTTTATGTTTCTGTCATTTATTCAGTTGATTAAAAGTTTAGTCATTATCGATCATTTTAATTGGAATCTAGGGGAAATTGGTGCAGTGGGTGCGGTCGGTCCATATATTTCTGAAAAAAATAGTGAAGCATTTTGCGGCCCCCACCTGCTCCGAACCTGATGGCGGAGGACGCTTCCGCCGAGAGGAAGCACGGCCACTTGTTTCGCGCAGGGGCCAGTTCAGTGCACCAGTTATTCACTTCAATTTCTCTCCGTATCGAAACATGAGCCATTCGCCGCCCGCTTATGTGGCGTTAAATGCGCGCACCCGATTGTAAATATAAAACAGCGCAATTTTTATCGCGAGTGAACTAAAAGGTGAGAGAGCGCACAAAGAGCGGAATAGAAAACTGACATCAGGAAATTCACCGTCTGCGATTATCTAACAAAGGATAGTTAGCGTTTGGTTTGAGATTCACTTTCCACTTTGAGCAAAATTAGTTCCGCTAAGACCTCGAGGAAGATTTTTTCAAGAATTGTTGATTTTGATGCAGGAAAATTCAAGAATTTTTATAATTGTATGGAATTGCAAAAGAAATCTTTAAAATTTGTAATTACTGTGATATATGAGTAATTTTTATGTATTTAAATAGCACTTTGTGATTATAAAATATAAAAATGAGTATTACAAAGAAAAAGTGGATAGAAAAAATCCATATATTGAGCTCCAACCAGTGGTGCCTCCAACTCATTTTTTCCCTTCATTAAAAAACTTAACTTAATTTTATTTTTGCTCCGTTTCATATCATGGGCGAAATTTAAAAATTGAAAGTATCTCAGTTGCTTGAAAGCAGATTTTAGCTTCAGAGCATTTAAATTTGTGTCGTTTTCACGATTTTATCCACTATTCCATCAAAATTTTGTTGTTCGAACGTTTTTCTATGAACAAATGTTTTTAGTGGTAATATATTATATTGTATTATCGCAGCAATCATTATTTATTATTCAATATTATCTTTATTTAAAAGGGGATATTTTACAAGCAAATAATTAAATCATCTCTTTGAAAAATAAATTAAACACACTGGTCAGCTGGAGTGATGCAATGCAATCTGTGCTGACAAGTTAAATGTGATTGCTTTTAATAAATGCAGGAAAGAAATCGACAAAAGAGTTGCGTCATTTGCGAAATAAGGAACTAGCAGTTGTTGAATGTATAAACAAGCGAAACAATGGCCGCGCCGCAGTGCACAGCACTTGAAAAGTGTAGATAATCGTTTTGTAGAACTCCGTGCGCGAGTTGGAAGGCTTCCCCGAAAGAGCAAGATTTTCTTTTCGGCTGAATGAGCGTGAAAAAGTGGCATCGATTGAGTCCTTTTTTTATATTTCTGTCGCTGCGCTTTGATAAATTTTGTAATTGTGTCAAGGCTGCGTGTTTGATTCTCTTAGTGCGTGAAAAGTGAAACAAAATCATTTTTTCATACGCCCTTTGATGTCACGGCGCGCGTAATTAAAAGCACAAATTTGTTAACTGGCGAGGGAAGTCGGTGAAAATGAAACCTGCACACACAAATACAGCTAGTTCGAGAGTTGGCAAGGACGTCGCACTTTGATAAGCACACAGAGTCGCCGGCAATCTCGAGTGTTATTTGGGCCCAGTGACGATTGCCTCAAATTATAAACACATTTTAATCAGTAGTAATTAAGAAATCGATTAATAAAGTGAAGAAATGGTTAGGAATTTAAAAAGGTTCTCATTGTCAGTTGGTCGAGTTAGGTTGCAAATCTCAAATGAGAGAAAAAACCCCACAATATATCAACTAAAAAATTGTTAAACACTGAAATTGTGTCAAAAGCTTCATGCCTTCAGTTTTGTTAAAGTTCAATTCACATTTCAGTAAAATTAAATTAATTGGAAATTTCCTTTCATTTATAGCCATTAAAAAAAATATTTTCAGTCTTTTGAAGACTACTCTGTATGAAGTTTATTTTATTATTTTTTCCAAGTCCAGTAAATTCAGTTGGATGAAAATTTTATATTTGATTAAAATTAAAATGAATTTTTGAAATATGTCAATTTGTCACAAAAATTAAAATAATAATAATATTAAACAAGACTTTAAAAATCGGCAAAAAATGTAAATGATCATTTTTCTTCCTCTAATTTTTTGCAATAAAAAATGCAAGATCCGGAAAATATATTAAATGCATTGCGGTTTTTACTGGATGGAAATTCTTGAGGTTGATTAGTTTGCCAACTGTTCCAAAACCTGTCCAAAACCAAATTATATGTTACCCTAAAGAGAGTCCACGGCTGCGACTGAAAGAAAAGCGCGTCTCATGCTCCTGATTCTCTCCGCTGGAGTCTGTAGGCAGGTGGTTTACCGTTAGGCCGTTTAAATTGCCATTCTGGCTGGTTGCAAGCAAACGTGAATCGCTCATCTCCGCACCGAGAAAGATGCACTCGGGATGAGGTCATTGGAATTATGTGGTAGTTGCAATTAGTTAACTTTTTGTTAAATTTTAATTTATTAAAAAATGGAAAAATATTTTAGCCGGTTCATGTTTGAGGAAACTTTTGTTACAATTAAAAAAACTGCTGGACCAAATATTCTCATGGAAAACGAATCAAATTTTTTTAAAGCGTTACATTGGTTCCAGTTCAAATCTTCTTTGAAAGTAGATTTTTTAACAAAATAATTCATGTGAATTTGCTGCACTGCATTTTTAATTAGGAATTTAGTTTAACGTGTGGAGAAACGGGGCTCGGGAAATAATTAGCATGAGTTGCAGCTGAGTCGGTACCGCACTTGCTATGCCTCTTAAAGGTTTTAACGAGATTCTCTTATGCAACTAATTCGGTCCCGTTAATAATATTACACAAATCATTTTTCATTCCAGATTCTCTTCTGCACGTTGAACACGCACAAAGTGGACATGAACAAGTTGCTGGGCGGACAAATTGGACTAGACGACTTCATATTTGTTCACAGAAAAGGTTAAAATTTTATTTTTCAATTAACCAATTATAATGAAAAAGAAAATGATAATTTCGTAAATGGAGAAATAATTATGAAGTTTATTAATAAATTAATAATCAATATATTGCTGCTCCCCAAGTTTAAAAATAACAGGTTTAGTTCATAAAATGTTCTCTCCATAAAATACATAACAAAAATTAAAAGATATATTTTTGGTTACAATTATTTTGATTTTGATTTAAATCCCAAAAATGGCGCGAAGATTTTGACAGTAATAAAATATATATAAATTAAAAAACTAAATAATATATTTGATTATTTGTTAATTTGAGTAGAATGAACAGTTTTATTTTATTTTAAAAACTACGAGAAATTTGTTTGTTTAAGCTTTTTCTAATTTATTTAAATTGCAGGCCGGCCAAAAGAGGTGCAAATAACCAAGACAGAAGACGCGCTCGGTCTGACCATTACAGACAATGGTGCTGGCTACGCATTCATAAAACGCATCAAAGAGGGTAGTCTTATTGACTCCATGAGTTATATCCAGGTAAGAAGACCCACAAGGGCGTCTCTTCCACCCTCTTCTTTTCCAGTTTGTCAGATTAAAAAAAATCCTCTTTTGTCTCATTAAATTAAAAACTCACAAGTAACATGACTTGATTTCTTTGTCCACGATTTCAATGCAAATTCCTTGACGGAACAAGTTTGAGGTAGGAAGCCATGTAGCCCTTCAATTGATAAAGAGAAAAAGATTTTATTAGAAATTGAAAAGTAATTGGAAATAAAATTTCAGATTGGCGATCACATTGAAAGGATTGACGACGAAGTTCTGATCGGCCGCAGACACTTCGAAGTGGCAAAGATGCTCAAAGAAATTCCCAAGGGTACCACATTTACGATGCGTCTGGTTGAACCTCTTAAAGCTGGATTTTGTAAGTTAATTCTGAAAACTTGGAAGAATAATTTGGTTTTGATCATGAAAGGCTTCTGAATTTTTTAACAATTTAATTTTATTTAATGACAATTTGAAAAAACTGATTATTTCAATGCAGTTTTCAATTAAATTATTAGAAAATTGTAAAAATTCTAACATTTTTATTGCGAAAAATTTGACAAGTGTTCGAAAAGTCTTTTGTAAAGAAATTTAATTTTTCATCCTATCAAATTTTTCAGCAAACATTGGACCCCGAGGTGACCCCAGAAAGGGAAAGAAACAGGGCTATGGTTCTGGTAAAGAAACGCTGCGTTTCAAGGCCAATGGCACAGCCGAGGTGGAACAGGCGGACGACCAAGAACAAACGGGCATTGAAAACATTAATAAACTGCTGGAATCGTTTATGGGCATTAACGACTCGGAGCTTGCCTCGCAAATCTGGCAGCGAGCTAAGGGCACTCAGAACAGCATGGACTTTGCAGAGGCCATCGACGGCTCTGACCTTGAGGAATTCGGATTCACCGACGACTTTATCATCGAACTGTGGGGTGCAATCACAGACGCCCGGGCCGGCAGACTCAAGTGACCTTTCCCGATTGTCTTTCTTTGTACTATTTGTAAATTAAACAAGTTCCTTCTTATTACACGTCATTGTTTAATATTAACTTAAGTGTAGTAATAAATGCGATTATATTGACTTGTCCATAATTGTACAAAAGTGGATATTAAAGGGATAGAGCTAGTAAGTGTGCCATAAAAATTTACCAAAAAAAAAGTGAATCTTTGCACTTACTCACATGATGGCACAGCGTTGCTTCTTGCTTTCCTTTTCTTTGGTCACCACAGGAGCCGATTGAGTTTCGTAGTCAGCTACGATGTTGGGCAGATCCTCCTTTTTAATGTCCAGATACTGGAGGACTGCAAAAAACAATTCAATTATGTTTCCCCTTTAAAAATTTGAAATTTACAGAGCGAGGTGGGTTGTTCTGGTGAGTTTGGCTCATCGACTTTGGCGTCGGAAATTTCCACCCTGGCTCTTTTTGGAGATGATGGCTCTTCAGGCAAATTTTCTTTAGCCTCGTCTACCTCATCTTCCTTTGGTTCTTTGGGTTTCTCAGCAGACACCTGGATGACTTCTTCAACAGTTGCTCCAGGCTCAGGCTCCGACTTTGCTGGTTCTTCAACTTTAGGTTTGAGATGCTTCTCTTCAAGCTCGGCAGACTGATCAACTCTGACTGCTTTGGCTATTCTGGGCAGTGACTGCCTCCTGGTGGTCTTCATATCTTTCAGTGCGCTTGGGTCCACACTCTTCCTTCGAGCTGTGGATTATTAAGATAAAAACAAAAATGACATTAAAATTTTAGATGATATAAAAAAGAAAGAAAATAAATGATAAATAATTTGTTGTTGAAAAGTGAAAAGTTTACAGTAAAATTAATTTAATTTTTGAATAAGAAAAAAATCAAATTTAAGACTTTTTAATTATTGCAAAAGATTTCTTTTTAAATCAAGGATATTAAGCATTCAGTAAGATTAACAAATAATGCAAAAACTATGTTTTAATTATTATGATCAACAGAATAAATTGAAAATATTAATATTAATTGGAATGTACAAAAAATATGGCTAAAGGCAAAGTTTTCTATCTTATATATAAAAAGTAATTTAAAAGAAGTTAACCATTTTACAATTTGGTGATTGTAGAATAAAATAATTTTCACAATAAACATCCCAAATGAATGGTTTACCAGCATTGATTTTGTTCCTCTCAATGAAATCAGTTCCACTTCTGACAAGAGGAGCCAAACTCCTCCTCCGAGTTGGTTCCGGCTTCCAAGATTCCCTTCTTGGCTTTTCTGGCTGCTTTGTTGGCTTTTCAGCTGCTTTGCTCTGTTTCTCCACTGCTTTAGCTGCTTTCTCCGGAGGCTTGGATTGTTTGGTCACTGCTGGTTTGGGCAGTTTGTTTTCCTGTCTGCTTGTGGATGGAGCCAGTGCAGCTCTGGTAGAGAGCTGCGGTCTTGGAGCTGGTTTGACTGACAGCCTGGACTGCTTGTTGGTGGGTCTGAGAGCACTCTTGCTGCGGGTCACTGGGCCCTGGCGACGACGAGGAGTCAGGTCAAGGTTGTGAAAAGGGTACGGAGGCACTGGAGGCAGACCTGGAAAGTTTTGCTGCTGAGTTCTTGGCGAGAAGATCTGGTACGGAGAACCGACTAAGTGCTGCATGGGCTGGGTTGGAGGACCATGGCCGTAGGGCATGCGTCTGTAAAATTTGAGAATTACACAATTATGAAATGACAATTATATTAAAAAAGATAAAAATGGTGAAAATCTTTGTACAGATATTGAATGTTCCGAAATTTCATTCTAAATTCTAATTTAGTGTAAAAAGATGAGATTTTTACCTGCTGTATGGTGAAGGCCCTGAGTTGTGAAACGGAGACGGAATCTGCGTGATCCTGTCCAGTTTGACGTAAGGTCTGTTGCCATTCGTATTTCCTCCGCCGACTCCCATTGACGGCTGGCAGCTGCGGTTTTGTCGTCGATAATCCATCGCGCCTTGTGCAAATCAGGACGTGAATTATCGATTTAAAAGTACATTTAGACTTACTTTGTCGACTGTTCGGCAAAATCAATGCCGAAATCGCTCGAAGAACCGTAGAATTTGAGTTCTTGGATGTGCAAAATTGCAGCGACCGTTTATTTACCGTATGATTGCAGCAGTTTGGCGCCAAAAGAGAAGTGGGGACTGGGAAGGGGGCGTGCCTTATCATTTGAATTTTGGAGTTGGACGGAGCTCGCTTATATTATTGCAATCTTCCCTGCAGCACGACATTTACCAACCAATTAGACCTGTCCTAAATTAGATCTGGCTGAATGGTCACCACCAAAGCCAAAAAATACAAACAACAACAACAACAACATATTGCAATTTGCATATTACAGAGGAAAATTTAGCATGGACTATGCTGCAGCCAGGAAAATAAATTTTTAGTTGCATTAAGTTTATTGGTGTATCACAAGGTAATCCCTGCCTATAACGAGATACGTTAAAAAGAGCTGTTCATTTATCTTCTGCTTCATTCTGCTTGTTACACCTGTATTTTAATAAGTGCGTATAAATATCAAAATGATACAAATTCAAATTTTTTGGTAAATATTAAATTTTGAGATACATAAATTTTTGATAAATTAGTAATTAATAATTTTTTTTGCATTTTGTATATTACAAGAATTTTGTGCCCAAAAGCCCAGCAACATCGACTTCTCTCTGACAAAGTAAAAGTCTGGCGGTGTCTTATCCCTAAAAAAGTGTTTTGAAAAATCTCAAATTTAATTTAATTAAGAACCAAAAACGCAGCAGAGAGTAATTATAAGATTTTTCATTAATTTAATAATTGAGTGCCACAATTGTTACAAGCCAACTTAGATTAAGCCTAAATGTACTTTTGTCATTAGCGTGTATTTTCCACCTTTTTATAGGTGTGTTCTTAATTAAAGACATTTACAACGTACATATGCGTGAAATCTAGATCCGAACAGAAATCGAGAATACACATATGATATGGAATGCGTGTGTTTATGCGGTTCTGTGCTTTGAAAAGCTGCACTCTCGGATCGTGAAAGCCGAGAGTTGAAGATATTTGGATTGTGTGGCGGAGAAACAATGCTTGCCTCTGAAAACAATGCCTCCCGCACTTTCTTGCAGCGATTTGTAGACGCAGCCAGTGTAACGAATCCAAGCCCTCGACGCTCCTCGGCAATGGAGGCGCCGCCAGTGTGGTGCTGGGAGCCTCTACGGCAAGAACAAAACTAGCTGCTGTCCTATCGCCGGAAACCATCGCTGCATGCAGACAAAGTCAAAGTGTGTGTGACGCGCACTTCAACTTTTTTTGCAGTTGCACAAGAGAAGACGACGCAGATCAAGGTGGAAGAAGCTTTGCTACTGACGCCCGTACGCAATTTGGATACAAATCCAGGTATATTTTATTATTATTTTTTTTTATTAGAAATTTTTTATACCAGGAAAGATATAAAGAAAGACATTTTTTTTCTTATTCTCGTAATTGAATTTTTTTTTTTTGGAAAAAGAATTGGGAGAGTCGACAATGATTTTGAAAGTAAAATTTGCAATATTTTCATCCTGGTCACGGTTGAAGTATGTGCAAAACTTGGACTGTTTGTTGCCGGGCTGTTATGGCTTTCGCACACATTATGGTCACTTTCCTTTGTTAGTGTTGAAAATTGAATACCAAACTGCCTGAAACAAAAGTAACATTAGTAAATTAGAGGAAATTTTAATTCTTTTTGCACGAATTGCAACTCACCAAAAAATAGTAATAATTTTCACTTAGAAAATAATTAGGAATGCAAAATAAGATGAGAATATTAAACAATTTCAAATTTTTTTTAGCATGGAAGAAACGATTATTATTTCATCCTAATAACAAATAATGCAAATTTTATTTATGTTGAGCGTTCTGATAACGATAATTTTTCTCGTATCCAATCAGAGAGCTCAAAAATTTATCAAAGCTTGGTTTATTGTTGACAATCAAATATTTTTAATGTACCAAAGCCAAGAATGATTCAAGGAGACACCTTTCAAGCCAAAGCACAGGTCGGTTGGCAAGGGGTCGTGGATTTATTTGCAAAAAATCAGGTGAAAAGAACACAAAATTTGACGGATTTTGGCGTGGAAAAAACTCGGAAAAGTCAAAAGCTTTCCCGGAAAAACGCTACTGTAGTTTCAACTTAAAAATGGAATATCTCGGGTTCTAATTGAGATACAGAAATGCGGCTAGCACCAAAAATTTTCTTTTTACCTCCTCTTCAATCCTGAGGGGTCGAATAATCCAGAGGTCAAAGGTCAAGGTCATTTTTCAGGGGTCACACGTACAAAAAAAATTCTAGCAAAAATATGCCACCTTCGATTAAGCTGAAATTTTTTTCTAAGATAGTCCTAACATGTAGGAACAACATATTAAAAATTCAGAATGGCATATTTTTTAGATTTTTTATAAAAAAATCACAAAGGTAAAAAAACGTGAATTTTTCGCATTTTGCTCATGATCAAAAATTTATTTTGAGAAAGTAAGTATCTAAAATGGGTAAATTTATTTATTTATTGACAAAAAATTCCTAAATTTTCAAAAAATTTCTTAAAAATTCCAAAAATCAATATCCGACCATTGGCAAAATACGAAAAATTCACGTTTTTTTACCTTTGTGATTTTTTTATAAAAAATCTAAAAAATATGCCATTCTGAATTTTTAATATGTTGTTCCTACATGTTAGGACTATCTTAGAAAAAAATTTCAGCTTAATCGAAGGTGGCATATTTTTGCTAGAATTTTTTTTGTACGTGTGACCCCTGAAAAATGACCTTGACCTTTGACCTCTGGATTATTCGACCCCTCAGGATTGAAGAGGAGGTAAAAAGAAAATTTTTGGTGCTAGCCGCATTTCTGTATCTCAATTAGAACCCGAGATATTCCATTTTTAAGTTGAAACTACAGTAGCGTTTTTCCGGGAAAGCTTTTGACTTTTCTGAGTTTTTTCCACGCCAAAATCCGTCAAATTTTGTGTTCTTTTCACCTAATTTTTTTCAAATAAATCCACGACCCCTTGCCAACCGACCTGTGCTTTGGCTTGAAAGGTGTCAGGAGGGGCTTCGGGCCAATTTTTATTGTTAATCAGTGTTTTTAAATTGCTCTTTGAAGTGGAAAGAAGGGCTATCAAGGATAAGATTGTTGGGCCAAATTAAAAAAAATTCATATTTAACTGAACGGTTCAAGTGGAAAAATTATATGTTTAAGTTTTGTCGCAGTCGCCTTTCAATTTTTTTGTTTGATATAATTTTTAATAACCAAACATGTAAACCGTTTACAAAATTTCTCCCCAATGAGGAAACTTTGTTCTTATTTTTTCTGCGCGAAATTTCAAAGTAAACAGCACGTTGCGACGAATCACGCAATGCATTTTCGCATTTTCGCGAGAAGTGACAAGAAGAAAAAGAAGTCGCACAATGGACCGGCGTGCTGCTCTGCTTGCAAAAACTCATTTTAATTGAGACACGCGCGGCTGACATGGTTACAGTTCGAAGAGCCACTTGTCGCAGGGCGCGGTTGACACAGCCCGACCGCGACCAAAGCAATTACACTCCACTTCCTCCCCATCGGTCGAATCGCGAAAGAAGAGCGCGACCCGTTATACCTTCGACGCGTACCAAGTCTTTTGATTAGTCCAAATTGCACCACAACCCGGTGAAGTTTGCTATGTACTTATTGTCTTTGGGACGAATTTGGATTCACTGTGCATGCATAATTTGCCTTGACAAAGTCGAGAACCGTTACGATAGTTTTCTCAAAATTGGAGGAGATTAAAAATCTGAACGCGGCAGGAGCACGGAATGGAAAATATGCATCCAAAATTTCACCGTTTTAAAAATATATTTTACTAAAAAAAAAAAACATGACAAGATGGGGGCAAAAAGAATTATCCACCCGTCTGATTTGTATTCAGCAGAGGATAAATTTCAAATGGACTATATGCTTACTAAATGATTTCTTAATTAAAAAATATGATAAATTTTTAAAAGTTGACTTTTTTGTGGAAAGTGGCAACTCATAATTGAAATTTTAAGGCAGGATTATATAGCACATTGAAAGCCCAATCAAAAAAATAAACTAATGATTATAAGAGAGGAAGTTAAAACTTAGAAAGTCGTTTCATTGATTGAACCAGGATTAAACAATTCAATTCAATGAACGATTCGAAAATTTGTTTATTTAAATTTAGTTTTTATTTGACTTTTGCTAGTTTTAAGACTATTTTTAAGTTTTGCATATTTTTTGATGTTGCATACATGACCTATCGTAGATCACAATCAAAACTGTTTCAAGCCATGTAATTCTTAAAAAAATTCAAATTCCGATGATCAATCAAAACCAAAATAAAATTAAGTCCCAATTCAATTACTTACAAATCTAGCATAAAAAAATTATTTCGTCATGCAGAGTTGATTATTTGTAAAAATTAAGTTTCATTAGTTTAAAATGCAACGATCAACTTTTTAAATTAATAATGTCTTATTTTGAAGTCGGTTTTTATGTAAATTATTCACCAAACAATTATTGATGAGTACTCATTTACAAAAAATAGCTCTTCAAAAAATCAGGAAAAAAACCCCTAAATTAAAAAAAGCTAACAGAGCACATTTCTATGTCACTACAGACTGTACGACGCGCAGTAATTTGAAGAAGACGCAGAAACTATCACCAACTGCTCCTTTCTGCTGGTAATTAACGAATTCACTGGTTTCCGCAACAGAGCGAGCAGAGTTGATTTTGGTAAAGTTTCTCTAGACAACAGGGAAGCAACGAGCAAAACCAGGAAAGAGGGTTCACGACATTTGCGTGTGCGTTTCTTCAGCTTCTCTTTTTTTCTAATGTCGCTCACACAATGTGACGAATGCGTGTGGAAATTCGAATTAAACAGCGCAAGTACGAGACCTAAATTTTACGGCTAGAAGTCGCGAGATGTGGTCGCGTCATGCTAAATGATCAGCACCAAAGAACCGAGCCTAATTTGCCGGCACAAACTTTTCTACGCAGAACGAGTGATGCTTTCATATTAAAACAATGCACGCGTCGCCAAACTCATTTGCATGCATTTAAAGCAGAACATTTTGCATTCCAATTTGGGACGAAAATTAAGAAGAGAAAATGTGAGACAGACGTGTCTAATTTTTAATTTACAAAATCCATAGAATATTTTGGAAAGTCATGCCCAGAGAATAAATTTCTTTTAAATTTTAAATTAAGTGAAATTTTCAAAATTTCTCTTTTAATTGTTTCAAGCATTTCAAAATATATATTTGTATCAAAATTTTTTCAAATTCAAATTTTTTTATGATGACTTGAGTAGAATAAACAATTATAATAAGAATTAAGACCAAATGTATATAAATTTTCCTTTGAGCTTAATAATTTTTATTCTTATTGAAATAGAAAGCAGACAAAATTTTACTGATTTGATGCCAAAATCGCAAAAACAAATTGTAAATTGCTAATGTTAACCTCAACCTTGCTTATTTAGTTGGATAATAAGAACTTAGCAACTAATATACAATATAAATGCTTCTAGAGTGCATGTGATAAGGCGAACCTTCATAGAAACTATAGAAACTGTTTCAACCTTCATTTTTCAATCGCGATTCAGATATATCCATAATAAAATTTTTGTTTTCTTTATTAATTAAAAAAAAAGATTAAAAAAGAAAGAAAAACGAGATTACCTTCAAGACAAGACAAAGAACGTTTTGCAATAGAGAGAATCACTAAAATTAAAGTAAACAATAGCAATTTATTTAGGTTTATTACCATTGCTTTGCAAATTTATAGCTTTTCTGCAGGGCGGTGAGGAAGAAGAAAAAAAAGTTTGATTTTTAATTTAGAAATGCTCTAATAAAATTTTCTGCCTTAGTCTCAAGGTAAAACAATCCCGCAAAGCTATATAATTAAATTTGTCGAGTCGCGAAAAGTTGAGCTCAATTGAATAAAAACCTTGCAAAATGTAATGGGAGATAATTTATCAGCGGGAGGCGTGCAGCGAGAATTATTAAATTGCTATCAGCCGTGTTGCCTCATACCCTCGGCGAGCGATAATTATAAAAAAAAACTCCTTTGTTGCCGCGTGTAATTTATGGATTTCTGCAAGACAATACCTGTTCGCGGAGCAGCACAATGAAAGAAAGGAAGATGCTCCTGAACAAAACTACAGACGAGTGCGTTTACGAAAACACACACACTTGCACTTTCTCAAGAGGCTTCCTTTTTACTTTCGCTCGCGGTTCCGGTCGAAGACAACGCCTGATAACATCGATACATAATTGTTTTTGTCAATCGCAAAACATGTAATTCCATCTAATTTATCGTCCCGCGTTTCCTTTCCGATATAAGAAGTTGCATCACCGTCGAGGTGCAGCCGGAATTTGGCGTGTTGTACCGAAAAATCGGCCTCCCAAGTGTTAATGAAATTTGTATTCCGCCCATGCAAATCGCGGCCAGCATGAGGTGCAATAAAATGTAAAATGGAAGGCGCGGGATTTAATAAATAATGTAACATTCCAGATTAGTTTTTTTTTACTACGTGCAATTAATTTTATTCCATAACCACTTTCTAAGCCGTAATGGCTTCAACAATTAGTATGCAAATAATTTTATTCATTTATTATGATTTGCCTCCAACTAATTAGTTTTGAAAACAAAACACTGGTGAAAAATATTTTTATTTTTCATTAAACTCCAAACATCGTCATACTGATTAAAAAAATGTTGGAGTAAAAACCACTTTGATTTATTTATTTATATTTTTTTTTATAACTTTGATTGCATAAGTTTAATTTTAGCTGTTGGAAAATATTTAGTAATAATTTTATCAGAAACCTGAAGAAATGATAATCTATTTTTCAATTATTTCTATTTACATGAAAGAACGACTATGACTGTATCGAAGACATCTATTAATAATCATTTTCAATCAAAAAATAAACCAGTGAAAAACACATAGTTAGAGAAAGTCTTTAGTAAAAGGCAGTATTTAAAAATATTTAATCTTTGCTTGAATTTTGGACAGTTTTTAAATTAAATTTGAAATACTTTCCAGCATGACAGTGAATGGTCGAAAAATTTATTTCGCTCAGCGGGCGGGTGAACTTCACATTGAACTTTGGTTCGTGGAACTTAATGAATATTTCAAACCTCTTGACTTGGGATGGGAAAAATTTTGCTTTCAGCGATAAATTCGCTGATTTTCACATGCAACCAAAACATTAACAATTGAAACACACCAGGCCCTCGAAGGTGCTCGCTACTAATGGGAGCGATTAACTCGGTTTCACACGCGCGTTTTGTTCTCGGACCCACGGTTGGCGCAACGCCCTCACTCATCTTCGCCTGTTGCGATGCTTAAAATTAATGTTATGAAGAGCAGCAATTTTATAAAAATTTGGGAGAGACATAAAAAAGAGACTTGGACTGGTTCGCAGGCTAATTTACTAAAAAAATCTGATGCCCTTGGACTCGTTAGGGGAAAATTCTTCTTGTCACTAATTTGTCCCAGCTAATTTTTGTGTGACAAAAATTTAATTTACAAAACATGGAGTTTTAATGTGTATTCTGAGGTTAAAAACCGACCGTTAAAAAATAAAAAATCAAAGAAACTGATACACTTTCTTGCGCATAACAATTTCTCTACAAACGTTGTTACGAATGAGAAAATAAATGATAGTATAATTTGCATAATCTTATAATAAAAAACCTCAATAAAACTCATGGCTTTACATTTGTCAAAATTAGATTTGAAGTTTTTTAAGACTCGTTTAGGATCACAGATGTTGCCAAAAAATGCCCTATTTTAAAAATTTAACAAATTTCTTTTTCCCCTTAAAAAATTTGTGATTTATCAAAAATTTTAAAATTTCCTCTGGAGTTTTCAAGAAGAAAAATCGATAAAAAAATCGTCTGACAAGTTTAAACTTTTTTTGCCTAAAAATAACCTATTTCTTTAAATGTTTTGTACATAATATACAAACCATTTTTTAAGTATTAATTTTAGATTTTGACACAATTAAATTGGATTCCAAAGAAATTTTTTTTATCGTATTCTATATAGTGCATCCCGTGTGTTCAGCTCACATTCTCCAGCAAGCAAAAATGTCAGGTGCATCACGCTTGACGCCTCAAATCATAACTTTCTTCTCCCGTCTGCTATCAAATTTTTTAATTCCAATTAACAAAATTCTGTTTTAATTGCAGGAGTTGGCAGGGGCCCTTGGAAGTTTGTGATTATGTGGCACTAGCTGATGAAGCCGGCCAAATCAACAGTCGCAGCGGCGCTCCTCGCGCTGCTCCTTGCCCTCGGCGCGGCGCAGCAGACGCTGGACGAGTCGGAATGTCCGCCGGACACCGCCATCCTGCCTTGCAGGTGCCGTATGAGGGACCCCTCGTCGGAAATTCAAATCTGGTGCAGCCACAGCGACCTGCCCAGGGTGATGGCCCCGTTGAGGGCCATCGCTGAAAACAAGCCAGGCGCCAAAATAGATGAACTGATTCTCGAAGGCAACCAGTTCCAGGACCTGCCCGATGATTCCTTGCAAGGTCTCAGCGTGGTTCGCCTCATGCTCAGGGAGAACTCCCTCGAAAGGTTGGCGGCTTCCGCCCTTTTCGGACAGGAAAAAGCCCTGACGGAATTATACATAGTTGAGCCCAAACTTAATCACTTGGCTGCGGAGATTTTCAGTCCTCTCATAAAATTACAAGTAAAAAATATTAAATCAAAAACGAAACATTTTCTTAATTTGAATTTTAGGCAATAACAATGCAAACTCCGTTTTTGAGGAGGCTCCCAATAATAAAGCATTTGCCAGAACTAAAATATTTGAGAATCGAAGACAAAGAAGTGGGCGCGTGGAGAAATTTGGTGCTGATCGACCTTCCTGAACTGCAAGACTTGCACCTCACCTGCGGCGAAAGAGGACTAGGTACACAATCAAGATTATTATATGATAAAATCACAATTCTGTTTAAACGAAAATTACTTAACAATCACTTTTTAAGGTCTGGATAAATTGGAAACGGGGATGATTCAGGGCACCCCTAGACTGCAGACGGTAGAAATCACTAAGTGCGGCCTGGCGTGGGTTCATCCGCACGCTTTCACCTCCACTTCCCAGAAAATTGAGTCCATCGATCTATCTGACAATTATTTGGACGACGTGGGACAGGTTATTCAAGTTATTATTTTCTTTTTAAATTTTTTAAAATTGAACTTTTTAGATTGCATTGGCCGTGAGAGAATTGCCAATGCTCTCGGAATTAAAGTTGGATAGAAACAACTTCAGAGGACTACCGGAAGGGTCCCTGGTATCTCTGATGGGACTTCGATACTTGTCTTTGTCCGGTAATCAAATCAGAGAGGTCGGACCGGGAGCATTCCACATACTGCCCAACCTGGAAGTGCTTGACCTGAGCAACAATAATCTGATGAGGCTGCACCCTCAGGCATTCACCCCAAGAGCAGCACCGAGAATGCAGGAACTCAACCTCGCACGCAACAGTCTTGGACACTTGGGAGAGGTTAGTTTCTTATTTTAAACTTTTTTAAATTTAAAAAATTTCTTTAAACATTAGGTTCGACCTTGGATGGCTACTTTGACATCACTAGTGCGTTTAGACGTGAGTGAAAATGGAATCAACGAACTGGCTTGGGCAGCTTTGGGGCCTCATCCGAATCTAGAAAGGCTAAACTTGGACGGAAACCGAATTCAAATGGTGCGAAGAGACGCTCTTAGCGCTCTGCCGGCCTTGATTGACTTAAAAATGAGAAACAACTCGATAGATGAATATTTATTGCTGGAAAGAGGTTCACCATGGAATTTACCTAGCTTAAAGGTAAACGAATCAAAGAGTTAATTCTTTCAGTTATTTTTATATTAACTCTAAGGGACTTGATTTGGGCCAAAATGGTGTGCGGTTTTTGGACGCTCGTCTTTTGGCAGGACTTCCATCCCTTCGTCGTTTAGACTTAAGCCAAAATTTGTTAAATGAACTGCAAGGGTCGCCTTTCTCTCCGTCACCTATGATCGAGCACCTCAACCTTTCCTACAATGGTCTGCAAGCTTTACCGCAAGCGTCTCTGAGTCCTTTGAGAGCAATTTACGAAATGGACATCAGCCACAACAAGCTTTTGTCCCTGCCAGTAACGCCTGGACGAGCTCTTGATCAGTATTTATTTCAAATTTTTCTGAAATTTAATTTTTTAAATATAATAATTTAGAATGGGCGTTTTGAACATCGAAGGCAACCAACTGGGAACAATTCCTGAGGGTTGGACTTCTGGACAGTCTACGCACACCCTTCAATTGAGCGGTAACTCTCTTAGGTCGGTTCCCCGTCTCAACTTGCCAGGCCTAACAAGGCTCGACATCAGCCGCAATTTGATTTCTAGAATGGACTTGGAAACTTTGTCCTCAGCCAGGTGCGGATTTTTTTTTTTAGTTTTAATCAAAATAACTTGAAAATAATATAGGGAACTTGTGTATCTCAACGCCTCGCACAACGAGTTGGACTCTTTCCCGTCTGGACTTCGAGGATTGGCGTCCCTACGCGAGTTGGACTTGAACGACAACCGCCTGTCCTCACTGCCAGCGCCGGAGGTGCTTGGGTCTCTTCAGTCCCTTCGCATTTTGCGGCTGGCGAGGAACCAACTGACGCAACTTCCATCCGACTCGCTGCACGGGCTTCCAAGACTAACTTCTTTGGCCTTGTCTGAAAATCGGATCAATGAAATCGATCGGAGCGCCCTGGCCGACTTGCCTTCGTTGGCGGAACTCGATTTGTCGAAAAATGCAATTTCAGCCCTGCCGAGAGGAGCCTTTTCGCAAATGCCATCGCTCAGGGCCGTTTCTTTACAGGTATGCAATATTCTTATTTTATTATGTGTTGAGTTGAATTTTTCAGGTTTTTTAAGAAAAACCCTACACTATATAATTATGCATTCACAAATGCTTGGTTACAAAATAATGATAATATTTTTAAAGCTGTACAATATAAAATTAATCCATAAAATTTTATTTTAAAAATATCTTTTTTCATAGGTGGGTATTCCTGTTTTATTGTATTGTGAAAAACCAAAAACGTGATTTAATTTTTGATTTTTTTTCTATCAATATTTAATTAATTAATCACCGAATTATTTTTCTTAGGGAAACGCATTAGAGGAATTCCACGCTACCGCATTTGAGGGTGCCCCCCGTCTTTTGCTGCTTGATCTCAGCCACAATCACATTCAGCACGCAGACTGGGGTCGCAACACTGGGGCCAGGTCGTTGAAACCGACCTCAAAGGAAATCGACCTGCTCCCTGCCGCAATGCCTGGACTCGAGGTGTTGGACCTGAGCCACAATCGATTGCGCACTTTGGAAGACGCAGGGGTCACCAACCTCCCCTGGCTGGTCGAATTAAAAGTATAAGTTTTTTCCAAAATAAGATCCAACTATTTTAAAACAAATTGATTTAGGTCAACAACAATGAGATTTGCGGAATTGGGGAGAGATCTCTGGAAGGCTTATCAAGGCTGCGTGTTCTCAGTTTGAGAAACAACAAGGTCAAAATGATGCAAGAAAGAGCCTTCCGAGCCCTACGATCCAATATGGTGCACTTGGATGTGGCGGGTATTTGCATTGAATAATTTAAAAAAATTCCCTAAAATTTTTAATTCAGGCAATCCTTTATCGTGCACATGCGGTTTGATGTGGTTCCAAGAGTGGATCGACGTTGAGCCGCGTCTGCAGCCCCACATCCACGCTTCGGAGTCGCCTAGGTGTGCCGACGGGTCTCTCCTCCGTGAGGTTGCCCTTTCGAGGTCTCTCTGCCAGGAAAAGCAGCAACGTGACGGAGAAGACCTACTCGCGAAATGCCTCGAAAAGAATCGTAGTTTATAGCATTTAAAAAATAAAAAATAAATTGATTCAAAATTTGCAGCAAATTCTGTGAGTGCTTATGAGAGTCACGAGAAACCAAGCAACTCACCGTTGACCTCCCCTGGACAGCCTGGACGTCCATATTATGATAACCAACCAGGTCAGGGGGTGCCAGACGATTTTTATGACGACTTTGTGGACTACCCTCATGGCGGTGGCTCAGAAAACCTGCAGCAAACGACAACGCAAGGGCCTCCAGCTCCGCAGCCAATTGACTCTACACCGACCGTTTCTCCGCAGTCGTCGTCTCACTACACCCCTGGCGACACTCCAACATTCTACGCGGGGTCTATCAACCTTACTAGCCTCAACCCTCAACCACCACCTCTACCAAATAACGGACCATTCACTGTGTTTGGGTAAATGCATAAAAAGAAAAATTGAATAGCAAATTTTACCATATTTTTATGAATCAACGGTGAATTTGCAATTCTTGGCAGCTCATTTATATTTTGGGCCCCTATCCGATTTAAATATAGCAGCGTAGGAATTTTACATAAACTCAGTAATTGAATTCTTTTAAGTTTTTATTTTTGCTTATTTTTCCAATCTATCCTTTCAATTTAATTTAATTTTGTAGAAGAATTTCCCGATTAAACGTCTCGTCTCAAATAATCCATTGAGAAAAAGCCAAAATACTATCCATTGATTTGAAAATTGAAATAACAATTTTTTTTTTATATTTAGCTACCCATTGCCAAGCATCTCTTCTTTGTGGAACAACGGAAACCCTCCAGCAAATGGAATTGGCAGAACTTCAGCAAAGCGACTTGAAACCAGCGGCCAAAATAACCAGGCAGGTCCGAAACTCTTCGAGGAGGGTTTCGTCCCTTCCGTTGGTCCCCAGAGGCCACCGTGGGTGTTTTCAGAGTCAAACGAGACGTTCAAGTTCCAGCAGAAAGAATTCCACAAACAGGACCACAAACTAAAATTCCCAGCGCCGACCGTCAACAGCAAGGGTCCCTTTGACTACAGAGGCTCTCTGCCGATAAGGGACGACCCTCCGCAAGCACCCCTATCCACTTCCAGCCCAGTGCCGCAACCTCTGAACCCCACGGTCGTGCAAAAGGGCGTCCTTCCTCTAGTCTTTGCTGAGGCAGACCAAATACCAAAGACCCAAGAGATGAGAACGACCCTGAGACCTACTGATGCGACGACCACCCCTGACTTCAGCAAACTTTTCCCGCAAGAAGACGATTACCAGTCAGGTCCTTCGTACCCTTCGGGCGAAGAGTACCCCACAGGCGGAGCAAACAACTTCACCCTCTCCTCAAAAGGCAGTCAGGACAACTCAAGTCTAGCAAACCAAGTGCAAAACTCAAACAACGCCCCCAGTTACAAAGAGAAAATGCCAGAGGTGCCAAAAAGCAAAAATTTCTCTTACATTGAACAGGTAATAATTTAGAATTAAATTTTTATATTCAATTACAGCTAATTTTTTTTCCAGAAGGTGACAAACACGACTTCAAGTAAAACGTACACCATCACCTCTAACGAAATTCGAAACAAAATCCCAGTGATCCCGCCCTCAGCCAACCCCTTGGAGAACACAATTGTCCACCAATTCCCAACCTCAGCTGTCGGGTCAGTGGTGCCTACTGTTCCACCCACTGCCGGAGGACACCAAAGCAGCAGGGCAACAATCACCAAAGTGGAAAATTCGAAAAACCAGCAAAATAAGTATGTGACCGTCCCGACTCTTCCACCAACTTCAGAGCCTACGATGACCACAGTGCACTCCTGGTACTACAGGGACTACAACAAGACGAATCTTGAGCCTTTCAGGGGAGAGTATTTGCAAGATTTGCCATTGCCATCTGGCACTACTGCAGTCCGAGGTATGGCCTTTGTAATGGCCACGTTATCTGCGGGACTATTAATATTTATGTACTGATCGATGCACCAAATGATTCACACGAATCTCTTATTATGAATTTAAAATAAAATAGTTAATTATTCAGTAATTACAAAGCCCATTCAATATGTAAAACAAAAATCCACTTGCCTTTCACTTTTTAGACTTGTTTGCTCTCAGAACGTCACCAGGACTTGGGTAGGGTCTCTGTTGGAAAATAGGGCCCGAGGCTGTTGTGTCAACTCCAGTATTAGCATCGTCTTCAACAGCCAAACCAGATGACCAAGTTCCGCTTTAAGTTTAAAAATTATAATTCGGAAAAAAATTAAGCAATAAAAAAAGCACCGAGGACAATCCGAGTAAGCAGAAGGGTCCATGGGATCAAGAATGTCCCTCTTAGGCATGTGACCTCGCCTCTTTGGTGGAGGTCGAACTGGTTCTTCCTCCTCGCTGGAAGAGCTGAAACTTTCTTCTGAACTTTCTTCTTTATCGTCATCCTCTTCAATTGCTGTCATCATTGGTTCCGACTCAGGTAATTTAATTAACTGCTGGAATTTGTTTTGCTCTCTGAGGACACTGGCGGCCATAGAGGGTTTTGCATGAGGGTGAAGAGGAGGAAGCCAAGAAACGAGATTTGTTTTCTGGTCCCAGTAGAAAAATCGACCACTGAATCAAGATGCAAGATTTTCAGAAATAAATTAAACTGTAAAATTTCTAACTTACGTCCCGGGGTCATATTCTTCCTTCCAGTTATCAGGAAGGGGATATTTGCTGAGGATTTTCTTCTTGCGTCTTAGATAAGTTGTGTCTGGCTCAATAATACCACTTGCCCAATAAATACTGCAGAAAATTGTGCATTCGTGATGGATATTGTACTTGTTTGGGCAACCAGGATAGCCCTGAAGAAATAAGATGAAAAAATAAACATACATATGTATCTAAATAATAAAACAAAGAATAAAAATTGGTACCATGATAGGAGGTTTCTCCTGGATTTCTGAAAGTTTGCTAACAGCAAGCAGTGCTCTTTTTCGTCGATCTCCATCGTCCTCGGCTATGACTTCCTCATTCACCCTTTCTGTAAAAATAAAAAAAATATAAAACAATAAAAATAAAATTTTAAAATGGAGTGTGCATTGCAATTTAAAATGATTGAAAACCTTCAGTTTATTCGTTTTTTACCTTCAGCCGGTGACTTGCTGCCAGTAATGAGGCCCCTCTTGGCTAACTTTGCTGCCAAAGCCGGCGGAAGAGGCATTTTTACGCAAATTTAACCTTTTTTTGCCGAAAATAGCCGGTTAAAATAATTTCATTAAATTTTGTTTTGTTTAGATTTTTAATTCCGTAAACCTCCACTCCGCGACGCCACCTTTCACTCTACGGCAGCTCTGCGGTTCTGCGGTGAATCGACAGTGTGGGCGTGTCACACTTTGACGTGTAAATTTACACATGACGAAAACAAAAGGGCTTAAATATTTCAAAATCTAAAGGTTTACGTAGTAGGTCGTTAATTTCATTAGAGAAAAACCTCCGCCGGTATTATTTGCTTTCGTCTAGAATGATGGGCTTCAAACGGGACAAGAAGGAAGAGGAAGAAGGTGAGGTTTCTAACACCAACAAAAGGGCCACGACAGCCGCAATTTAATCAATAATTTTTTTATTTCTTTCATTATTGTATTAATTATCTAGAAGTGAGCCTAAAAGTGAATAATTATGAATGTTTACATCATTTTCAGGGGGCGGAAACCTTTTCCAGAACTTGGAGAAAACCACTGTCCTGCAGGAGGCCCGAACCTTCAACGACACGCCGGTCAACCCAAGAAAATGCACCCATATTCTCACCAAAATCCTCTACCTTTTGAACCAAGTAATGAATTTCATTTCATATAAAGAACCTTTAATGAACTTTCAAACTCAGGGTGAAATTTTGGGCACTGTGGAGGCAACAGAGGCGTTCTTTGCCATGACCAAGCTGTTCCAGTCAAGGGACGTCATTCTGCGCCGGATGGTGTACCTGGGCATCAAAGAACTGGCCGGCATTGCCGAGGACGTCATCATTGTCACCTCCTCGCTGACTAAGGACATGACTGGTCGCGAGGACATGTACAGGGCAGCGGCCATCAGAGCCCTCTGCAGCATCACTGATGTAAAATTGAATCTACTATTTTTTTAAATAATTATAAAATTTTACATTAGGGCTCAATGCTGCAAGCAATTGAGAGATACATGAAGCAGGCCATTGTGGACCGCAACGCTGCTGTGAGCAGTGCAGCTCTGGTCAGCAGTCTGCACATGACCCGCTTTGCTGGGGACGTTGTGAAGCGCTGGGTCAACGAGGCTCAAGAGGCAATGAACACCGACAGTGTAATGGTGCAGTACCATGCCCTAGGGGTGCTTTACCACATTCGGAAGACGGACCGCTTGGCTGTGACCAAATTGGTGGCCAGACTGATTAAATCGACTCCCAAGTCTCCTTACGCTCTGTGCATGCTGGTAATTACATCAATTTCTCAAAGTTTAACTTTCAAATTAATTAATTTAAAATTCCAAATAACCTTAATTTGCTTGTAGGGAAATTGGGAAATTTAAGGCTATTTGTTTGAAATTTTAAGGGCAATATTTCAATTTTTAATATTTTTAAAGACTTTTGAATTTAATTTTATACTTTTTATTCTTCCTTCTTTTTACTCGTGAATAGTTGAACAACTTCAAATTTCTTGCAGATCCGCATTGCCTGCCGTCTGATGGAGGAAGACGACTATGGTTCCGATTCGCTTTTTGAGTTTGTCGGATCCTGCCTTCGCCACAAGAGCGAGATGGTCATTTATGAGGCTGCCCATGCCATTGTCAACATGAAGAAGACCACGGCCAGGGAGTTAACACCTGCTGTCAGCGTTCTGCAGCTCTTCTGCTCCTCTTCAAAACCAACATTGAGATTTGCAGCTGTCAGAACACTGAATAAGGTAAAAAATCAAATTATTTTCCCTTTATCAAAATTTTTCCTGAATCCAATATCAAATTAAAACAAACTATGATAATCATTTTCAGGTGGCAATGACCCACCCTGCTGCTGTGACCGCATGCAATCTGGACCTTGAAAGTTTGATCACAGATGCAAATCGTTCTGTTGCTACCCTGGCCATCACCACTCTGCTGAAAACCGGTGCTGAGTCATCGGTTGATCGACTGATGAAACAAGTCAGCTTATATTTTCTTCAATACTTTCAAATTTGTTGATGTTTCAAATTTTTATTTGTCATTATATTTTTTTAGATCTCAAGTTTTGTGAGTGAAATCAGTGACGAGTTTAAGATTGTGGTGGTCAAGGCAATCAGAGCTCTGTGTCTCAAGTTCCCACGTAAGCACTCGGTGCTCATGAATTTTCTTTCGGCCATGCTGAGGGACGAGGGTGGCTTGGAGTACAAAGCATCCATTGCTGATACAATCATCACCATCATTGAGGAAAATCCTGAAGCAAAAGAAACTGGTAAAAGCCTTTTTTTAATTTGCTTTATTGTTTATTATTGTTATATATTATCGTTATATTGTTATATATTCTTTTATTATTTTTACGTTTAGATCAGTTTGTCAAATAGTCAATGTATTTTTTAATTCAAATCAGATTCAAATTTTGATTTATTTGCGGAATCACTTCAAATCATTGTCATTTGTTTAAAAAAAAAAATCATTTTATATATTATAATTCAGGTTTGGCCCATCTTTGCGAGTTCATTGAGGATTGTGAGCATACCAGCTTGGCAGTGAGAATTCTGCACCTGTTGGGCAAGGAAGGTCCCCGCACAAAGCAGCCGTCTCGCTACATCCGATTCATCTACAACCGTGTCATTCTGGAAAACGCCCCTGTCAGAGCTGCTGCCGTCACCGCTATGGCCCAATTTGGCGCCCTCTGTCCCGACTTACTGCCCAACATCCGAGTCCTCCTGGCCCGCTGCCAGATGGACACTGACGACGAAGTCCGAGACCGCGCCACTTACTATAGCACCATCCTCAACTGTAATGACCCTGTGCTGAACAACCGATTCATTGTGGAAAACACGCACCTAAGTTTGCCAAGTTTGGAAAAGGCCTTGCACCTGTACACCATGCAGCCCACGGAGACACCCTTTGACATCAAGACCATTCCAATTGCTGCCGTTGCTCCTTCCGAGGATGCAAAACTCCCTGTTTCCTCTGATGAAATCAGCTCCAAACCCAAGGTCAGTTTTAATTATTTTTGTCTTTGCCGGAACTTTCTGCTTCTGTTACTTTCAAAAATGTATTAAACTTTTATATTATTACCCTGCACTGATTCCAATAATTTATTTGGCAGGTTGTGTACGCTCGTGTGAGTACCATAAAATTTGTAACTGGCCACTCGGCACTAAAATATTTTGGCATTATATATGTTGTTTGATGTTGTGTTTATGTGACGATTCTAATGATATCTTTTTTTCAATTTAAAAAATCAGTTTTTTTATATCATTCATACTCATTTTACTAAAGTAAAGACTAGGTTACAAGATTTTAACTCGTAATATGACATTCTTTTAATACGTTTTTAGTAAAGTTTGTACAAATTCTGCACAATATATTTTATATATGAATGTAGAACATTTTAAGAAAATTTGTGATATTCCTATGAAAGCTCAATATTGTCCCTCTTCTTGCTTGATAATTTCTGTATTTTGTTTTCAATCTTTGTGACTAACCCTAAATTTTTGTAAAATTTTTCCTAAATAAAAACTTGTTACTCCAGACTGCCGCGCCCATGTTGACCAGGGAAGAAACGTACGCAGAGAAGCTGAAAAACATTCCTGAGCTTGCAGCCCTTGGCCCTCCGTTTCACTCCTCGCCACCCATTGAGCTCACAGAATCCGAGACAGAATACCTTGTCAAGTGCATCAAACACGTGTACGAGCGTCACCTTGTGCTGCAATTCAATTGCACAAACACCCTCAACGACCAGCTGCTGGAAAACGTCCGAGTGCAGCTGGACGCCCCCGAAGGATTTGTCCTCATCTCGGAAATCTCCTGTCCTAAATTATCCTATGGCGAGGCGCAGTCATGCTTTGCTGTCTTCGAATTCCCTGAGGTGTTGGCTAGCAGTGTTGGTAAAATAAAGATTAAAATTTACAAACCTTGGCGTTAATGTTTGATATTTCAAGGAACCTTTGGTGCTGTTCTCAAATTCTCCGCCAAAGACTGCGATCCAGCCACTGGCCTCCCAGATTCGGATGACAGTTTTGACGACGAGTACATGGTATTTCTTTACTTAATTTTCTTTGAAGACAGAATTATTTTAGATCTATTTTCCATTCTAGCTTGAAGATTTGGAGATTTCTATAGCTGACCAAGTGCAGAAAGTTGCAAGAGCCAATTTTGGAGCTTCCTGGGAGGAGGCTGGCAGTGAAAATGAGTTAGAGGATGTCTTTGCCCTCTCAAGCATGCAGACCTTGGACGAAGCGGTGAAAAACATTGTCCAGTTTCTCGGTATGCAGCCTTGTGAGAGGAGCGACCGTATACAAGAAGGAAAATCTTCACACACCCTTCTACTTGCTGGTATGTTTTTTTGTAATCGAGTTTTCCTGGCTTAAAATTCAATTTACCAGGTGTGTTCCGTGGAGGTCATGACGTACTAGTAAGAGCAAAGTTAGCCTTATCCGAGGGTGTCACCATGCAGCTAGCAGTCAGATGTCCCGATCCTGAAATTTCCGAGTTGGTTACAAATTCGGTCGGTTAAATCGTTGAGAACACATACATCCAGTTTGTTTTTATCACATGGTGGTAAAGTAATTACTTTTTGGTCTTATTATTTTTTGGCTTTAATCTTCAATCTCTTCAAAAACGACTTTCTGCTGCATGAGTTTAAACAAATATAAGATTAAAAGAATTATTTTACCTCCGTTATGAGAGAATTTACTTTAATATCTAAATAAATTTTGTGTTTAAATCTTGAAAGTTCTTACAAAGTTTAATTAAAACAAGTCCTGATTTTCTTAAAATCATTAAATTTGAAAGATTTTGATTTGAAAGAGAAATAAAATTTAGAGGCCCTCTCAGGATTATCTTACATTTTCATTTGTTCTCAAATATTTTATATCCATTTTTGTTGTTTATTCTTTGGCAAGGTGAATTGGCAAAATTTTGAAGAAACAGGCAAAACAGCACACTTCTGGAAAACAAAGCAAGTTGCTAAAACGCAGGGTCTTCAATGAGAGCGGTTCCCGCAGATAATGGACCGTTAACTAAATTTTTCATACTTTCAAAATGTAAAATAATTAATAATATATGCAAATTTTAAACACGTATATTTTTTTATAATAAATCAATTAATCAAATTTATAAAGAATATATTACGCATATTACGTTTATACGTTGGTTAATATCACCTCTGAACATGTTGAATTTTCGGAATTTTCTCTGAAATGTGAAACGTAGAAAACGTATCGCAGGCTCGAACCGGACACAGACACCAGGTGACAAGTTAGTTTATGTCATCTTTATTATCTGTAACTCCGGATTCGCCTACGCGCGTTTTGTTTTGTGCACAATACCAGTGTAGTCAAATACATTATAGGTCATTGCATTTGCATCAGCATCATCTTTTAAAAAATCATCAAGCTACTCAGAAGCTGCGCTGAAATATTTTAATTGATCGTCATTTCGTCATTATAAAGTTGAAGAAATTTATTTAGCTACTTATTTCTAGGAATTATGCCTAATAAATTTTTAAAGTGTTGCAGTTGTCTCAAGTAGTATACCTTGGCGCCGATCGTATGTACCAAAAGTTGTGATATTTAGCGAAATATTTCAGAGTCCCCTCTCCAAACTCTGTTCACACGCTCGTGCACGCGGGAGAAATCCCCCAATCAAATCAATTCCCTCCTCGACAAATGGCTCTGATTGGCTGTTGTCGCCACTTCGGCACTTCCTGTCCTCTTCATCCTCTGCCCGCTCTGCCGTCAGTGCCGTCTCCATTTTTCTTCACATTGCAGACATACACGCTTGGTAGAGGCGGTTCGCCATTTTATCGTTTCTTATTTCTGCAAATTCAGCATATAAATTCAGATTTTGTGCCGCGGTTTTTCTTCACACGAACGCATTCGACATCCTACTCTCAGATTTTCGTCAATTCGGCGACCTGAGACTTTCGGCTCTGCTAGATTTTTGCAAAAATTAGCCAAGCGAATGCATCATGTCGGCAGAACAGAGACTTAAGAACCTGTTCGACCTGTTGGGCAGCAATACGGATGCAGATGCAGACATCTTTGAAGAGAAGATGCAAGAGCTGAATGCTCAATTGGATAGAGAGGTGTGTATTTTTGAATTGATTTACTTTTTATTTGCGTAATTTTTGCGATAAACCTTGCTCATGTGTCCTCGATTTTAAAGACACGTGGCACGTTTTCACGTGTGCATTTTCTAAACTGTGCATTTGTTCTCAGTTGAATTATATGTACGTTCATGGCAATTAATAAGGATACATTTTTCATATTGTGCTGAAAAGATGTGCTCATATTGAAAGGCGTTTTTAAGTCAAATAATTTTGAGGATTTTGACAAAATAACATGTACATATAACATGGCATGCGTCATCAGACGGCCATTTTACTTAAGAATATTGTATGTTGCTCTGTATTTATGTAGAGGTCCTCTATATAAATTATGCATAATGTATTTACGTCTCGTTATTGATAAATTATGGCGCCAAATTATTCAACCGCGATTTTTTTCTATGAATGTATGGTCAATTGGTCACTGGGGCCGCGATGATCCCTTTGATAGGAATTACGGGGTCTCTGAGAGACCAAGAATCTTACGGATTAAATTTTGATATTTAACATTTCGTCTTTTAGAGATTTTCACGTTTTCGAATTTAAATTAAATCCAGCCAAAATTGTTAGCGTAAAATTTAACAAATACATTTGAAATAACTGCTTAACTGAAATATAAAATTTGGGGCTCATGGATATAAAAATTAATCATGTATTCTAAAAAATACTTTTATTGAGAAAATTGTTTGAGCCTTCTTGTATAAACATCAATAAGGTGCCCTCAATGCTGTATGCATTTTTCAATATTAATTGTATTTTAATCTCCTCTCAGACGACATTCAATGAAAGAACATAATCGCAGAGTTGTAATTATTGTTAAAATATGTTAATATGTGGTACGTGCCTGATGCAATGCTTGTGATAAAAATTATTCTTATCTGTATTTATTTATTCATTGTAATAATTTATGAAAAGTTTAACACGGTCTGGTGTTTACTGTTTCAGTTAATACCCCTCAGCCAGAGCTCAAGCACTCCTTCTCAAAATATGCAGCCAAATGAAAGCAATGCACTTTCCTCTCTACCTATGGTATAATATATTGCAGATTTTTTTTTTTTAATTTTTTACTTATTTCAATTTGTTCCAATTTGTATGTATAGAGAAACCAGGAATTTGTGATCCTCGATCATCCACCAGGCGAAATCCTGCAGTTGCCTGCAAATGATGAAATATTTGCTCCGACGGCCAAAGACAAATCTGTGGCTGAATTGGTGAAGACAAATGCTTTGCTGAAAGAGCTCTTGATCCAGCACACTAAAGAAGTACAGAACTTATGTGATGTGCTCATGGTCAACAAGAAATTGTCTGCTAGCAATGAAGCCCTAATTTCTGCCAAAGAAGAAAAAATTGTTGGTTTGGGTAAGGAGAATTCTAAACATTCTAAAAGCTAAATTTCATTGCGGTAGTTTTGAACTTGTTATTTTATGAACTCAAATTGCAGTGAAAGAAATGAGGCAAAGAAAGAGGGGTCAATCAAAAAAAATGCTCCTTAAAACTCTTCTGACTTTTGCTGAAAAGTTGAAACAAAATGGTGAGAGTTTATTTAAATTTAATCTATATTAATATTATCCATGTTTGTTTGTGTCCATCATATAATTATCTAATTTACTAACTTTTTTTGCAGGGATGCTCTCAGGCTACTACACAAACATGCTTTCAACTTGGAAGAAAGATCTGGGTGAAAATGAAGATGGTAAGTACATCTCTATTGCTAATTCTCGGGCTAAATTATCAAAACATAAAAAATAATGTCATGTTTTAAATTAAAATTTCTATGCTTCAATGCTTTTTAATGTAATAAAAATTACGTATTTCTGATTGGCTAATAAAGTATGGAAATATTAAATATTCTGCGTTATACTTTTTCAGGTAACCAAAACTCATTTGATATTGAAGAGGAAGAGTTGTCCCCTGCTGTTGAAGATGCCATCAATGAACCACCAGAAGACGTAGAGCAGCATGTTACCTCTGAGGTGCAGATGAAGGTTATTAGTTGTGATGAAAATCAAGTTGAGATACCTGAAGCTGCTCCTATCCTTATTGTCAAAACCAAAAAGGATTTCACAAATCTGTCCGTCTCTGAAAATGCAGGCGAAGATATAAAGGTTCTTCCAAACTTGCATGATGGAGCAGTTGCCATAGAGAAGGAGTCTAAATCATTGGACATAAACAGTGTTCACACTGAAGAGCAGGAAATTGCTTCTGGTCATTCTTTAAAGGATCAGGATGAGGACTGTGCTGATCAAGAGGGAGATATGCAAATAGAAATTGAGGAGGTGGAATCAGCTGAAAAGGCTGAGGAGGGAGTGAACAAGGAAGTTCTGTTGTTGGAGGGCAGCTCGCTTGGAAATTCTAGGAATGATAGTGAGATAGTCTATGCAAGGTCCAAAGATGACAATGATGATTCCATTGACAAGTCGGCCACTAAAGATGATGAGGTCAATGAGGGAAATCTGGCTGATATAGGAGATAAAGTTGAAAACTTTGAGTTGGTAATGGATGAGGAGGCCACAGTTGGAGAACTCCAAAGCCAAGCTATTGCTGATGAGGATGTCCTTGTTGAAGGTCACAAAGAGAATACGCCTTTCAAGGGCTCTAAAGTGGATATCCCTCAAGTGGAGGCCCCTGTTGAGAACTTAGTAAAGGAGGCTGCAACCAAAGACCTTATTTTTAATGAGGCCCCTGTTAACGACTTTGAGAAGGTACAAGATCAAGAAATGGAGACTAATGCTGAACAGCAGCAATTGGAAATGCAGGCTGATAGTGATCAAATGAATGCTGATGGAAACTCTGGAAAATCCTCCGAAGAACCTGAGAAAATGCAGGTGGACAAAGAAATTCTGAAGCTAGGAGAGGGAGACAAAACTCAACTTGCTGTTGCTACCGAAGAAGAAAATAAGAACCTGCAGGGAAAACCTGTTGATGTGTCAGCTGAGTGGGTCTCTGAAATAGCTTTAGAGACAACTATCACTGTTGGCTATCAGCCGCCTGAGCAAAATACTGAAGTAGTGACACGAGTGCTGCGAAGTGCCAGTAAAGCCTCCCAGAAGCTGCTTCAAAAAGTCGATGTGGTGGAGCAGGATGCCAACATCATGGCCAATGTTGAGAAGCCTCCCACTAAGAAGACAAGGTCATATGGACTTAAGAATGAGAGGGCACCATCAAGCCGACAAATGAAGAAGAAAAGTGCTGCTGAGAAAGTGGTAGATGAGGTACACACTGAAGTGGTTGCTGTACCAAAATCAAAAGTGCGCAACGTCAAAAATATCACTTTGAAGAAGGGAGAACCTGAGAGGCTGGAGGAGAAAATGTCTGTAGAAGATCACGCGCCAGAGGAAAAGAAGAGAAAGCACCCTGCTGGCTATTTTGTGATGAGCCCCAAGAAGAGGAGGATTGTTGATTGCCCATTAGTGAAGAGACTTAAAAAGAATCAGAAGAAGCTGCAGTCTGTGCCCTTGGGCAAAGCTTTGTCTCTTGGGATTTGGACGTTCTCTTCCAAGTCTGTTATGAGGAGTCGTAATAAGCCTCAAAATCATACTGTGAGGATCCTTGCTGTGCCAATTGACCCAGAGACAGACACTTGGAATGCAAAGCAGGTCTTTCAATTGGACGAATTTGTGGAAGTTTGCCAAGAGGACAAGCAGGAAGAAGATGCTGCTGATGATTATGCCACCATGCGCAAGGAACTGTTTGGCTCTGACTGCAGTGATCCTGAATCTGAGGAAAATGTTCCGGTTGTGAGTTTAACTAATTATTTAACTATTGTAAAGGTGAAAAAAATTTAATATTATAATAGGTTAAGTCTCCAAAGGAGAAGACTCAACGACGCCAAGGAAAGAAAGCCATCAAAGTTCAGCAGCTGAATGCTAACATGTCCAAAGCCAACCCTCTTCTCCAGAAAAAGCGTAACAAGTAGACCAGGTAATATGAGAAATACAAGCCTGAGCAATGGATCATCATCACTCAAGTACTTCGTGACAAATACTGCTTTTTTTATATTGCTTTACGCAAAATGATTCTGCTTAATTGTTAAAACAATGGCCAAGTCGATTAGCTCTGTAACAAGATTTAGTATTGGGGTGTTTTTAAGAAAAAATCCACTCATAATGTTTTATATAAAAAATTGCCAGGCTTAAGTTTTTAGTTTTTCACAAAAGCGGTACGTTGCTGTAACGCATATTTTGAATCTCAAATAAAATGATTTTTAGAAAAAATTTCACTCCATTTGATGTCATTCCTTTCAAATCACCATGTAGCATAAATGCGCTTCTATAACGGTATATAGTTAAAATTTTTGCATATATATATTAATGCGTGCAGCACGAATTCAAATCTTTTATTTTATCGTCTGCAATATCTAGTTTGGGTTGCTCCACCAACAACTTTTTTTCGACGCTTTGTATTATACTTTGGTGAAATATCGACTCGTTGCCGGTTGTAACCGCATGACATTTAATTCCATTTGTCTCGCACTCCATGAATGGAATTCCATCGCGTGTCGTCAGCACTCTGCTGTCTGCGTTGCACCTGTGCCCTTGTTTCGTCACCACGATGACGTAATCGATGAATCACGCATTCAAAAAAAAGGGGCGTGGTCACGTGGTTAGCTCAGCAGTGCCAATGAATCACCGCCGGCGGCGCTGCTTTCAAACAGCACCACTAGACACTAGACCAGATTCGCAGATCACAGTAGACAGGCAAACAGATTCGTCGGAAAAAAGTTCACAAGTGAGTCACTTCTGCCGAAAATACGGCTGCATGCTGATCATTGCCGACATCTGCACCTTCGAATCATCCGTTCGTCGTACTTGCTGACAAGGGCCTTAATCGGGCCGAGCATGCCTTGTTGACGTCCAGCCTCCGAGTTTCAAGTTTGTTTTGCAGCTGAAAGCGGACTCCAATCCAAGGCACCATCCAAACATGTCCGGTGGTGAGCAAAACAAAACTGTTTTTCAGCCCTTTCACTCAAATTTTGCCAAAAATACATTTTCTCTAGTGTGCACGTGAGAAAAATATAAAAACACGGCATAAAATGATAGATGGTGAATTTGAAATTAAGGCCATACACCCTTTATTTTTAGTTTGTTGTTATACTCTCCCGAGCACTTGAATGGCTTGTTAAAAGCTCCAAATCCTAAGTGCGAATCTTATTTGCAGGTCGCAACAAGGGCCGATTCAAGTTCGTTCTCAATCCAGAACCGGCGCCAATTGTGTAAGTTCATAATGCAGCTCGATGCTCGATCTGTAAAAATTTCATTCTAAACTTCTCATGCTTGTCAAAATAAAGGACGCCCCCTCGGAATCTGGACCAAAAAACAAACATGATTCTGGGTGGACAAGAGTACACAGTGGACGCCGCAGACTTAGAGCGCATCTGCGAGTTGGGCCGAGGTGCTTACGGCACCGTAGAGAAGCGCCGACACATCCAGTCCGGCACCGTTTTGGCTGTCAAAGTAATTTAACTTCCTAACTAAAAAGTTTTGAATTCATTCTTAGTTATTTTGACAGTTGATAACAGCAACGGTGAATTCACAAGAACAGAAGCGCCTTATCATGGACTTGGACGTGTCGATGCGCGCCTCGGACTGTCCGTACACGGTGCAGTTTTTTGGTGCCCTCTTCCGAGAAGGTGACGTCTGGATCTGCATGGAAGTTATGGACACAAGTCTTGACAAATTTTACGCCAAGGTTTCCAAACATGGACACTCAATCCCTGAAGAAATCCTAGGCAAAATTGCAGTCGCGGTCAGTTGATTTTTTTATTAGCACAAAAATCCAATCCAATTTTTATGTTTGATAAATTACTTTTCTTGTCAATTGAAGAAGTAATATAATTTTAAAATTCAGGTGCTGCAAGCGTTGCATTACCTGCACTCACAGTTAAAAGTGATACATCGGGACGTCAAGCCGTCCAACATTCTCATCAACCGCCAAGGAGAAGTCAAAATTTGTGATTTTGGCATTTCTGGATACCTTGTAGACTCAATTGCAAAGACTGTTGACGCTGGATGCAAACCGTACATGGCGGTGAGTCATAAAAATGCTAATCTGTCAAATTTTAATTTTATTAATCAAAATGTTTGATTTACCCAAGGAATTTTAAATTTACAATAATAATTATTAAACTCAATATGAAGCTTCTATTATATAAAGGAAAAAATAAAATTCAATTTCCAGCCGGAGCGAATTGACCCTAGCGGCAATCCGTCACAGTATGACATCCGGTCAGACGTGTGGAGCCTCGGCATCTCGATGGTCGAGTTGGCGACGAGCAAGTTTCCCTACAACTCATGGGGCACACCTTTCGACCAGCTCAAGCAAGTGGTGCAGGACCCCGCCCCCAGACTTCCCCCCAACAGATTCAGCCCTGAGTTTGAAGATTTCATCACCCAGTGGTTATTATTTTAATTGAATATGAATATTTTCAGTCTTGATATTCAAATTTGCTTACAGCCTGCAGAAAAACTACTCCCAACGGCCAAACTATGAACAGCTGCTGCAGCACCCGTTCATCACAATTCATCAAAACAAAGACACTGATGTGGCCTCTTTTGTGTCAGAAATTCTCAACTTACCCGACTAAGACCAGTATTCAGTCACAGCCAAAAGTGTTGTTTCTTAAATTTAATTTCCATTATTTCACATACACACACAGCACGCAGTTTTGCTAGTCGAGTATGAAATTACTACTAATGAACTCTGCTATATATATTTTACTTTTTGAGTACAATTTTGAGAAGCTGCGGAACTTCCATTGTTTGCCATATTTTCAGTTTGATAAATTGGATTTTTTTCACGCCAGATTTTGTATGATTGTGAAAATTTTTGATTTTTGTTTCGGAAGCAGAGCGAGTTTAGTGACTTAGCCTATTGCTTTGTATTTAAAGCATCGCAAAACAGATTAAACCCCCTGAACACCTGGATAATTGAGCGCATCTAATCCTGGTAGGATCAAATGACGATATAAGTCAATTTTAATTTGGCGTTGGAGATACTTAAAATTATTGCTCACTTAACAAACTATCACATTAATTTTAAGCTAACCATTCAATTGGTGCGCACTAATGAATACTAAATTTAAAGTAAGCGCTGTCAAATCAAACGTTGCGAGTGTTGCAACAAAAAAATGCATTTTTACATGTGTTGCGATTGAAAATATTAAGTGCTATAATAAAGAAGGTATCTAGTTAAAAAGATACAGAAAATCCAAAACTTGTGTGATGACTTCATAAATTCATGTTAAAATCATCTGTTTCAAATGGATAATTTTGTAATTTTTTTTTTATAACTTAACATGGAAATTAAATTGAATGGGGCAAGAATTTTAATTTTTTTTCACTTACGTGTTATCAACACATTTGGATAGTGTGCATTAATTTATTTCTAGGACACAGTCGCCCCTTGATAGTCTTGTTGAAAATGAGCTTCAGTGGTCATGTACTAGTCCAGTTCACTTGCAATGGAGTTAGGCAACTTCTTGACAGAAATGTCCAGCGGGTGGCATACCTAACAGGTTTTAATTGCCCACTTTTCTCCTTCTGCCAAAAGCGATATGTGTCAAATTGAGTTAAATTGTTATTACAATTACTATTAGAAATTGAATAATAATAATTAATTTGAATTTCAAGGGCGAGAAGAAACAGTTAAAAAAAATATAAAATTAACAAAAAGCAGTTAACATAAAAAAAAAATATTATAACAATTTTTAAAAACATCGAAAACTTCATATTTTTTTTAGTTTGTCGACTGCAGAACCGGGGAGGAGGAGACAATTAGTCTTTAATGGCAATCTTTCGAAGTGAAGAAATAACTAGATCAATATTTGGAATCCTTTGGAAATTTACCCAATGCGATTGAACATTTCAACTCCATTATTTAGTCTTGACCAAAAACTTTTTTAGTTGCAAATGATGTTTATTGATTTTTTTTAGGGTGAAGGAGGTATATCTGTCTTTTACTTTAATTCCATTCAAAATAAATATGGAACAATAGTATCCCGCTGCAGACGCTGTTGAGTATGTTCGCGCGCCTTCCAAGTGTCGCCTGGAACGATGGGCCACCCCACCTGTGGAACAAGGTTCCGTTGGAACAACAGGCCGTATGATAACCATATTGACACCTGCAGGGCTCTTTTATGAAATCTTGATTTAGAGCCTGTTTACAATTTATTAACAGTAAAATATATCCAGTTTGTTTCAATGCAATATGTTGCCGACCGTCTTGATTAAAAGTTCAAATAATTTTAATGTGTGGTACTAATATAGAACTTGGGAGACTCAATTTTTCATGCTAAAAAATCATGCTGAATTTTGCAGCTTGAGATACCTCTGATAAATTAATGAAAAATTTTTTTTTTCTTTTTACAGACAAAGAGAATTTTTAAGGGCAAAATTTGAGGGTGTCAAGAAAAACTGAAAAAAAGCTAAACAGTTTGCTATCAGTAAAAAAAATTAAATTTAAAAATTTAATCATGATTGAAAAAAAAACTCATAATTTTAGCTCCCACATTGAAAGATTGGTGAACGAGGAGACAAACACTATTTATCTTGAATGACCATTTTTAAGGAAAACAAACTTTTCATCAAAACTCTCATAAATCGTTTCAAAAAATAATACAAAACAATATTCTGATGTTATTTAAGTTATTTTATTCATAAGCCAGCTTATTACATGTATGGTGTTATATTTAAAAAATTTAACTCGAATTCTATGAAGTTTTTCTGGAGTATTATTTATGCCATGAGCACAGTGCTGCTTTTACGCCACGCAAGCTCAAGTTTGAAGGCATTTTCCTTTATTTTTTATCATATATAATTTTCAACCTATCTCCAGGAGGGGGAGTTCATGCACAATAAAATGAGATAAACATCCAACCCAACAGCACTGCACTTTTGAATTTAAGCACGATTTGTCCCCACGAAATTTAAAATGTTCAGTCCTTTCAGTCTCGTTTTGATCAACGTAATTTTTATTGGTGGCTTTGTTTGCATCTTTTACCTTTTCTACCTGGACAATCTCACCGTCCCACAAATCCTCGCCTTGCCAATTTTCCAAGTGATTAGTCGCTTCAAGGAAAACGCTACAGAGGATACAATAGTTTTGCCCGATATAACATGGATGGCGCTTACAGAAAATGGATTAAGCGAATTTGACAAGCTGTACGGTCCGAGGGTAATTTTCTTTATTGAAACCTCCGGCACCAGCAGACTGAATCCTCGAGTGGTGTGCGCCGTCGAGTCGGCCGCTAAAACCAATCCAAAGGCAATGGTTTTGCTCCTTTTGACACATCCTGTGCGAATGCTCAAACTGGAAAGCAATCGAGCCCTGATTAAGGTTCTTGCTAATTACACTAACGTCAAAGTTGTCACAATGGACTCAACGCAAGTAAATATTTCAACTAAATTTATTAATTTAAGATTTTCTGTCCGGAATAATTATGGAATGGGTTAAAAATAAACTTGACAAATTGATGGCTTTTTTAATGTAATAATCGCAAATATTCTTGAATAAGAGGATAATGAGGATAACAACATTGCATAAAATGTTTAATTTTCGTTTTTAAAATGTTAAATTGAATCAAGTGCCAATAACACACAGATTGAATTTGAATATTAACTAAAATTCAATGATAATATAAATTGAACTTTGAGTATTAATTTATTGACTTTATTTTAAATATTTTAAAATATTCTAAACATGATTTTATGTTTCATCACATTTTTTTTAATAATGTGAAATTTCTAACAGATTCTTTTGGAATCAAACTACAGATCCCTGGTGGAGCTGGATAAGCACACAAATTCAAATAGTGCAAACGTTCACACAAGCGACTTTCTCCGCAACCTGATGGTTCTCATATTTGGTGGAATTTACTTTGACACTGACTACGTCATCGTTAACGACCTCTCACCCCTTTTTGAGCAGCAAAACTTCATTCCGTACACCCAGAGCGGCGATTTAATCGGAAATTTTGCATTTGGTTTTCGAAGGCAGCACCCATTGCTGCAATTGGTTGTTAAAAAAGCTGCCAAACATTATGATCCAAAAGTTTACATATCGGGGCTAATCGCTTATGTTAACGGCGTTTGCGAATTTTACAATTTGACTCACATCTGGCAAGCCCGGGATGCGAAAAAACTTGGCGACGTTCTCGTCCTCAACAGTACGGTGCTCACCCCTCTTGACTACCCTTATTTTGAAATTTTCTACCACGAAGGGAAAGCATATCTTGCTGAACAGTGGGTCAAAAGTTCTTTAGCAGTCCACTTTTGGAACCAGATGAATCTGATGCGTTCCAATTTAAAACTGGAACAAAACTCGACTGCTCCTTATGCTGCTCTTGCTAGGCAGTTCTGCCCAGTGGCATTTTCAAATTGTGGAAAACTTTTTTGATTTTAAACATTACTCGATCCTATATTTCAGCTCACTTGAAATAAAATGTCAAATATAAAATATGTTAACAAAACGGAAGTGTCATTGAGGATTTTTTTTTTTTGATAAGTATTTTTAGCAATGTGAGCTTAATATAAATAACAAAATAAAGTCAGCTTTATCCATACACATTATAGTGCATCTTATTTGAATATAAATTTGGTATTCAAAGCTTTTGAATATTTAAAATTTTAAGATGGTACGTCGTAAAAATGATTACTAAGTGACTTTTAAGAGGAGTATATTTATTTGTGGCATATGTTGAACGTACTGTTTAAACTCTTTAGATTATATAGCATTTATCAACTACAACCACACTTTTATGAACGCAAGAGTAAAGAAAAAAAAATCTAAAAATTTGAAGAAAATACTGAAAAATGTCATATGAATTCAATATTTAAGACACATGATTATAACATTTCATAACTTTATGGTTCCAAAAATTCAGGGATTGGAGAACGGGGAGATTAGGATTATAGAATCTTAAATGACACTCTTTTGAGGTACAGAAATTACGTTGTTTTTTTCTTTCTTCAAAACTGACAAAGAAATTTTCCAAAAATAATATAAAAAATATTTTGATACTATATTTGCTTTAAGAAATACATAATTACATTGTGTTTATTTTTAGTTTCAAAATCAAAATGTGTTTACATTAAGATTCCCTAAAATATTTTTTACAGGCACTGTGCTGCAATTTTGCCACGCACGCTCGGTTTGAAGGTATATTGTCCATATTTTTTTATCATTATAATTAGCAACCTCTCCCCATGAGGAAGAGTTCATGCACACATGCAAAAAGATAATAACATACAACCCAAGAGCACAACACTTTTAAATTTCAGCACGATTAGTCACCTCAAAATTTAATATGTTCAGTCACTTCAGTCTCGTTTTGATCAACGTCATTTTTATTGGTGGGTTTGTTTGCATCTTTTACCTATTTTACCTGGACAATCTCACCGTCCCACAAATCCTTGCCTTGCCAATTTTCCAAGTTATGAGTCGCTTCAAGGAAAACGCTACAGAGGATACAATAGTTTTGCCCGATATAACATGGATGGCGCTTACAGAAAATGGATTAAGCGAATTTGACAAGCTGTACGGTCCGAGGGTAATTTTCTTTATTGAAACCTCCGGCACCAGCAGACTGAATCCTCGAGTGGTGTGCGCCGTCGAGTCGGCCGCTAAAACCAATCCAAAGGCAATGGTTTTGCTCCTTTTGACACATCCTGTGCGAATGCTCAAACTGGAAAGCAATCGAGCCCTGATTAAGGTTCTTGCTAATTACACTAACGTCAAAGTTGTCACCATGGATTCTACACAAGTAAATATTTAAAATATTAATTATTTAAGATTTTCTGTTTGGAATAATTTTTCGAAAGTGTATGAATAATATTATCGATCAGAGGGCTTTTTTAATACAATTATCAATTAGAGTATGGTTAAAATAATATAATTCATAAAATAATGGAATTGCTAATTCTTATATAAATCAAGTGCCTATTTAATAAGAATCCACTTGAAATTTTTTTTTTTATAAAGATGATTTGCCATTATAATATGTATAAAGTAAACCGACTACTGTGCTAATCACAGACTTGGGAAGTGCAGGGTAGTTTAACTTATTGGGAAATTAGAATATTTTACTAAAATTCAGTGAATATAAAGCTCAAATCGAATTTGTGTGTTATTATTTTATGCAAATAAATGAACACCTATATTTTCATTTTATATATATATTTCATCCTAATTTTTTTAATTGTGAAATTTCTAACAGATCCTTTTGGAATCGAACTACAGATCCCTGGTGGAGCAAGATAAGCACAAAAATTCAAATAGTATAAACGTTCACACAAGCGACTTTCTCCGCAACCTGATGGTTCTCATATTTGGTGGAATTTACTTTGACACTGACTACGTCATCGTTAACGACCTCTCACCCCTTTTTGAGCAGCAAAACTTCATTCCGTATTCCCCGAGTGGTGACTTAATTGGCAATTACGCTTTTGGTTTTCGAAGGCAGCACCCATTGCTGCAATTGGTTGTTAAAAAAGCTGCCAAACATTTTGATCCAAAAGTTTACATATCGGGGCTCATCGCTTACGTCAAAGGCGTCTGTGAATTTTACAATTTGACTCACATCCAGCAGGCCCGCGATGCGAAAAAACTTGGTGATGTTCTTGTCCTGAACAGCACAGTGCTTACCCCCCTTGACTACCCCTATTTTGAAATTTTCTATCACGAAGGGAAAGCCTACCTTGCTGAACAGTGGATCAAAAGTTCTTTAGCAGTCCACCTTTGGAACCAGATGAATCTGATGCGTTTCAATTTAAAACTGGAACAAAACTCGACTGCTCCTTATGCTGCTCTTGCTAGGCAGTTCTGCCCAGTGACATTTGCCAATAGTGGAAAGTTATTTTGATTTAAAAATTATATATCGTTATTTACTCTTCTCATTGTCAAATAAATATAAAATTGTGTTAAAAAACCATCGAATTTTGATAGAAACTGAATTTCATTTTTTAGTGTATATATTTTTATATGATGAAATGTTTAAAATATAATTTTAAATTTAAAAACAGCTTTTTCCTGAATATTATAAATCATCTCATGAATTTTGCAAGGTTGAAATGTGCAATTTTTTATGTTTTAAATACAGATTATGTTTATAACATAAAAAGTAGAGGAATTTGTAAAAATTACTCTATACTAAATTTTTTCTTTTTTATTGCATATATTTAGTTAAAAAAAAAATTAAAATTCAAAATGTGGAAATTTTCTTTTTTGTCTTTGTTATTTTATGTTCATAATTTATTTTAAATTTTTTGTTTTGAATTTTGAGTCAAATTATTCGAATTGAAATGTACTTGAATAAACGTGTATCAGTGTTTGTAATTACACTTCAATACGGGTTTTGTGTAAGGCATTGCTAAACGCAAACATTCATCACAGAGGAAAACATTTTATCGCTGAGCTTGAATATTTCCCTGCGGCCGAATTTTTATCACGGAAACTATGTTGATATCGTACAAGCCAACACAGCACAACATATTCTTTTTCACGAGGTTTGACGGTAAATACCTTTAAACTTGACATGCAGCGACTGACACTCATTACCAATGTTGTCATTTTTGGTGGAGTAATTAGTCTGTACTACGTGTCCATAATCGAGATGATTTCTGTGGAACTTCCGGTGTCTAAAACCTTACCTCTGTTCGACCTGACTAATTTGGCCGTGAAAAGAAACCACGATGAATTTAGAACAATATTTGGATCGAGGGTGATCGTTTTTATTGAAACCTCAGGCTCTGGCAGATTGAGCTCTAGGCAGATGTGTGCCGTCGAATCGGCCGCGAAAAGCAACCCTGACGCACAAGTGGTGCTCGTCGTCACATACCCAGTGCTCGTTATCAGCTTGGAAAATAACCCAGCCCTGAGGCTCGTCCTTGGCGTTTACAACAACGTGAACGTCGTCACCCTGAACGCCACAAAAGTATAATATTTTTTTCATTAAAATTAATTTCAGCCTCAAATAATTTATTTTCAATTAAATTTTGTAGAGCGATATAAATTATTTTAGAAGGTAGATAGGAAAAAGATGGGAAAACTTGATGAAAAAATCAGTGTTAAATTTCAATTGCAATGCGTTATTTCACAGAAAGTGTTGAAGCTATTTTTTTTTCGCTAAAACCCACTTCTGACGCCAAATAAGAATAAATTAATAATATTACATCAGATGTGTTTCAAATTTGTGTAATAGTATTAAACGTAATTGAAGTTTAATTAAACTATATGCTAAATTAACAAACTTCATCAATTTGTTTGATAAGAAAAAAAAACTGAAAGCAATGAACAATTGAACCAGTTTGTTATTTTTCTTTTGAAGCATAATATGAAATTTTGATGTTCTTAAAAAGAATAAAAATTTAAAAATTCATTTTTGCCATCGATATAATTATGTAAGATCTGAACTAGATTAACAGTGAAATTAGTAATTATTTATTATTATGTGTGTATATATTGTATATTTGCCCTGTAGTATTATATTGTTATAATATATACTAAAACATAGATATACATTTTTATGTGCAACTATAAAACTATAATTTTATTGTAATTATGTTACCGCATATTTTTTACTTTATTTTGATATGTCAGGTGCTCTTTTCGTCAGACTTCAAAACTGTGATGGAGACCAAATTCAAGCACTCACAGCATCCGATCACCTTCACGAGTGACTTTCTTCGAGTATGGCTTGTCCTGACTTTCGGTGGCGTCTACTTTGACCTTGACTTCGTCATCTTCAAGGACTTGACCGCCCTTTTTGAGAAGAGCTTTGTCGTGCACACGCCGAGCGCCGGTCGAATCACCAACTGTGCCTTCGGCTTCAAAAGGGAACACCCATTTCTTCAGGAAATCGTCGCCACTTCTGCAAGGGACTTTGACCCGACGGTCTACGCATCCGGTCCGTTCGCCTTCAGCAATGCGGTGTCCCGGTTCTTCGGCGTGTCGGCGGACACCGCCGTTACTCTCGGCCAGATGGAGGACGTGTACATTTTGAACCAAACTCAATTCACACCTATCGACTACCCTGGCTACAATGTTTTTTTTGGCAAGGATGGCGTTGAATGGTCGGATAAGTGGATTGGCGAGGGTTTCGGAGTCCACGTGTGGCACCAAATGAGCAAAAACCGTGGAGATCCGAAATTGGCACACAATTCAACAGCGCCTTATGCTGTTCTGGCTCGGAGATTTTGTCCCACGGCGTTTGGATGTAACGATCCGTTTTAGATAATTTTTCAGGTATATATATATATATAATGTATATAAAAAAAAATAAAAAAAAAATAAAGATTTTTCATGTGTTTATTGTTTCAAGCTTCACGTCAATGCCATGAGCAAACAACCTTTTGAAGAAAAGGAAAGCTATAGCGAAAAGGATGGTAGATAGTGAATATAATTAAATTAAAACAGAGACTGCTGTAAAAAATGTGTTTTATTCAAAATAAAATTTATTTAAAAAGATACGATTAAATTAAACCCATAATTTTTAATAGCGCTCTCACAGCTTTTCCAAGGTTCTATATCAAACATAAATCTATCCAGATTCTTATCCTGAAAATAAAATTTCCAAACCAATTATGTTTTCAAAAAAGTTTATTATACTTTGAATCACTGTACCAGCCTTGGCAAGGTAGACTTCTTTTTGTTAAATTCGGTTTAATCCTTTGGTCTTCAACATCTATAGCTTAGGGTGTGATGGTTGAAACAGGGACGAGGATGGTTGTTAGTTAAGTTAGGCAAGTCTCTGGTAACATAAAAAGTGCATCAAAGAATTAAATAGGGAGTAATTTATTATATAATTATAAATTATTTCAGCACCAATATGGCGGGATGCTATTATCCACAAACATAGCCCAAAAATAAAAACAGCCTGACAAACGTCCGCGGATCAGTGAAATTCCCTGCCTTTTCTGCGTTAAAAAATTGTTCGGTTCCTGAGATTAAAATTGCATGTAAAGATTATGAGACCCTTTGATAAATTTCTTCCCGTTTACTCTCTATATTTTTTATTACTGACAATGACACCTCAAACTATTGAGTACAACTTTTTAACTCTTTCACAAAAGTTCAACCAGCAGAATAACTTTGATGTTTTTCAACAACACTCACAGTAAAAATTCTTAGCGCGGCGCTTGAAAATTGTCTGCGGCCATGCAATTATTATTTTTATATTGCGATAAACTTCGCTGCTGATATCGTCCAAGACAACATACGCACGTTAATTTCACACGAGGAAAGACCTTTAAACTTGTCATGCAGCGACTGACACTCATTACCAATGTTGTCATTTTTGGTGGAGTAATTAGTCTGTACTACGTGTCCATAATCGAGATGATTTCTGTGGAACTTCCGGTGTCTAAAACCTTACCTCTGTTCGACCTGACTAATTTGGCCGTGAAAAGAAACCACGATGAATTTAGAACAATATTTGGATCGAGGGTGATCGTTTTTATTGAAACCTCAGGCTCTGGCAGATTGAGCTCTAGGCAGATGTGTGCCGTCGAATCGGCCGCGAAAAGCAACCCTGACGCACAAGTGGTGCTCGTCGTCACATACCCAGTGCTCGTTATCAGCTTGGAAAATAACCCAGCCCTGAGGCTCGTCCTTGGCTTTTACAACAACATCAACGTCGTCACCCTTAATGCAACAAAGGTTTGTATAAATAAATTTACTTGACCGCAATATATTTTTCTTTGCTGGCCATAATTTTTTTAATCCAAACAACTTCTTTTTCTGGATTGACCAATGACGCATTAAATTAATTTTATTAAAGGTAATTGATTTAATTTAAAATAATTAAATTAACTGTTAATACAAAGAAGTATCAGATTCGAAAGAGAAAACATGGAGATGGTTATTAATACATAAATTAAATAATAAATTAATCAATAATTTTATCACAAATAATTATTTTAGTTTCTTTTTATTTATCAGGTGCTTCTTTCGTCAGATTTTAAAATTGTGATGGAGACAAAATTCAAGCACTCACAACATCCAATAATCTTCACGAGTGACTTTCTTCGAGTGTGGCTCGTCCTGACTTTCGGCGGCGTCTACTTTGACCTTGACTTCGTCATCTTCAAGGACTTGACCGCCCTTTTTGAGAAGAGCTTTGTCGTGCACACGCCGAGCGCCGGCCGAATCTCCAACTGTGCCTTTGGCTTCAGACGAGAACACCCATTTCTTCAGGAAATTGTCACCACTTCTGCAAGGGACTTTGACCCGACGGTCTACGCATCCGGTCCGTTCGCCTTCAGCAATGCGGTGTCCCGGTTCTTCGGCGTGTCGGCGGACACCGCCGTTACTCTCGGCCAGATGGAGGACGTGTGCATTTTGAATCAAACGCAACTGACGCCAATCGACTACACTGCCTTCAAAGTGTTTTTCGCTGAGGGTGCGGATGTCGACTGGATCGGCGAGGGCTACGGAGTCCATACGTGGAACCAACTGAGCAAAAACCGCGGAGATCCAAAATTGGCACACAATTCTACCGCGCTCTACGCTAATCTGGCCCGGAGATTTTGTCCCACGGCGTTTGGAAGTAGCGATCCGTTTTAGATACTTTATTCAGTAAATGTAAAATAAACTATTTTTGTTTGTTTTTTATAATATGTAGGGCAATAAAAAAAAATATGCAGCGCGGGAAGAGTTGAATTAAAAATGAAAAGGTTTGTGATAAAATATGTTCAGTAAAATTTTCTCAAAAGAAGACACGATTAAATTAAAATGAGCAGGTTTTACGCGGCGTTTTTCCTGTGCTCAAATCTCAAATCAATCACAATATGCCGTTTTTTTGTTCGTTTACAGTCAAAATAAAATCTATTCTTAAAATAATGTTTTCAATACTTGGTTAAAAATATATGTGTACCATAAAAATGAAAACGAAAACTTTACCAGGCACAAGAAATTGTCTTTTAATTATTTTATGATTATTTTTGGGGTTGCTATTTTAGTACTCAAAATATCTATAATAAAATTGATCATTTATTTTTTTCTGTATCAACCAAATTAGTCCATATTTAGATTCGAAGAAGCAGAGGCTGTTTGGGTCGTTTTTTTATTTGTATTGTCAAAATTGAAGACGCTTCAATTTACCGGGTTGGAAGGAGCGCCGAGCCCGTTATCAATTTTTAACCGGGGAAGGGTTCACATACCTGGAACCTTGATACACAAAAAGAGATAGCAATCCAACCCAACAAGAACTTTCTACGCGCTTTTAATTTGGAATAGTTTGTCCGCACTGGAAACGTATAATATGTTAAGTGTCGTTTTGATCAACGGCACTTTTATCGCAGGGTTTGTGTGCATCTTTTACCTACTCTACCTAGAAAATTTCATCGTTCCACAAATAATTTCCTCGCCATTTTTTAAATCTTTGAATTCTTTAATGAATAACAAAACCGGCATCGCGGAAACGATAAAATTGCTTGACCTGACTGCGATGGCGCTCACAGAAGGTGGATCAAGCAAATTTGATGAGCTTTACGGACCAAGAGTAATTTTCTTCGTTGAAATCTCCGGAACCAGCAGACTGAATCCTCGAGTGGTGTGCGCTGTCGAGTCGGCCGCTAAAACCAATCCAAAGGCAAAGGTTTTACTTGTTTTACCGCACCCCGTGCGAATCCTCAACCTAGATATCAATCGAGCGCTGGCAAAGGTTCTTGAAAATTACTCTAACGTCAAAGTTGTCACCATGGATTCCACACAAGTAAATGCAAATTTTAACTCTCTCAACATTGCTTAGTAAAAATAAAAATAAAAAAATCATAAATTAATTATTAATTGGGATTCTGATTCTACAGAAGTGTAGGAAGCAAAATATATCATATACAAAATCAATTTCATTATATGATAGAATTAGCTTTCTTTTTTCTAAAATTTTCAACCCTAAGAAATTTAAGTTTATGTTCAAGTAAACGTAACATCCAAATTTGAATCAGTATCAAATTTTCCAAATATTATGAGGAGGCGATCAGTCGGTCGACAAAAATTATTTGAAGTAATGGTAACTGTGACTAATGCATTTCTTGGCTTCAAAATCGCATTTCTATTATTTTCACAAATAATATGTATTACTCGATTGCCTGGCAAATTTATCGCGTCGATAGGCCCATCAATTTGAACTCTATCTGATAATAATTACTTGATCATATCTGCCGTTACTCTTGCTTTAAAGCCACCTACGCATAACCCTGCAAAATGTTGAATTTTGGACTTCAAAGTACAAAATGAAAGAGCCAGTTAGTGAAGCATCTACAAACTTGGAGTTACAAATTATTATGAATATATTAAAATAAACTTTGGGTTATTATATGAAAACGATTAACTGTATGTTTCTTAGTGAAGTGATTGGTGTAAATTAAAACTTCACGATTATGTTGATTTTATGAAATTTTTTACAGGTCCTTTTGGAGTCAAACTATAGATCGGTGGTTGAGCTAAACAGGCACAGAGATTCAAGCCATCCATTCGTTTACACAAGCGACTTTCTCCGCAATCTACTGGTTCTCATATTTGGAGGAATCTACTTTGACACTGACTTCATAATCATGAAAGACCTCTCTTTCCTTTTTGAACAACAGAACTTCATTCCATACTCACCAAGTAGTGATTTAATCGGCAATTACGCATTTGGTTTCCGAAGGCAGCATCCATTGTTGCAATTCGTCGTAGAAAAAGCTGCCAAACATTTTGATCCAAAAGTTTACATATCGGGGCTGTACGCCTATGTATCCGGCGTTTGCCAATTTTACAATTTGTCAAAAATTCAGGAGGCTCGTGAAGCAAAAAAACCTTGGTGATGTTCTCGTTTTGAATAGCACGGTGCTAACCCCTCTCGACTACCCCCAGTTTCAAGTTTTCTTTCACGAAGGCCAAGCCAACCTCATTGATCAGTGGGCCAAAAGTTCACTTGCAATTCATACTTGGAACCAGATGAGTATCTTTACCAACACTCATACAAAATTGAAGCAAAACTCGACTGCCCCTTATGCTGCTCTGGCTAGACGGTTCTGCCCAGTGACATTTGCTAACTTTGGAGACCTATTTTGACACTTTTTACTACATATAGAAAATAATATACAAGTTTTTATACCGTGTAGATTTTATATATCATTCAAAATCCTCAACGAAAATAAATTTTAGTATTTTAGTATTTTAGTAAAAAAAAAAAAAAAGTATTTTTGCACTTACATATATGACTGTCTAAATCTTAGTGAATGAAGTGTATGATTGTAAAGAAAAATAAATAAATATTAATAATAATAATGAAATGATTTTAACTATGAAAAAGTAAGAAAAAAATATTACAATGTAATACGCAACGTAGTGTGCTTTTCACAATAAACTTATATTGAAAAATTCATTTGAAAAATTTAGTTACTGTTCTAAATAGTCTATTTTCAGTATTTTACTGAAGAAATTGGCGCTCTAGGAGACAATCTACGGAACTGAAGGAGAAACGGGCTTTGTTTGTTAAACAAGAACAAAGTCTCTTTTTTTCAGCTTCATGTATATTTTTAGAATATCCGAAAGTGTTAAACAATAATGAAATCGAAGTTTATTTTAACATCTCCGTATTTTTATTAGTGGACACCTCAAGCTACATATCAAATACAACTTTTACACTCTTTTACATGTTCAAACAGCAGTAAAACTTTGATTTTTGGTAGTTTTTTCTACGCATTGTTAATTATTATTTTTCCTCTTAAATTTAACCTCTCTTATTTGTCACGGATTTTCTTTCTCTGTATAAAGCACTTTCAGTATAGCACTCACGTCGTGTTATTTGTTTCAAACAATTATATAATTAACAATTATTCTTGCTTATATCTGCTTCACTGCTTTGTCAGTTTTTCTCACCAATGCAACGGACGGTTAACAATTAAAATTCGATAGATATATTTATTAGACATAATATTATGTGATATAAAATACCATCGATACATAATATATATTTCATGTGTAATGTGTGTGTATGCATTTATAAACGGCAGTTTACCTATTTACCTCCAGTACACATAAACTTGTACTCAACTAACCACCTTGAATTGTCTCGCAGTGTTGTCAAAACACAATCAAAATTAAAAACCAGCGACAAAAAAAGGTTAAAATAATTTCAATTTTATTTAATATCAGAGTAAGAAGAAGTGAGATCTTTGATGACATTAAAATTTAATGAGCTCGTCAATATATTTGAAATTGAGGACGGTAAAGAGTACTCTTTCCACATTATAGTGTAAGCAAGTGTGCCATTTAATTATAGATGATTGTTCACATTTTATTAAAAACCTATGACAAATTATAACTATGATTTGCTATCTACTCGATCATTAAAAGTTAAAATGGAAGAAGCAGTCAATAAAATTAAAGTCTCCCTTTTAACCCTGATTGATTACATATTTTTTATACAGTTCATTTGCCGAAATTCTTCAAATAATTATTGCCTGCCACTACAACCAAAATACTGCGTATATTATACGCTGACAATTTATAATTTAAATTTTATACCATCTTTTTTTTTCCTTGCGGCGCTTATTTTGATTATTCAAAGACAGTTTTACACTTAAAAGCCATTTCAAAGTGGCATATTATTTTTACGGCCGATTTGTATAGGTTTCTCTTGATATTGATTGCTTCTATTCTGAGATAAATTATTGATTTCCATGACGGAGCGCCGTCATGACTTGATATTGACTTCGCCTGATATCGCTCTTACGATGCATACATTTCTCTTTATCAGTTCCGCGCTGAGGAAAATTTTCGCATTTAAGTGAGCGGTAATTTTCGTCGGAGGAAGACAACAATTCAAAATTCATCTTCAATCATCAATTTTCCCTGCATAGTCCCAAAACAATTTTTGAATCTTCACTTTTCAATTTTTTCCAAGAGTATTTTGGGACCTTTTATTATTAACCCTAATTATTATCTCAGTTAAAAATCTTCATGATAATTTTCTAAAATTGAAACTCCATCAATTTTGCATAATAAATGTTTCTCTGAAATCCGTCCATTTTATTTCACTCCCCATATTATTCTCATTTTATCGTTCAGAGTTTTTCAAACATTTAAAATGAATTACCTCAAGTAGTTTATACAAGTTTTCCTCTCCATCTACGATTTTTGGTGTTGCGTGTGTGCGCTCGTTTTTCAACTAATTTACTTTCGCCCTCCCTCATTCTCACTTTCAAGGGTGGTTTTTAGACGTCGTCAGGGTCGAGGGTGAGCGAGGGTCACCGGCTGATCACAATTGTATCCACGGTGGTGAAGCGGCGCTGTGAGTGCGGCGCCAAGCGACGGTGACTCGGCACAAGCGTCGGCACCATCGAGTGGGGAGGCGGCGCCGCTTGCATGTGAATTCGCTCGCCGCGGCGCCGTGACGCCACCCCCATGCGACGCGTGATGCGCCACTCGCGCACGTAAATCGCCAAAGCACCTATAAAAATAATCAAAGCTTACGTAGTGCTAATTGAAATTGCCAGCGAGTTTTATTAATTTGTAGAACTACATTTTTCATTAACTTTTAAAAAAGTTGCTGATATAATGAAATATTTATATTTTTTTTTATTCTTGTGTAAAAAATAACAGAAGTAACAAAAAAATTGGTCTTTATTTAATAATTTTTTTTAAAAGTGTCTTAATAACAACTATAGCATTAATTTCTATAAACATTTTCATAAATCACTCTTTTATCAAATGATTTGCGATTTTTACTAAAATATTGCTCTTGTTGGAAAAAAAGAAACGATAAATTTCTACCTGAGACGATTAGCACCAGGCAAGCCAGCCACGCCGCAGCTAGGAGCTGCACCAACAAGAGGACATGCAGCACCACGGACAGGGCGGGAATCCAAGGGCCGAAGGGCACCTCGAAGTTGCCCTCCGTGGATCGGACTCGCGGCAGCTTGGCCACAACCAGCATCAGCCCAAATACGGCAACCAGGGCCAGGCCAGAAATAACCAACGCACCCGCTGAATGCTTTTCCACTCCCTGAAAATATATTTAAATTGAGATTAGAAAATAGGAATATGAAAGAAAATCTAAATCACACCACAAGAAAAGTGCTGCAGACAAAGGTTGTGGTAACGAAAGCTGCCAGCAGGGCGAGGCGCGCCCGTTTCGAACTGGTGGCGTCCGGCTCTATGGACACCGGGGTCTCTGGGACGGTCACGGTGGCCACCTGCAGCTGCTCTTTGAACTGGGCCACAGCGGCGTCAATATCAGTGCTCGCGCTGCTGTCTGTTTCATAGCCAGAAAGTTCAGAACTCTCCGACTCAATTCCAACATCTGTGTTCACTTCATCTGATATTCCAATTGAATTTATTATTTGGATACCATTTTTTTTTTTTTTTTTTTTTTGCAAGAAGTTAAATTTATAATAACAATACAACAATCGATTTATATCTGATGCTGTTATATTACATCATATATGAATTGATTTCTTTACATCAACTTGTTATTTTTATTGATGGAAATCTCGAAAATTAAATAAACTAAAAGAAATTAAAAATTAAATTCATTTCTTGTATTAATCCTGAAGATTCACAAAATTACTTTAAACAAGGTTATATTATACAATTTACAAAAATCAATTAATTGATTCAACAGAAAAAAAAATTAAATTTAAAATTTACATTTTAGAAAAATTGACAATTACGTCAAATTAATTGCTATTGCTAAAAATTGTTCAAATTTAAAAATTAATAAAATTGAGAAGTTAATTGAATTTTTTTCAATCCTACCGTCAGCACTGAGGGTCATCAGAGGCTGTGCCTCATCGGTGGTACGACCTCCCCAGCGGTGGCCATGTCCTGTTAACTGCACCACAACTGGCAGGGAGCCCAATTTGGCTTTAAAGCCACGCACAGTTAACCCTCCGCTTAAGGTTGGGATGCCCTCTGAAACACATGAGATCAATTTTACACTAAAATTATAGGCCAGGTTAACAACGCGGACCACCTCGGCTTAATATAATGATATTTTATTAAGTTTCTGTGTATTGTTCTTAATAATTGATTGTTTTTATTAATTGTAAAAATTCTGAGTGTAACAATTGGACGAAATACTACAAAAATATTTTTGGAGTATAATTAATTAATTTCTAAAATATTAAAGATTGGAATAAAATAATAATAATCAAAATCAGCCTGCGTGCAAATTATTAATCCAGCTGACTCTGTCATTAATTAAGAAATAAAAACAGCAGGCATATTTCAGTTGTTGTAAATGAGACCACAAGGATTACCATAATATATTTTTTATGTTAGTTTTAAGTTTGTTATATTAATATACAACATATTTTTTTTTCGGAAACTCAATTGAGTATAAGTTTCAATCATAAAAATTTATTGAATAAATTTATAACTATTAAGGTTTAATAAACGTGAACGACTTTTTAATTGTTTAACGATTTTTTTCTTTATCTCACAAAAAATTTTGTAATACAGTGATTGAAGATAATCAATCATCTATTTTTATCTAGGTCCATATGCTACAGCTGGACTAAAGAAGATAACGTGATGAGTAATTTTTTCACCAGCTCTATCAAATTTTCTACAATGTCTGCTTAAACTAGGATCATGCGGTTTGTTAGGGTTATTTTGATTACAACGTTCTGCTTTCTCTTTTACGGGTTTGTGTTTTTTCGTTGGAAAATGCACTCTTTTTCGGGAAACGAATTCTCTTGGTTGAAAGACAACCGTGCCCGAATAATCAACATAAACTCGTCTTCCATCCTCCATCTGCTCGATTTGACGCCGTTTTTTGACGAAATTGACACATTTGACTCTCTTTATGGCACCAGACTGGCGTTTTTCATTGAAACATCGGCCACCGGTCTTTTGTCTGCCAGGCAAATGTGCTCTGTTGAGTCTCTCACGCGCACCAACCCTGACGTTCAGGCCATCGTGGTGCTTCCATACCCCATCAAGTTCATTGACCTGGCAGAAAACCGGCCTGTGCTGCACGTAATTACGGCCGTGCCAAACATTAAATTTGCCACAATTGACATCCTACAGGCAAGTTCCGTTTTTATATAATAATTGAACTATAAATTTCTTAAAAAATATAAAACAATTTGGATATTTACGGTACTCATATATAAATTCAAATGATAAGCATAGATAGTACAAATAGAATTCAAAATATTGAGTTTCTAACTCAATTTCTCAAAATAAATTTCCTTTTATATTTTTGATTTTAAATTAAAAAATTTCTACTTTGTAATTTTGTTTACAGATTATGAAAAATTCCAAGATGATAAGGACCATGAAAAAGAAACTAGGTCGAAGTCCTACTCCGTTACAACACACCAGTGATTTTCTTCGAGTCGAGCTTATCAACAATTTCGGAGGAATATATCTAGACCTCGACTTCGTCGTTTTAAAAAATCTCAGCAAGTTGTATCAAGAGATAAATTTTATCGCCTCACCTTTCGAAACCCGGATCACAAACGCCGTTTTCGGATTCAAAAGAAATCACTCCTTGCTAAAAGAAATCATGGAATTGGTCGATAGAAATTACGATCCGAATGTTTACGGCTCGGGACCGTTGAGTTTCACCTCATCCGTTAAAAGTTATTTTAATATAGAAGTGGATGAGGCTGTGAAACGCGGACGTGTAAAGGACGTGCGATTTTACAACAAAACGGCGTTCACGCCGGTGCACTATGACAATGTCTCGATTTTTTTCGATGAAAGAAACAGTGAGAAAGTTAACGAGTGGATCGGCACTAGTTTTGCGGTGCATTTGTGGAATAAATTGAGCTCGCCGACAAAATTGCAAGTGGACTCAAAAGCGCCTTACGCTGTGATGGCGCGAGAATTTTGTCCGAGTGCTTTTGGAAGCGTTGAGGACTATTTTTGAGCTCAGAATTAATGTCTTTTTTTTTCAAAAAAATGAAGCATGAATTTTAGTCAGAAAAGAAAAAGAGCACAAAAATTTAGCCATAGATCATGGAGCCAATTGTGTATAACTTCATTTTCATTGAAGACCAAATTAAATAAAGGCAAACAATAATAATCAACTAAATCTTGATAGTTTTTATTAAATATAATAAAAAAATTCATTAAAATAAAAAATTATATTATATTATTATCAATTTATCAAAAAATGATTAAAAATAATTGTCTGTAAATCAGTTATAGTTTTAATTAAGCTCAATTTTATTTTATAATGGTTTTTTATTATTAATATTGGGGGACATTCACTAGAGATATCTTATATCCTCCCGGGATAACCATGTTATAAGTAGTATTATTGCTAGCCGGGGAGGATATCTGTAGTGAATGCCCCCCATTATTATTATTTTTTAAAGTAGATCCATCAATACAATATTTAATAGTTGATCAATAAAAAAATTATCTCACGTAAAATGCGTTGGTCCGGATTGTGGAGGCTGCGGTAGCGAATCCAGAGGCAGGCGGTCGACAGGGTCAGGTTGATGGTAAGCGCAGCCAGGGCGGCGATGTGGAGGAGCACCCTGAGTGGCGCCGCGAGGCCCAGGGCGGCAGTGACGGCACCGCAGGTGACTATGGCCGCGGCTGGGGTGCCCGTGATGGGCAGGTCGCGTGCCAAGTGGCGCGGTAGGAGGCCGTCGGCGGCCAGGGCGCGCACCTGGCTGTGCAGGGGATGCGCTAACTCCACGAGGGCGAAGGACAGTCCTGAAATGCCCAACACTGACATCACCAGCCGAGCCCAGTCGACGTCACGCACCTCAAATGCTTGCACCAAAGAGGGAGATTCTGGACTCAGAGACCTACAAGATCAGAACAAAAAAATTAAAAAAAGGAAAGGAATCAAAATAATTTTTTATTGTGATAATATGATTGTATAAGTTGTTTGGAAAAAAGTTTTTTTAGATGAAAAAATTGAATATAGAGAAATATTTAAAAAAAAATTAATTACGCAATATCATTTGAAAATTTTATTTAAAAACAAATATAAACGCTTAATTTAAGATATTTAAATTTCATTGGAAATTGATAAAATAATTTATTTTTTTCATTTAAAAGATCAATACCAAAGAAATTCAATAATAGTTTTTGGTGATTTTTTAAGACTTCTACCTGAAGTGAACCATCATGGTGAGAACAACGGTGACCGCAAGATAAGAAGCAAGACACGCGATGATGCAGGCAACGCAGGCCAGCAGCTGCGTGGCCAACGAAGGGCCACGATCACCACGGGCCCAAGTTCGGGCCGCTTCTGCACGCACAGAATTGACACCCAAGAAGCCGACGGAACACATGGCCGCACCGATGAACAACTGCAGAGTTAAAAATACAAATCTTTTCTGTGAATTACTTCTTTTTACAAACACAAATGATGGCAAAAATGATTTCAAAGAAAATTAGTTTTTTTTTTTCAAAGAAAATCGATTTTGGTCCCGAGAGAAAATGATAGAATAATTATAAAGGCGCATTTTGTGACTAAAAAGTTTAATAAAAGACAAAATGATCCCCATTTGATTTGATTTTTTATTAGTACCATTGAAATGATACATTTATTCAAATCTCACAAACAAAACACAAAATCAAAATAACTTTATCAAGTCTCATTAATTTTGATTTAAATTTAAAAGCTCTAGGAATTAGGCAAAAATATTTTTCATCGTAAGTAAAACTTACCCCTCGAGCGCCGGCTGGTAGGAAGACGTGGGTGCCCCAGGTTTCGGGCTCGCAATGCGTGGCGCCGATTACGATGAAGAAAAGCACCGCCAATGCGACGCTCGCATTCAGCAGCAGACGCAGAATCCGCGATCGCTGCGGAACGGAAATTAAGCGTCAGAGGGCGAAACGAAAAATGGCTTTGATTTCACGATTGCAGTTTAATATCATTGGCTCACTTGTTTATTGGGTAATCAAGCCAGACGCAAACTGCAGTTTGGATTTCAACGTGTGTTTGGTTTATTGTTTGAAATGTAATTCAACTTAATGTATTTAAAAAGTTAATTGGAATTCTGAACATTAAAATTTTTTGTATTCTATGAATAAGTTAATGAAATATGTATGCTGCATTTCTTGCAAAATTTTCCGATCTTTATCTATGTTTTCATTGTATTGCTTATTTAGATGCATTTTTTGGTTTGCCAAATTGAAAGAAATTTTTTAAACAAATCTTTTAACATCTAATTTAATTTAATGTATTTTTCCAAAATATAATTGAAATTGAAATTTATAGCAGAAAAAAATTAGCTGAATAAATCTTTGCTCATGTTTATTTTTAATAAATTCTACAAATATTTACCTCAAGTCCGAGAACAAAGAGCAAGGTGGTGAGACAGGCTGCGCCGGCGGCCAATGGGTCGGGTTCGATTCGGTGGAGCAGCGGAAAGATCCGCAGCATTGCGTGTTTGGTCAACGCTCGAAAGTGTCCGCCCGAGATGTAGTCGATCGTGGCGCCCAGACTACGGGCACACGCGGCCAAGGCAGCCACGCGCCACGTGGCGGCCGCCCAGCCGACGGCAAGGGCAGCTCGGACGCCCAGCACCTGTCTGGAAGCTTCGTACAGAGACGCGTGTCGCTTCACAAATACTTCCGAGTGGCAAAGTGCTGAAACAAGAACAATTCAAAATTAATTTTGTTTGCTAGATTTTATTAGGCACAAATTTTCTATAATAAAACTGATATTTTGGAATATATATTTTTTTTAAATTATAAAATTTGCAGGATAAAACAATTCCACCTTTAACAGGAATAATTACTTAGATTTTTATTATTTAATTTCATTTTTAAATCAATTTCATATTCAGACCATGGTTAAATATAAAACTTCTCATTTTCTGTGCACATTTTTTAGATTTAATCTGATTATTCAAACGATCAAAATCTGACTCTAAAATCTAAATCTTGAAATCCAATTAGATTAGTCTGACTGCTTTGTTATACAGGCAGTTCCAATTACCGGCGCGTTATTTGCATTTTGTGAAAATCCGAGGGGATTTTTTACTTTTCCGCCGTAATTTTTTTTGTGAGCGACTCTCCCAGTCTGAGGCTAATTAAAAATTCCTGCAAACAACACGAGAGTGGGACCGGTTGGTGTCGCGCAGAAATGGAGTGAAAACGCGCCGAATTTAATTAAAGGCCCACCGCCGCACTTTTTATGCAAATCTCGCGAGCTCACTTTTCCGCCTGAGAACGTGGCGACAAAGGCATTTCGGTTCATTCCATGAGCGCGGTTTCTGCTCGAAACTCTGCTCGACGACCCGGGCTGAAAATTGGATTTTCCACTTCTCTTTCCTCATTCCCATTCACTCAGTCAAATTGAAAAGGAATCCTTAAATGCTCTGAAATCTGAAATGAGAAAAGATCATTTTCCCGGTCTTGTGACGCGCTGTCTTAAATAATGAGGTTAATTTGGAATATTCAAAGAATTATTCTACTGCATGGTTCAAATTTAACGGATATAACGAAAAACTCTGTAAACACAGACATAACATACATAGACAGTAGAAAAATTAATTTTTTGAAGATTTTTAGTCTTAAATTTTAATAGGGTCATAAAATGTTCCCAAAAACAACCAAAGTCAAAATATTATCCCATAAATAATTAAATAAGGGAGCAAAACCCAGAAGGTAATATATTTTTGAAAATAATCAAAAAGTTTTGTTTGTAAGCATATTAGAATCAAAACTGAGAATAACACAATTCCCAAATATTAATTATCAAAATGAATGTTAAAGTTTTAAAGTGGTTGAATTAAAACACAATTTGAAACTAAAATTGATTTGACTACTGAACTTTCGATTATGGTAAGATATATTTTTTTAATTAAAGTAAACCCAGGAAATGTAAAAATAGTAATGATTCTCCTCAACTCTTTGTTACTATTCAAAGTACTCGAAGAGATACTTAATATCGTACACGTCAGATCAATTTATGCATTTTGAGCCTAATAATATTACCATAATTGCCATGTGAAAATTTTAAATTTTTCTCATAGATATAATTTTATTTGATTCAGCAAAGAACCTTTACCATTTAATTTTTTTATCAATTTTTATAATCGGGGAACTGGAAAGATCAATTCGCAGCTCCTTTAACAGATTCCTTTTTTAAACTGGGAGTGCACACTAGTCCGAAGACCCATTTCAGGGGCCGCGACAGGTCACGTCCGAAGCGTTTCTCGCCGGCAAAAGTTGGCAACTGCCACGAGAGTTTCAAATTCCAGCGTGTCACTGCTTTTGAAAACACTCTGCGCCTTAAAAGTTGGGCTTGGCCAAAGTTCTCTTGGAAGTTGAAATCTCTGATGCAGGCGGGTGGGCCAACTACTTAAAGGGCAAAACAAACTACCCTGTTATGCACACGCACATGCAAAAGGCCCGAGGTGGAAAGCGGCCATTTTTTCACCAACTTTATGTGCAATTTTTTTGTCATTACTTTTCATGCTGCTGCGGGCCACTGGTTCTCGTCGAAGTAGTTTTTGTCTCTATCCCCGCCGGCAGCCTACTTTTTCCTCCTAGTTTTTTCCGCACTACTAAAGCGGCGAAGCAGGCGGAAGATATCGATCTGTGCGTGCTGCTTACATACTCCACAAGTTGAAATAAAGTTTGTCGGCGGAGCAAGAGAGAAAAAGAAAGATGCGTGGTGGATTATGCGGCCGAAAGAACTCTCGACGTCCCGCAGCATCCTCTTTTCTCCATACGACGTTATTAATTTTATACTTATTGAAAAAAAGGAGGCGCGGCTGAGAAAAAGAGGGAAAAAACTGGCATTATTTTGCTGGAAAATCCCTCCGGCTTTTGGGTTAACGGGTTGCCGATCGATGGACGAACGCTCTCTCGCTAATTGGGCAAATCTGCAGCCGTGGATTAATTCGCACAGTCACAATCAATGCACGTTTTGATTGAAGTGGATTCACAAAACCAATCGGATTGGAAAACTTGTCACATTATTTTTTATTAGCGAGAGTTCAAATGAAGTATTAAAATGTTTAAAATCGAAAGTATTCACACAAAAATTGATGCAAATTAAATGTTAATAGAACTTCTAAAATTGAATCTATTGAAGTGGGAAAAAAATTATTATTATTATAAAACCATCATTAGATAATAAAATGATGATTTTATTTATGTAAATCGGAATAATGTGTAAAAGACCGTTGCAGTTTTTTATGGTCATAGACAAATGATCATACATTTTTTACCATTTGTTGGATTGGAAATTAAATGCAAAAAAAAATATTTTTACTGAAGAGTTTAAAAGTTAAATATTAAGTTTATAATTTCCTAGTAGAGAAAAATTACAAATAAATCTAAACTGGACTATTCATTTTCAGATATTATTATGGATTGTATTAAGCCATGCGCAAATAAAATCATGAAAATTTCAGTAAAATAAATGCAAATTTGTCAACTTCCTACGCATTGCTGACTATTTTGAAATTAGCTGGATAATAGCCATCATGATTGTGCGCAACCCCGATTTACTATTGTGCAAGTTGAGTCATTTTCCCTTTTCGTTTCAATTCCCGACACACTCTAGGAAAGGAACTGTGCGAAAAGCGGTCGCATTAAAGTCGCTGCAGGTATAAGGGAGGGAAGCCAGCAAAGGGGCGGCGCAGAAAATTGGTTAAAATCGCATTACACGCGACGAGCCCTGGTATCTCCACAAGGACGGACGGACGCTCTTTGTGCTCGTGACACACATGCTCGCCGTAATAAGCCGCTCTCGCCAAATCCTTTGTCTCTGTAGTACGACGCGATTTTATCTCGCAAAACAGCTCAGCCCCCGGGGTTACGCAGGGTTAATCCACTGCGGGCCAGAAAAGGTGCACGCCGCGCAAATTGAAATCTCGCGCCAACGACCATAAAATGCTAAACACTTGCCGGTAATTACAAGAATAATATATATCGTGCAACTTTTGCTGAGCAAGCCAGGCTGTCGTTTGGCTAAAGCATAATTTAATTAAGTGCAGCTGAAGCAGCTTTCAATGTATGGGTTAAAAAGTGTTTAAAATATAATTTGTAAGAAACAAAATTATTTATTTATTTAACATTACAGAAAATTAGTTTGCTTCCAATTTGATCAGAAGGAGAAATTTAAAAAAAAAAACAATAACAAAAAATTAAATTTTCCTTTCGTGCCCAGTTTTTTTACCAAAATAAAAGAATGACATTTTAATTACCATATCTTAAGGATATTCACTTCAAATTTTTATTTCCTGGTGGATTCCCAAAATTCAGTTACTTTAACCTCCATTGATTTATGATTATTTTTTAAATTTTATTGTTGTTGTTCAGTCATCAATTGTTACAAATTCATTTTTGAGGCAATTTTTTTTTGTTACATACTTGATTTCAGTTTTTCATGAAATCCACTTTGAATTGTTAACATATTCAATTTGATTATCATCAATTATTATAATTAATATTTAATTGACATTTCCCACCATTTTTTCTAACCAAAATTAATAAAGATTTGGTGGTTACAATTTTTTATCGTTCTCATTGTCAACTCAATTAAAACAATATTCTTCAGTACTTTATTCAATTGCGAAAATGCAGCTCGAAAAAAATGGACATTAAAATTAGATTTATAGTGTGTTACTTTATTATTCATTTCATCGCTCTCTGAAAGGGTTTACTTTGATCGCAAAAACATAAAATTTTATGACAAAGAAAAAAGCACAAATCGGAAATTGAATCGGCGAACGTGGAAATTCCGCGACCTGCTCTCGCGAACGGGAGGATCCGCCTTCAAATTTTCAGGCCGTTAGCTCGCTTGATGATGATGGATTTTTCCGATTCGGAGCCGCTCGCAGGCGATATTGGAAAAGTCGAATGAATAAATAACAGCGCGGCGACAAAAAGGGCCACTTCCAGTTAGAGGCACACGCAGCTGCGCCCCGTAGGAAAATTTCTTCTTCCAACTCGAACCAGCAGCACAGTTAATTTACGGGCCAACTACTTTGTTTATAACGAGTTTGGAAAAGAAAAGCAGTGCGCGCATTTTTTGCCATATGCCCGCGCATAATTTACCAACGTACCACTTTAATAAATTTTCTAGCAAGTTTGTCTATTCATTTTCAACTGCTCGCCGCAGACCAATTCTTTTGCAGACTAAAAAAGTTCTTTTGAAAAATTTACTAGTGCAATAAGCGGTTGAAAAGATTCGAATTTCATAACTTTTGAAAATCAGTTATGAATACTCTGTTATGGATTTTTTACGTAAAGTGTTGTAAAACACGAAGAAAATAAATTAGATTGTTTTTAGTTATATTAATTTTCTATTAGTTCTCATTAACGAAATAAAGCAATTTTTTAATTGATATAGAAGCACAATCTCTTTGTAAATTAAAATTAATAACTGCCTTGTTTTGGAGAAAATTAAATGAAATTCCTTATGATAAAATTAATTCAGTTACCTAATTAACAACTGGCCAAATAAAATTTATTTTTCTCTTCGTCAAAAATTGGCTATTTTTGGGAGTTTTTTAGTTCATAATTAAGTTTCCATGTGTTTTGTTGGATTTTTCGATTCGATTTTGTTTTGCCTAAACAGGGCTGATATAGTGAGTATGAAAAATGCAGCAAATTTAGCAATTCAATTATGTTTAAAGTAGTGCATTTTTTATACGTTTTACAATTTTTGACAAGCTGCAGAGAAAATGACAGGGCTAACTAAAAAACTAAATCAAGTCTCGCTATCAAGTTAATTAATTGCTGGATTTGATGTTAGTGTCACTGGAAAATTTTTAAAAATCGATGATGGAAGTTTAAAAATATAATCATCTTTTTAAGTTGTGTATATGTTGTATAAAAATCTTTGCCTAATTTTTTTAATCACAATATTTAACAATAAGTTTGAAGACAATTTGTATATTTTTAACTCGCATTTTTTTAAATTTAAGTATTATTAACATTAACTTTTTTTTATTAAATTACGGAAATCATTTCACAAAAAAGAGAAAGTTTCAAATTAATAATTCTGCCATGCATCTCTTTTCGCCTCTCAATTCTGCATTGGCTAACAGGAATTTCTCGCAACATGAAAAATGCCTTTCTGAACGAGTTTGTTGCTCACATAGGCTGGAGGGCGAAGAATTTTTTTCCGCCCAATTTTTTTCCATCGGTCCGAAGCACCCTAGGGAGTCGGTGTCTGGCGTGCGGTGGAAAAAGCGGTCGAAGCACTTTGAAGCAGACTGCTGTCTGTACAGGCCATGAAATTAATTTCCTGCTGTTTACAACACGACGCGTACAAAGGGTGTGATCTGAATACACAAAAGCGACACGTTTTTATACAAAAGGAGCATCGCGGCCACATCAGCTTTTTTGTGCAAATCAAACTCGCCCGCAATCAGCCCTTTTTTCGGCATTGCCAGAAAAATGATGAGGGCGACGCCGAGCTCGTAATTCGCAGATGGCTCTCTGAAATGTCGCGCGTGATTTTGGTGCCAAAGTTGGATACACCACCACGTCCAGAACGTGACTGCAATTTCCAATGGAGAGATGGGCGCATGGACTAAATGACATGTAACATCTCATCAGTAAAAAAAATCAGAATGAAATTAAAAAGAGAAGAGATGAAATGTTTTTTTTTTTGTATTTATTTAATTTATATTGGAAAAGTTTTAATGATAATAAAGGTAGGAAAAATTTGTAGTGATGAAACAAAATGATATTCCTTTTTATACTGGTTTTTTACTATAAAAATTTTAAATTAAATAATTAATAAATTTATTTTGTGAATTAATTATATACACTTTTTTGTGGCAAACATTAAATTTGTGCATATTAGTTTGCAGTTTAATTTAATCATTAATAATAATTTACATTTATTAATCAATAAAACTTTAAGTTTTTTGATTATTATTATTAATATGCAATTTTTTTTCAATCTTTAAATTTATTCAAAGCAAAGTTTGATGCTGCAAAAGAATATTAATTATTATTCATTTACCTACAATAAGTAAACAGCAATTCCAATATTAATGCTGGTTTGTGATTCCACATTCATTTAACTGAACGCAATTTTAAATAATAAGAATGGTCTTCCCTCAACAATAATTAAAAAGCAAAGAATATAAATAAAATTTGCGAAAATTCAAGTGGTTAACTCGTCGTCTCTCCAGTGTTTGCATTCGCAGCTAAGTGTGGTCTGTGCTTAGGGGGCGAATTTGCGTGTTTGTAACGGAAGAAAAAGAAGGAAGGCGCGAAGAAGGAAGCTCGCTTTGCGTGTGCTTATATTTTTCAAGTGCTCTCGAGTGGCGCGGAAAAGTGTTTTTCGCCTCTGCTCTCTCGCGAGAGAGCGGCGGGTCTTTGTTTCTGAAGCCCTTTGAAGGGTGCGCGACGAGCAAAAGAGAAAAAGCGCGATTATTTATGGCTTTCAAAAGCGCTGCTTTTTCGACAAACGAAAAAATTGCTTTTGACGGCGAGCGACTACTCGACTTTATGGTGACACGTGTGTTGGAATTTTGGCCAAGTTTATTTTGGGTCACTTTTCAACAAGGGTGGAAGTCATGTCGTGATTGATACCCTCTTATCATACCTTTGAACACAGCAATTCATTTTCTGGCTGTTACGTGTGGAGATTTTCATTAGTATTATTATCAGTTTGTTTTGTAAAACAAATTATATTTAGTTCTTCGTTGATAATTATAATATTTTTTTAATTAATTAAAATAATTTACGAACAAAACATCCTGTTATTAAAACTTCAAACAAGTTTTTGATTGACATATTTTACTTCATGTTAATTTTCAAAACTTTCTAACTTAATATTAGGTTATTTTAATTTAAAAAGCAATTTTCTTTATTAAAAACTTATTGAAAATTAAATGTTTTTAAATGGAATTAGCATTTTGTAGCTTCAATTTTAAAATTCTGATTATCGGTTGACCAAGCTTTGAGATGAAGGTTATAAAAAAAGAATGTTAATTGTCGATGATGGAGGGCAATTCGTGTCCTTAATCCACCTACCCGGCGGCGGCCAAATCGCAAGTAAATGCCGTGGAAAAACAGATTACATTTCATTCATCTCATTTAACCAGCGAGCGAAGCCTCGCAATGGCAACAAAAAGCGGCCAAAAAGCAGCATAGATTCCACGCAATATTCAGCGTGACGTGCGTGTCTCTTTATGTGATATTTGAATGCGCAACAACCGCATGATGATTTATGTGTCGCAACTTTTTCTCGTCGCGGAATCTCACTTTCAAATCTGAGAGGGCGCATTCAGGATGAAAAGTGAACTCGCCTGGCTGCAAGTCTCGGTTTAATAACGAAGGCGGCGGTGTTTGGCGGTCGGAGCAAACCTTCTTCCGCGGGCAATTTATGCTGCTCTCCCGAGTGCTGCATCGCCCGCCGCGCCAACAAAGGCCGCCCCGGCGAAAAACCCCTTTCTCGCATTCCTTCCCACTTGATTGCCTGCTTTGATCATTCCTTGTTTACCATCCATGTTATTATTTTCAATTCTGCACTAACAAGCAAATTCCAATTATCATGCATTGTTTTTTAATTAAAGAGGTTTAAAAGGTTCCTTTACATTTGGGATTTTTTACTGAAATTTTAATTTTTCGTTTACTACTAGAGAGTAAAATCAAAATGTTTTATGAAGTGGAACTATAAATTAAGCAGATGGAAATTAATCCAGTCTTTATTGAATTTAGAGATGGTCGTTATCAGAATTTGGATGAAAATAATGAAGGTCTGTCGAAATGATTATGAATCATCTTATCAAGATTGCCGTCATTAATCACTATCCAAAGAATGGAAAGAAATTAACAAAAATGCAATAGTAATTGATCTGATTAAATGCACCTGAATTCAAACTGTCATGTTGGAATTAAAAAGGAAAAATATTACGTATTTCTGCTTATATATTTTTTCCAATAAATAAGCAATAAATATTTATTGAATATTTGTTGGAACCATAAAAATGAACATTTTTTTTCTGTGAATAAGTAAATGCATAAAAGCTATGCAAATAGATTAGAGTGAGCTGCATGGAGTCTGGGTCACAATGATGCGGTGCCTGTCAGTGGCAAAAGTGGCACACATTTGATTGAAAAACTGCGCATAGCAAAAGTTTGCTAAAGTCGGTGACAAAAAAAGGTAAAATAAAGTAATGAAAAAAGTTTTCAATCTATTTTGAATATATTTTCACGGCACTTTAGATAAACTATAAAAATTCTAGAATTTGATGGTTGTATATAAGTGAAAAAACATGAGAATATATTTTTTAAATATCATCAATGATGACGACGAAAAAATGAATTTTGATCGAATGACAACTAAAAATATTAATTTTAGTTTCATAATTTTTAGATATATTATTTTAATTTTCAAAAATTACAATAACAGCATTAAAAGAATACATGTATTATTTAAAGTTATGGTTATATTGAAGAAGGAAATGACAAAAAAAAATCACATTATGCATGTTGAACTAAAAGAAATTGAAATTTGGTTCATTCAATTTTCAATATTTTCATATAAGACTGAACTTTAGATTTCAAAATGACATCAATCTTTTTTAGTTTGCTGTTTTTGTTATTGTAATTTTGACCATGTTTTTTTTATATTATTAATTGGGATTAAATTGAAAGATCTTCAAAAATATTAATATTGTGAGTGAATAAGGGCGAATGTAGTGTTTGATAGCTGGTCGGTGGTGCTCGTACTGGCAAAGTGGCGCGGTGCGGAAGAAATTAACTCACCGGCGAGGAGTGCGGCGGTGGCGGCGATGAGGAGGGCGGCCACACTGCACGGGCCGCTGACGCCGCTGGCCACGTGGCCGCCGACGACGAGGACGCCAAGAGCCCAGGGGGCGGCCAGTCCAGCCCCCAGGAGGCGAAGGGGCGGCGGACGCGGCCACCAGCTCACGGGCGTCATCCCTCGGGCTTGCTGCTGGGGTGCTCACGCGCCGACTGCCGCAGCTCGCCCGCCCCTGCCTGCCTGCCTCCCTGCAGCCGCCCCGGCCGAGGGGGCGCGGGGGTGCAACGCGCGCGCACCTCGTCCAGCTGCACCCCCGAAGACACTCCGCTGCACTCTTACTATATTATTGCTTTTCCCAATTCTGCATCTCAGTCAACAGGGATTTCACAAAGACGAGTCTCACAATCAGAGTTAATTTTTTTAGGAAAAATTAATTTGTAAAATTTTTGAAAAATAAATACATCACAAACCGATCAACAAATTTTGAAGAAAAGCAAAGTGTCACTCTATAATTTCCATACATTTTTTTCAAGATATATCTGACAATTTTCAAATACAAATTAACATTGAAAAAGATATACCAAACATTTCAAAACAGAAAAAATGAGCAAGAATTTCCAATAATTCATTCCTCATTTAAAAATTGTTAGAAATAAGTGAAAATTTGTTCTTCTTTTTTTTTCTTTTAACCTTTCTTTGAAAGTAATGCAGTAACCGATTGAAGTACTTAACTTCTGAGCAATTTAATTTCTTAAATAAACTCTTCACGAGTCGTTCTCACTGTTTGTCTTGACTGCTTTTCTCTTTAAAGAGACGAGGAAAAAATTCTGCTGAGGAAACGAGAATGAAAAGTCTCTCTTGGGAGAAACACAACCTGCTCTCTGCAGCAAACGAAAATAATTATTTACTTCTGCTACTCCAGAGTGTAAAAAAGTCGCGAAAATTAATTACCCCTGGTGGAGAGGGAGAGCCCTTTTGCGGGGTAGAACGGCGGACGCCTTGCAAGTGCCTGCAGAACAAAGAAAGCTCTCGTGCATTTCCATTATAAGTACGGTGTGGAATATATATGTATATGTGCACATGAAGAGGCTGCTCTTTTGTAACGTGGCCTACTTCGCCGCCCCGCCAATTGATTTCGATCCGAACTCTCCCTGCTTCAAATATAATGCAGCTCAAAATAAGCCCCATTTATTCGATTTCTCACTTCTTTGTATAAATAATTTTCCGCCTTTGCTCTAAAGTCGCACAGCCAGTGTGTGTTTGTCTCTTTTCAACCCTCTGGTGCCGCCATTATTGATTAGGGGTTGCAAGTTAGAAGCACCCCGAATGGATAGCATACCCCTAGGGGGCTGGTGGAATGCGCCCTCTCGCTGCTCGCGACACCTCTGCTATTAGATAAATGTCGCCGCGCTCCATCCACACAATGAAGAAGAAGAAGAAAGTCAAAGTTCCAACGGAGGGTAGTGCAAACTGCAAACAACCGACAGATGCACCACTTACACTTTGCAAGAAGAGAAATTTAGAGTCGTCATTGTGTTTTTGTGCATTTAAAAATTCATCATTATAAATGTTTATTGTAACTGATGATGTGATGATATTTAAAATAATATCAAAAATATTTCTTGTCACCACTTTTTATTTCTTTAATTTATTTATTTACTTATTTATTCTCCATTCCATACAGTCATGAACACAGCAAAAAAAAAAAAAAACTATAAAAAAAGCTAAGAGGTTAAATATTTTAATTCCATATTCCTATAAAATTACCCATCCTTATGAAATAACAAACTAATCTATTTAAAAAAATAATAATAAAATAAGAAATTCTGAAAAAATGTTTGAAAATTTATTTTAACTTTTGAGATAAATTTTTCTCTCCAAATATGCAAGCACTGATCAATATTTCATTTTGAAGTCCACTAATTGTATGGTTTTTTTATAGTATAAATAATTACAAAAAAATATAATTATAAATGTGAATTTTTTACTTCAAATTTTGTAAAAAATATTTGGACAGCCTTTTCCCGCTTACAATTAGTATACTTTTTTTTTAATTGTTTACAAGTGGTTTTAAAAGTTTAAATTTCTTTGAGATATTATAAATTTCACATTTATTGTAATAAATTTTACCAACAGTAACTAACAAAACGAGAAGACTGTTTAAGTTTTGGTGGGGCTGGTTGGTTGACCGCAAATAAGCGCCTTCCACTTGTGGGAATATTTTGTATAAAAACACCTTTCTCTGTAAGTATGTTTTTAATGTTTTCAATATACCGTTTCGAGACTGTTTCGAGACTCTTCTACGATGGAATAATCCAACACGGGCTTCATCGTTCAATTTATTTATTGTTTACTCAGAAGCGCCTGCGATTTTAAAAAGTTTGCAACCTGCTCGCCTTGGATGCTGTGTGCGTTGCCTACATACCGATCTTCAACGTTTGAAGTTAGACTCGGCAAAGTTGAGAAAAATTATACAACGAGGAAATGTCAAGATAAGATCCCCCTTTTCTACCTGAGAATTTCTGTCTTCCCACTGCGCTGTTGATAAGAGTGGCGTTGGTTGCGTGCAGAGAAAAGCGGCGAGTTTCGCCGACAAAGCACGAGTGGCGCTGGCGCCTTCCGCTGCTCCGTGGCCCTTCGACGGCGCAGGCACCGTCGTAGCAATCAGCTGGTCGCAAACATCACTTTTTTGTCACCCCCAAAGGCAACGCTTTTCGGATTGATTTGGAATCCGATCGGGGCCATGGACCGCGACGAGCACCACCTGCTGGAGGAGGGGCCCCTGGAGCGCTTCAAGGGCGCCACCCTGCAGATCAAACAGGACCAGACCTCTAGAAGCCCCAGCACTTGCGGTGACAATTTTTATTTCTGGCTCTTTCAATATTATACATACTCAAGCCTTGTCATAATAAGTCCAGAGAAAAAGAGAGAATCAACACAACGCAACGCTATGTCTCTTAAACTACATTTAGAAGAAGCACAATTTTGTTATCAAATTGTTTGCGGTTTCTCTTATATCCCTGTTATTGTTTAATAGCTTGATCAGATTAAATCTAGTCAAATCTAGTTTCTGTGAAGTATATATATTTTTTTTCATAATATCCTCAATGGTTTTTTAAACTGGGAAAATAATTAGTTCTAATTTTGACTAAAATTTAAAATAGTCACTTTTGCCATTTCCAGAAATTAAATCTTACAGGGAGAGCTCAATAGAAATTTACAATCTCGGATTTGCAAACGGATTAATTATGTAAACTATTCTTTTTAAATTTAAGTAAATTTATTATAATTTTCCCATTCTTCAGTTTTTATGTTATAAATATTACAATTTTAATTGATGAAATTCTCATTTTTAAAATCTTGTATCTAGTTAAATTTTTTTCATTGAATTTATAATACCACATAATGCACTATTTTAATTGTTAATAGTAATTTTTTTTTGCAAAATGCAAAACTTAAGCGTATTAAAATATTTATTTTGTAGTGAAATACGTAAAATATTTTTTCTTACACAAAAAATAATAATATTAGTTTGGTATCTCGCGTTACATTTACTTGAAATTCCACTTGGTCATTCTAAATAAAACAAATTCTATGATATTTATTATTTTACTAATATGTAATAAGAACATTCTTTCATATCAATTTGAAGGAGGGTTGAGTCCTGAAAACAAAGCGTCCAAATCAAAAGGAACCTTGTGTCCAATGCCAGTGGGCGAGTTGGAGGCCAGGGAATATTTTTCTTCACGAGACAGCCTCGTCAACAGCGCTATCGACGAATGCGTTCGATTATTCATCAACCCTGAACTAGACGGCGATCTACTAGGTGCTTGGCTACTGACAGAGTAATTTATTCGCCTATTCATAAATTTACAATTTATTTTAAGAACAAGGAATAACAATATTTTTGGTGATTTTCTTACAAATAGAATTAAAACTTGGGAGAAACAAATATTTCATCACCAAATAATTTATAGAATTCCGTTGATTTTTTTTTGCACTTAATATTTGTATGAGCTTAAAATTATATAATAAATAATAAAATTTCAGATTTTACGCATTAAAAAAAAAATTAATTTTATAGTACTTTCAATTTTCCTTACAGTGAGTAATAAAATAACAATTTCCAGAATAAGTTTGTGGGATACTGAAAAGGAGCGCTTGGTCTTTTTGACGTGTCACTCGCTGATGATCGTCAAGTACGACTTCATCACGACGCGGCCACTCGAACACCAAAAAGTGTCGCTGTCGTGCGTGGACACGGTGGTGGTCGGCGAGCTCATCTACCCACCTGGCTCTATGGTTCCGTGAGTGACTTTCATAATATTTCCACTGTGTCTTGCTTTTGGCTTTGTAACGTGTGCGGTGTTTTTGGTCTGAGCAGACGCTTGAACGGGTTGGCGAACGGCGTCATGAGCGTCGTCAAAGGGTGTTTGTTGCGGCCCCTGCAAGAGCGGTGGGCGTCCTCGGAGGACGCTGAGGAAAACCTCAACCACCAACACTCGTCGCCTTTTGAGTTTGTCAATTTTGAAGCCAGGTAACTTTTCGTTCTTTGGGAGAAACAAGTCATTTTAATCTTTTGCGGTGCTTCTTTTACTTTGCTTATCGTGCTTTTTATGATAGTTTCTTTGCATAAATAATGGAAGTTTATAAAAAAAAAAAAATAATAAAACTTCAACCTCTAATAAAAATCTTTTTTTGAAAAAATTTTATTTTAAGATGGAAATTAAAAGACATAAATTTAAAAAGACTTAATTGTGTAAAAATCATCTCATCTTATTGACTTTTTACATCAATCTCTATCAGTTTATACAAAAAAATGAGCAATTTTGACAGCAGTCAATAAATTGTATTTATCGCTTAAAAATAAAATTTTACTATCCAAGAAATTCTAGGAACTTTGAAAGAAATTATTGAATTTATCTCTTAATTTTAAGTCTCTACAAAGTTTTTCCTTGAATTTGTAATATAATTAAATTATTTTAACTCTAATCCAGGCCTCGAAATGTTCGAGGGGTGAGAGCCATGTGGAACAAGGGCGAACCTCTACCCTTCACAAAGCGCTGGAACCCATTCACAAACGAGGTGCCCCTCTGCACCTACACCTCCCACCCCCTCCTGTGGCACAAAGGTATAAAAATTCCACCATTTTTCTTCATTTAAATAAAATGATCATGTTTTTTTATAGGAAATAACGAAGGCAATACTAGATTTGATGTGGAGAGTTTTGCCGAGCGGCTGACCTTTGCCCTTGATCAGACCTCGGTCAACAATGGCAACCCACCTTGCAAGGTAATTTACATACCAAATTTTTGCATAAATAAAATTTTAACTATTTTTAGATTGATTACCAACCGATTGTGCTGCAAAACTACGTTGGAATTGGCTCTCTTATTCACAATAGAAATGCACTTGGCTTCTTCAAAAGTAGAGGAAAATTCAGTTTTTGAACTTTGACGTGATTTTCTCCTTTGAGGCCTCTTTGTGTGATAATTTTACTATATATGGTATTAAAAAAATATATATAAACCTCAGCAGGTTCTAAAAATTTTGAAATTCTAATATATTGCATTATTTGCAAAGCTTGTTAAATACAAATTTACAAATTCAAACACGGCTTACCACTTTGCACTCTCTATACAACATAAGGAAAATTAAAAATTTATTTTATAAAGCATTTGCGAGCAAATGATTAAATTATTAACAATAATTTTACATTTGCATGAATTTTCGCTTCCAAGGATATTGTGTATAAATTTTCATTTGCATTTGAAGTGTACAATTGCAAATATATTATTAAAATAATTGACTTAAAATGTTAATATTCTTACAAACGTTACAGTGTGCAGATTTGCAGAAATATGAAACGTGGTATTCATTGACCTAAAATTTGAGTTTCATTTCAGTAGGCATTCCTTAGAAACGTTTAATATTTATAAACAAGTTTCTATTTTTCAAGGGCAATTTTAATAAGTTAATATTTATTCTCCACTGATTAAAGAAAGTTATATAAAAATATAATTAGTGGGGAACTCTGTTAAGGACTCCTTATTGATATACAAGGAGGCTCTAGATATTTTTCCATAAGAGTAATGTTAGGATATGATTAATATTTATGCCCGTGAACACCCAAATTTTATCTGTAGTTTTGTTCAGTAGTATTTAAAATTTAAATTGTAAAATTTTTAGCAAAAAATTTCGGGCCGATTTTTTTTAAATTGGGAAAACGTAAAAATTCCCATAAGACGCAATGTTAAATTTCAAAAAATCAAATATTGAGATTAATCCCATGGACCCTGTATTTTCTTTCATGGAATCATCTTCTAGTGTGGCCATGCATCCATGAAAAAATCGCGGTTGAAAAATTTCGGACCAAAATTTATCAATAAGGAGTCAAAATTACAGTTCAATTTTTAAGATATTTTTGTATGCATTTGAGAAAATTAAACATAATGAACTGAAGACTTCATGAGATATAATAGTTATTAACGTTAATACTTATTTTCCCCCCTATTATGTAATTAATACAATTTTTTTTTGTATCCTTCAACCCCATATTATCCACGTGTTTCTTTTCTTCTGTGGGGCCTTTATTAGATGACCTACTGTATGAAAATAAAAAAAAAGATTGGAAGAAAACTTAAGATTTAGGCAACTTGCAATGCTTACGCGTGTTGCATGTGGCCTGCCACTAAATTGTAATTCTCCATTCTCTTCAATAACTCGAATGAACTCGAGAGAGAGCAAAAGGTGAGGCCAGCCGGTTTTGCCTCGCGTGAGTTCGCTTATTATAAAAGATGATAAAAAAAATATCGCAGCATCAGTATTTAGTTTAGATCAACGTGAGAATACAATACTTAAAAACAGAAAAAAGAAATGGAAATATGATGAGATTTCTTTCTTTTATTTTATTTTCAGTATTTCATGGATGACTTATTTGTGAAGATAAACAATAATAATAAATGCAGAAATCATCTTTAGCAAACAAGTCATTCAATGCGATTGAAATGCCTCATGATCCATTTCTTTTCATAACAATGAAGCTCTGGTTTCAATTTTCATGCAAAATTAAAAAAAAACAGACTAGTCTCAGAAATTTATATTATAAAGGTTCAATAAATTAAAAATTAAATCTGTTAAATTTATTATGTGCTGACATTTATTGACAATTGAAAATTCAGTGTTCAATTGCATCTAAATATTAATGATCTTTGTTTTCTAATAAATTTTACCTATTAAAAGGTTCACACTTATTTAATTGACATTCACGTATAATATTTCATTGCAACAATTTTAAAAGTTTCCAAATCGTGTGAATTTTTTACAGAACGAATTGCGCCAATTTCACAACAAGTAGTTCTGTGCGTCAGAGGGACGAAAATTCTAAAAATATATCAATCCCAATAATTTCTGCCTTTAAAACTGGGAGACTGTCTCAATAATATTTATTCTCATTTGCATGCACGAGGCCGCGAATTTCGTGCCGCCCCTCCACGTACTGTGCTTGAGCTTTTGGCCGCGCAAACACGTGGATAAACGAGCTTTTTGATACCTCATCGACCGTGTCCCTCTAGACTGCTATGTCCTGTGGAGTTCCCCCTCTTTTGTTTTTTTTAACGCCGTCTGTCTTCAGGATTACTGCAGGTGAATTTTCGGCTGCTGTTTTTCTAGATTTCAGACCAGCAGTTGGTGCAGAATAGGTTGGACGGAAAACATCTGGCTCGCAGAAAATTACTCGCATCCTGTTTTGTCCAATTGCTGATATTGAGGTACTGATCTTGGATAAGTTTTAATGGTCACGATTCTTTTGCACGTGGCAACCATGCCTTTGAACTGGTTTGCTTGTGAATACTAATTATTGTTAATACTATTTTTTTTAAATAGATTTTAGGTTGTTTTTGACGAGCAAAATAAAATGGAACACTTTGTTCTAATTTGAAATTAAGTTTGATAATTTGGCACATTAATCCATTAAATTTTCATTGCATGATATGAGCAAGTTTGCATAATTTTAGAGTTTTAATTCATATTTTGTTTATAATTAATTAAGCAATTTTGGATAAAACAAACAGAAATCTAAGAATGGCAAATATAATTTGCGGTTTTCGGTTTAAGCTTTTTATTTGCCGATAAAAAATTTGATATGTATAGAGACAAAATATCCTGATTTTTTTCAAGCACCAGTCGAGTCAAGGCTAACCACACGCAATTGAAAAAAAGCAGGGTTTGTGCCAACGACTGGCCTAAAAAATGGCACACAAAAAAACACGTGCCACGACACACTGCTCACCTGACTCATGATACTCTATTTTAACAGCTCCAATAAGCCAGGAATAATTGTTCTTTACGATTCTTTACTTAGACTTCAACATTATTTAACATTATTTGACAGCTTCCTCCTGCTAAATTTTGAAACAGTTCATAAATAACAAAATCTTTAATTGAGAAAATTAATGAAAAAAAAAATGAAACAATTTTTTAGCACAAAACCAAAAATTCTAAAATAAGCATTTATAATTTTTACAGTAAAAATAAAAATAAATTCTCAGTAACTTTGGGTAACTTTTTTTACGTACATGTACTAAAATGCTTTTTTTATATTTTATATAAACACAAAGTATCTTAGTTTAAACATGTGAAGTTTAAATTAATTTAAAATTAATTCCTTCATTTTTTGGATTATGCAAAAATTTAGAAGGTTAAATTACAAAAATTAATTAAATTTTTTTTACAAATAAATCTATAAGTCAGGCCAGGACAAAGTCATATCAGCCTGTGCCCTGGCACAGATCGACAGATGGTGCCTTTCAATTTTACCTTATTAATATTTTTTTCTTAGAGGTTTTATCTTCATTAAACTCTATCATAATTTATTTGGTTTATACTGTTCTCTTATCTCTACAAATTACTCGCTATAATTATGAACAATACAAAGCTATATATTATTCCTGACAAACCTATCTCTGTAAATCAATCACGTAACCCTTCAAATAAACTTTTTCGCTTTTATCCAGATATGACCGATTTGTTCCAGATAGTGGACATTTTTTTTATATTTACATACGCACATTTTTTTTTTAAATAATTTAATTCTAGCTGTTTAAGGTTAAAGTTTTACTCAATCGATCCTTATTCCAGTAAATTACTCATCGTGAGTATGTAAATAGAGCGCTGCAGTCTAGAACTGTTGACCCCTCTTCATAAAGCAATCAAGCCGGTCAAATAAACTTTCGTTGTTTTGTTTCCAGACAGACCGGTGAGTGTGTGTGTGTGTCCGGGACAGAGGAGACTGGCTGTGCCATGAACTGGCTTATCTGACGGAGTTGGGGCGGAACGGCGCGCGAGCGCGTGGTGCATAAAAAGTTTGAGTGGGTTGGAACGGCGGCGACATGCCGTCGACGACCAGTCGCATCATCATGGCCGTGGGGGGCGCATCGGCCTCCGAGTGTCAGCCTCTGCAGGCGGCCAACGGCAACGGCCACGGCCCCCAGCAGCAGCAGCAGGAGGTCAAGTTGCGGAAGGAGCTGGGCCTGTTCGACGGGGTGGCCATCATCGTCGGCGTCATCATCGGCGCCGGCATCTTCGTCTCGCCCAAGGGAGTGCTCGAGCACGCCGGCTCCGTCGGACTCGCCCTGATTGTGTGGGTGCTCTCGGGCCTCTTATCGCTCGTCGGCGCCCTTTGCTACGCGGAACTCGGTGAGCCACAATCTCTCTCTCTCTCTCACCTGAATTTTCGTGACGTTTTTGACACTATTCTGATAAGGAAGTTAAACAAGAATGCAGGTTTTCTTGGGATTAAAATTAAAATTACTTTATTTGAGTTTCCTTCTTTAGTGGTCTTGAAAGGTTGTTTTAAAAAGTTCAATATTGTTTGGGGCATACCTTGCAGCAGCATAATTAATTTAAGACTTTTCTAGAGTTTGAAATCAACAAATGAGTATAAACCGTGCAAGTTTAAGTTGAAAATTAAAAATCGCCTAAAACAAATCAAAACCCACTAATTGTGAAGAAAACTGCTCAATATCAGTGACTATATATTTGCCTAAATGTGAGATTTTTATGGAGAGAAAAGGCAAATATTTTGACGTTCATTGTCAAAATATTCGAGAATCCCCTTGAAGTAAAAAAGCAATTTTTTATCACGATTGTATCACAAACATTCTTCTTATTTTTAACATTATTATTTATTGAATTGCAATTGAGGAAAATGCAACTTTTCTCCACAATTTCTTTGTTACGATTTTTTAAAACCAGCTAAAACCAAAATAATCAGGATCGAAACATACTCAATGCAAATAATGACATACTTAAAATATGTATTTGATTTGCTGAACAAAGTTGGAAGGCAGCTCATTAAAGTTTAATTGTATGGCATTTTATACAATTAATTCTTCTTGATTCACAGTAATCATTTTGTTTCTTACAGTTGAAATTTTTGCTAAAAAAAATAATAATAATAAATAAATAATAAAAAGCTGGTAAAGCTTTGAATAGCAAAACTGAGATTGATCAGTTTTTTTTAAATGCTACGATTTTTATAAAATTATTTCAGATTTACTTTTCATGCGTCTTTTCCAAATTTTGTAAATCATAAAAATGTCAGCATTCAACTTGAAGGCTATGTAAAAAAATTACAAATTGAAGTTCCGTTCCAGTTTTACTAATAATGCTTTCATATAGGAAACTGGGAGTTCCATAAATTATTATAAATCAAACTGGCTCAATTTTAAAGTCAAAGCCAAAGTATTTGTTTTTGAAATTGTATTTAAATAATCTCGTTAGAGTTTTAATATTTATTATAAAAGCAAAACCAGTAAAACCTTTATAAAAACTTGACTTAAATTTTCATATCTGCCGTAATTTTTATGCTTGTTGTAAAATAATGTACTCTTTAACTCTGGTATCTGGTATTATAGTTTAGCGTCATACGTTTTTAATGATATTTAACTTACTCAGGGAATTCAGCTGCCGCCTTTATCGCAAAGGTTGTAAAACTTATAAAACTCGTCAGTAAATATGATATGATGCCACTTTCTTGCATCAGCCAAAATAATTTTTCCAAGCTATAAATTTTTATTCCACTCGATGCTTCTTGAGCGGAACTTGCAGCGAAAAATGCAAAGGTTGCGTGCACAAGCCACGTGCTAATTCATTCAGACCCGCCCTGGCTAGTCGTATGCATTGTACTGCTCATGAATAAAGAGCAGCACGTTTTTTTTTTAAATAATGATTTATTATTTTCCCAGAGCCGTACACTCCCGCCGTTCATTAGCTTTCAAAGAGCGTTCATTGACACCTTTCTCCGTCTGTCTGTAAACCTACACTGAGCAGCCGGTCTGTATTCATGTAACCCTCACAAAAGACCCATTTGTGCAGCCACGATGGCGACAGAGATGAAAAGCAAAAAAAAATCATACTCGAGATTCGTTTCATCATCATCAGTTCCGCCTATTGATAACCTCAGACTAGACCGTATTTTTTATTTGGAAAAATTTTAAAAATCGTCAACAAGCCATTCCAGTATGTGTAAAGTTCATAGATCAAATCAAAATATTATAAAATTTCAAAAAACCGAAAACTTTTATTTCTGTTCTTCAAACAAATTTTTTTTATCAATTTTACTACTGTTTTTTTAAATAATAAAATGATTTATACACAAAAAAATTTAAATGTGTGTACATATAACAATGATTAAATATATTGGAAAGGAATTACAATTAATAAATGGCAAAGTTTGTGTATAAATTAATATTTTATAAAATCATATGTTGTTTTATTTTTGTATTTTATTTATTTTTTCAATATCAATAAAATTTTTTTAATAAAATAATAAGTTTTTCAAAACACTGAATACTTTAGAAACAAAACGTGATTCCCATCAGAGATGGAACGAAACGAGAAATTTTTTCCCAATGGTGCATACCGGAAACATCTAGCTTTAACCGCATCTTTTTATCATTCCAGGCACCCTTTCCTTAAAAGCTCGCGAGTGTCTGAGATAAAAATAGCGTGTGAGTGGCGCACAAACGTAAGAGTTGTAAACGCATGTTGAGCCCATTCAGTGAAAAAACAGCGTGGATGCGCGCGCCAGTAAATGCAAGGAAAAAAGTACCATTACCAACCAATCATTAGGTTTAAAAATTCTGATCATATAGAATTCTTTTGATAGGATCAATAAATTGGTGCCAAGTAAACAAATACTTTGAGCGATGAGATTTGAAATTGAATATGGCGTGAATCAAAGATTATTGATGAGGACTTAAAACGTGACTGAAATACAAAAATGACAAAATCTTCTTGATCTCACCTATGACTTTCAATTGTTTTGCTTCTTATCAAATTGTAGATTCAAATGACAATGAAAATAAAAACAGTCAATTCAAATGTCCGAAATTTTGTTTTCTCTAGGAGTAAGAGTAATAAATCAACAAAATAAATTTAAAAGATTAATAAAAAAAATTAAAATGAAACTTTTAATAAATCTATTTAATTATTTATAGGATTTACATCTTACTACTAAAATAAGAGTAATTATTCTATCCTCCTTTAATTTTTCTCGTTTTCTCTGCATTCTTGAATTTAATTGCTAGTGTGATAATTTGGATTAATGTTATTCCAATTACCATTTCAAATAAATAACACAAATGGAATACAAATTTTTCCTTTTTTTATATTTGAATAAAATAATCCAGGTTCTGTAACCAAATTAAAAAATCGTTCTCAAATTTATGATAACCAAAAATATTTGTATGATCTATTTTAATTGTATAAAATTTACATCATTTGCTTCACAAAAATTTTCTCTTAAAATTTTCATGAACTAACTTTTATAGCAACTTACTATTAGACTGAATTGAATCATTTGATAAACTATTGTTTTTTTTTTCATTGCAGGGACAATGATCCCAAAATCAGGGGGCGATTACGCATACATCGGAGAGGCGTTTGGCCCACTGCCCGCCTTCCTTTACCTTTGGGTTGCCCTTTTTGTGATCATCCCGACCGGAAACGCGATCACGGCGCTCACCTTTGCCCAGTACCTGATCCAAATGGTGCTGCCCAACTGCGAGCCCAACGTCAGCCTAATCAGACTCATCGCAGCCCTCGTCACATGTAAGTAGACCTTGTTTGATTAATTTATTTTAATTCACTCGGAGACAGAAAAAAAAATCAAATTGTAATACAATGCGTCAGCTAATTACTTTTAATGGCCCCTGATTTTGGATTGAACTCTGACCCTAGCGAGCAGATCGTGCAGCTCGGAGAGCAGATCAGTTTTAATGTGAGATAAATATGTATGCATCTGCATTAATTGACGTCGAGCCGGCGTGCAGAGAGATGAGGGTCCTGGTCCCTTCCTGTTTCACGCTCGCAACTTTTTGAGCACATGTATGCGTTCAACGCGCCCAGAGTGTTTGTTTGGATTAGTTATTAGATGGAAAGAGGCACATTTAAATAGTAAAAACTATATTTAATACAAAGTATTTGTTAATTTCACATATTTTTTTATGGACGAAATTAAGACGTTTATAAATTCTTTTCCCTCTTTCTACATGCAGATTTTAAATTTCTACTATTCAGCTCCTTAATTTATCACAAAATTAAGTCAGTGTAAATATTATCATAAATTTAGAGCAAAGTGATTTGCTAAGAAAAATTAACTTTAAAATTTTAAGTTTACATGCTAGAAAAACATAAAATAATTTAGTTGTGTTTTAAAATTTCTTATTATGATGCTTGCCACAAGATTTTTGTCTTTTGGTAGCCAAATGATGGAGGTATATGCTCAAAGCTAACAATGAGCAGCTCATTATTTTATTTTCATTATAAATTACAAACTTCATTTCCCCTCGATTTTTTCCTAAAATATCCATGAACTTTAATGTAAATTTCTCCTAGTTATATCATGAATATGTCATTTATTCATTTTCTGATAGTGATACTTCTAGTAATACTAATAGGTACTAGGTAGAGACGGTTTGTAAATTGTATAGCAATATTAAATTGCCCATATTTAAATAAGCAATTATATGATAAAGATAAAAAATTAAAATTAATTACAAATCAACAAAAAAATAATTATTTACTTAATAACAACAACATTCAAAATAACATTTGCAGAAAATATAACTTGAAACAAACTGTTATATTAAAATAATAGTGTATAATTTTATTAAAACAAATACTTTTAATGAATGTCTTCTCATTTCTAACCGTAATTTACGAAAGGATTTTTTGAAAGGATAAATTTACCTTTTGCCACCAGAGATATTTTCAGTGGCGTGATTTTATTATTGCTTAAAAGAGCCCAGTTATATATTTTGTCAATGGGCGCCGCAGGAAGTTGTACATTTTCAAGGGCGCCAATTTATTACAACGTGTTATTCAATCAGCTCAGCTCTCTCTTCAGTTCAAGGGTCGAATGTGTTAATCAACCATCAAATGGTTCTTCTCCATGCATCACTAATTGACAAAAGGCGAATTCTCTCCACGAGTTGACAAGCCACAGCCAGAAATTGACAGACGGTTTTAATTGATTTTTTTATTGCTTCGGTCTGCAGGTTTGCTCACGGCCATCAACTGCAGGAATGTCAAGTTGGTGACCAAAGTGCAGGACGTGTTTGTCGGCGCCAAAATACTCGCCCTGGGAATCATCATAGTCGCCGGTCTGGTCTTCCTGTGCCAGGGCAACCTACAGAACCTGAGCCAACCAATGGAAGGTTCGTCCCTCGAACCTGCGTCCATCGCCCTTTCCTTCTATTCGGGTCTTTTCTCCTACGCAGGATGGTAACGTTTTTTCAAACTTCGTTTGATTTCAGTTCAATTAATATATTATTTTTCTTTGCATATTTTTTTTTAGGAATTATTTAAATTTCGTCACTGAGGAATTGCAAAACCCATACAAGTAATTTAGATTTATTTTTAAATTTTCGTTAGATTTTTTTAATTATGTTTTGTTTTATTAGAACCCTACCACGTGCAATTGCAATTTCCCTTCCCCTTTGTACGATTGTTTATGTGCTCACCAATGTGGCGTATTTCGCCGTGCTCACCAGAAACGAAATCCTGTCATCTGAAGCTGTGGCTGTGGTTGGTACTTTTTTTTAAATCCTATTTGGTTCATTAACATTTATACAAACAAAATCTAATTATTGATGACAATAAAACCATAGAAAATTGATGAAAAATTTACAGTGAAAACACTGAAAATTATTATTAAGCTATTTTGTCAATTGAGCATCCTTGTGAATTAATTTAAAATTTATCATTCAGACATTTGGCGACAGAATGCTGGGTTCGTTGACCTGGGTGATGCCCTTTTTTGTTGCCTGCTCAACCTTTGGCGCCCTGAACGGCGCGATTTTTGCGTCGGCCCGACTCTTCTTTGTCGGAGCCCGACAGGGCCATCTGCCCGCTGCAATCGCCTTAATCAACATAGATTGCCTCACACCAATTCCTTCGCTTTTATTCCTGGTAAATAAATATTTTTTTTAAAATCATACAAAAAATTAATCAATAAATTAAAAACACTTTTTTTGCAGTGCCTTATCACGCTAGTCTTGCTTTTCATAGACGACGTTTATGTGCTCATAAACTATTTGACGTTTGTGGAGTCCCTTTTTATCACCATGTCCATCCTGGGACTCTTATGGCTTCGGTACAAACAACCAGACGCCCATAGACCAATTAAGGTGTTAATTCAAATTTCATCATTTTTTTTTTTTTTAATAATTTCCTTTTTGAAATAAGGTCAACATTATGCTGCCAATCATGTTTTTCATCGTGTGCATATTTTTGGTCACAATGCCCGTTTATAAAAAGCCAGGAGAAGTTGGCGTTGGTCTTCTGATAATCGCCACTGGCATTCCAGTTTATCTAATCTGCATTCGCTGGAAGAATAAGCCAAAGTGGATGATCAATGCATCAGGTTAGTTAAACATTTTATGCAAAAAGAAAAATGAAAGGAAAAACAACTCAAATTAAATCTTTGGTATAATTGAAAAGGGGATTTCAATGGATAGTTAATTTTTACTTTTTCAAATTATTGCTCAATATTAAATAATAAGTTAACTTGAATTAAATCAATAAGTTAAAGACTTTTTTTTTTTTTTTAAATCTAAAATATTATCTCCAATACCTGATAAATATTTAAAAAATTAATAATTTTCATAGACTTTGAACTGTTGATTTATTTGTCTATAATTTCATACTGTTTATTGAAATGATAAAGGTAAGCCTTGTTTAATTTTTCAGATCGATTAAATCTGCTCTGCGTAAAAGTGTTTAAATGTGTTCTTGAGGAGAAGGAAGATTGACCATCAAGAAAGTCTTTACATTCCGATTCATGTTGAACACAACCAAGAAGCCAATGTGAACAAAAGTTTATTGTTAAGCGTATATTTGCACACACGTTGATATTCATTCCATTTAGGAACAAAATAAAATGTTTTAAGAAAAAGTTTGATAGCGAAAGAAAATACAGGGAAAACAACGATCTCGAGGATTGAATTGAGTAAAAGTACAATATATGTGCGCGCGTGAAAATGAGTTTGCACATCTGCACGACCACTTTTTCGGAGGGACCACCGCATTTATTGAAAACATTTTTTACACAAAAAAAAAAAAAAAATACTTTTAAAAATAGTAATTAAAAAAAATATTTGTAATATTAAAATATTAATTTGCTTTTTTTTTTCAAATCTTCTAAAACAAAAAACACCAAGATTTTTAAGCATAAATAAAAATACAAAATTAATTTTACTATTTTTACTACATTGATTTCCATTTTTATTCAAATCAATTCCATTCAACGTTTGTAATGTCATGTATAGGTTTATCAAATTTAGTAGATTGAGCATCAGGTGCGCTCATAGATTGTAGAATTGTCGATGCTCAAATGGAGAAAAAAATATGTGCGATTTAATTTATTTATTTGCCTTTCATATATCAAAAAACCATAAATTGTCATTGTGAATCTAAAAATAAAAATCTTTCAATTCTAATTAAACAGATTAAATTAACAAAACTTCTCTGAAAATAAACGTTTTTATCCTTTAAAAAAATTAAAAAGCGAGTCAAATTTTTGACTTAATAATAAAAATCATTATTTGCACTGCAAAAGTCAAGACCACTTTGATTATCTAGGAAATAGAATAAACCTAGATCTGTAAATTTTTAGATAAAAATGTTTTTCTTTTAATCTCTATGATCATTTAAAAATGTTAATCTCAACAACACTTGGAATTCGTTACATGGATAGAATAACATTGATAGAAATTTGAAAACTTTCTGAAAAAATTGAGTTCAATTGAAACCCAAAGAAATTGAAAGGAAATCTAAAAACAAATCAAATAATGAAATAAAAACGAAAAATTTCAGGTCACCAATTTTTGCTGGTTTAAAAATAATCCGACGAGAAGGTAAGCAACTTATAAAAGTGAAAAAAATAATAAATTTCACGTCTAAAAATAAGCTGATGGACCACGAGTGGACGACCTTGGCAGTATCGCGGCGGGTCTAGTTTTTGCCGCGACAACGGTGCTCTGTCGGTGCTCGCTTGGAGAGAGGAGGAGTGGGAGTGGTCGGAAGTGAAAGGGCATGGTTCGCACGTGGAGCGCCGCGTTTTCATATAATAATATGTGGAATACCTCCACCTCTCCAATTCTTGCAAGTAGGCCAATTTACGAGACAAGTGCCGAGCAGAAGGAAGGTTTCCTCAACTCCTCTGGTAGCTCAGTTGGTAGAGCGGTGGACTGTAGAGGAATATAATGCAGAAATCCATAGGCCGCTGGTTCGAATCCGGCCCGGAGGAAATCTTTTTGAAAAAAATAAGCCAATATTGAATATTTAAATTTACTTTCACTCCAATCAGGTCAATGCGTGCGATAACAAGTGGAGCGCGATTGCAATTCAATATCTCCTCTGGTAGCTCAGTTGGTAGAGCGGTGGACTGTAGTTGAGTGATAAACAGACATCCATAGGCCGCTGGTTCGAATCCGGCCCGGAGGAATTCCTTTTGGCCAAATCGCCAAAATTATTGTCAAAAATTAATAAAATGATCGAGCTTAAATAATTCAAAAGGATTATTTTTATTCTCCTCATTTGCATGAATCTAAAGTGGGCACGTTAAAGTAGTGTTATTGAAAATTAACGAATTTAGGTGTGCCAGTTTTAGCATTAAAAAAAATTATAAATCAGAACAAGAAAGTAGCACATTTGTTTGAAGAAATTGACACTCGAGGAGATGATCGATCGACCATGGAAATGAAGAACTCGGGCTTCTTCCTCGAGTTCTTTACTTTAAAAAAAATAACATTTTTATATTTAATAATCACGTAAAATTAAATTCAACGGAACATTTAACTTTTACTTTTAATTCAATAATAAATTATGTTTAAATAAATTTATTTGATTAATTTTATTTAAACTAAACATTGAATTTTCAATTAAGCAAAATTAAAAGAATTTCTTTTAACATTTATGCTTTGTAATTTTGTTTGTTTCCAATGAATAAAAATTAATGTCTGGCAAGCCTTATGGATTAAATCATGTACAAATACTGTCTGCTAATTTGATTAGCTTGCAGTCATTATCAAATATATTAATCATAATGTATATTGCGTGTATTGTATGTGAATGCTCGTTACTCTAAAGGTTAATTATAAAAAAAAATTTTCTTCATAATCGATTCTAAATTGTAATCTTGTTTTGTAAATTCAAGTAACTTAAGCAAATCGATTTTGAATCTTCTGTTTTTATGGAAAAATTACTTTTGTTTGAAGGCTTCTATTGCGGAGTACAAATTTGATCTTTAGTAATTCATTTTATTTAGAAAATTAAAAAAATAAATAAATAAAGGTGTTAAAAGGGTCAGGGGCGTCAGGGCAGATTTCACAACGTTGCAAAGCTAAAATTTAGATCCAAATGAAAAAATTGAAAAAGGAATTCCTCCGGGCCGGATTCGAACCAGCGGCCTATGGATGTCTGTTTATCACTCAACTACAGTCCACCGCTCTACCAACTGAGCTACCAGAGGAGTTATTTACAGTGCAAAAATACTCGGCTGTTCATTCCACGGTTTGCCCTCTTAATTTAAGTGAAAGTGGTGTGGAGTTGCTGGCCAAGAGCACGAGCACACACACCTTGCTCAGGAATCTGCCGTCGGTCGCTGGTCGGCGAACCGGTCTCCGCTGCATGGCTCAGCATTTTAGAAACGCAACGGTTTTATGTGACAACGTGAGAGCTTAAATTTTTTAATGCATATCTGCCAACAGTGCCATCACATAAAAGTGAAAGGTCAACAGTTGAAACAGTTTAAAAAAATTGGCAAATGAAAAGTTCAGTTGGTTGAACTTATTGTAATCTTATTTAGATGATAAGAAGAAATCAACAGGAATGAGGAATTCCTAATACCAAATTTTTGGACAGTTTGTAAGGACTTTGAAGAAAAACGGCAAAATTAATTAATTGATAAAATGGTTAAGAAGCAAGTTTTTTAACTTCAGTGGTGATCAAAATAAGGGTATTATAGAATGGAACAAAAAAAATTGACAAATTTTGCAAGCTTAAATGAATTTTGTTAATTGTTATTTTTAATTATTTTATGCTATATATTTAAATTTAGGAGTTCCATTGTTCTACTTTAAATGGAGAAAAATGAGGTTCTAATTTTTTATAAGTACAACAAAGTAAGTAAGTAAAACCACTTTAAAGTTCTACAAATTAAAACATAAGTAATTTACAGTGATTGTGACTCTTCTGTATGTATCATTATAATTCAGATTGATCAAATTAAATCTCTAATCCGTTCAAATGATAGATTATAGTTAAAAATTGATTCCTCAGACTTGTTCGGTGAAAATAAAAATAATTCAATTAAAAAAGTTATCTGTCTACTCCAACGTGGAATCCTCTCTTTTTATGGAATTGAGCCGCAGCCATCCTTCGCTTGATGAGTTAATATTTTATTGTGTTTTCAAGATAATTTTTTTTTAATTCGTCAATGAATTATTTAGAATGCAAATCTAAACCAAATTAATAATTTCTAATAATTAAAAAAAATATCCAGTTGATAAATGAAACGATAAAAATTCTTACGACCCAAGCTATAAGTTGCAATGTATGCTGATAGAGGACTACTCGTAGATAATTAGGCGAAAAATCGATCAGGCTCTCAGAAGCACTTTCGATTAGCAAACACAGCGAGATAGGTTTAATTAGTTGAACAAACGCGCTGTGTGCCACCCGCATAAAAATAAAAAAGCAGCCACCGCGCATTAGCCCTCGGTGTGTGTTTGTGTCAAAGGCCACGTGCATCAGCGTGCGGTGGTGAGCGAGCGAGTAGCCCGCATGCCCATCACTATTGATTCTCGGCTGCGAGCGCAAGATGATTGTGAAACGCTGGCTGCCGTAATGGCATCACTTGTGGCACAACATCCCAGGTTCTGCTGATCGGAAATTTCCAATAAACAAGTACGATTTGGCGCCCGAATGTGCAGAATGGCGTCGTGAGCCGAATCAGCAGCTTTCAAGGCAAGTCGAGCAAAACGTCTTTCCCTTCGATTATTATATTGTTTCCCGCTTCGTCTGCGAAAATCCGCGACTTCCTTTCTGAAAACCAGATCCTGCTTGCTCAGGTTGCGAAAAATGGCGAGCCCCGACGTGTACGAAATGTCCCATCGGAGCCGGGGCTACCGACAGCGGCCCCACACGGCCCCGACGGCCTCCTACTCGTTCGACTCCGAGTACTCGACGGCCAGCAACACGCCACGACCCTCCATCTACACAATCAGCAGAAGCGTTGTTTTCGACGACAGCATGTGAGTCCGAATTTGGGTCAATTTTACTTCTTTAGATTGAGTTAATGTAACTGGGATATTTTTAAAAGGTGCCAAACAATTGCGTTCAAAAGGGGTTTCAATCAAACTTGTATTGACTTATAAAAAATTATCTAATCAATTTTGTGTAATTCGATATAAATTAAATGAGAAATAACCTAAAAAATAGTGAACAAAAACGCAGATGTAAGTTTTACTTGAGAATCTCCTTATAAAAATATTCACTAAATAATTGGAATTAAAAAATAATCAATCAAAAATACGAACGTAAGATCGTATTTTAGACAGAGTTACTTTTTAATTAGAGGAACTGAAATAAACAAAGAAGCAGGATATCTCTAGATTTATGTTCAAGTTTCCACCTGCACTACACCTGCATTAGAAAATTTCAGACTTTCACCTAAAATCACATATTTTAATTTTCATATATAAATATCAAAATTAATAAAGGTAGCATTTAAATTTATTTGAAAACAATTTTATATATAATAAACAAAAAAATCAGTTATAATGAGACTGGACTTATGACTTATTAATGGAAAAAAGTAATTTAGCAAAATTTACATATTAATTTTTTTTTAATTTTAACTTTACATAATATCCCAAATTTGAAGCTGACAATGAGCAAGAAATTTTTTCTTGCGATTTAATAAATTCCCATTCTTTTAATACAAATTAAATAATTTAAGATGGCAAGGAGGGTGTTCGGAAACCATAAATCCAGTTTCGAGGAGAAGATACGCCATCCCTAGAGGAGTTGCAAGGCTGGTGAGGAACCTTTCGGGGAGGAGACGGAGAGAAGCGGTGCCCTTGAGACCAAGATCGGCGCCCTTTAGCATAGGTAAGAAAGTGAGCATTTTTTTCTCTCCAAAACGTATTGACGAATTTTGTCAGCCCCTCAAAATGAGGACAACACGGTTCGCTTGGCGAAACTGTCGGTTCAGAAGTTGCAACCGAAAAAGGCAGCACCGAATTTGTCCACCAAAGTGGCCCCCAGTCAAAGTACGGACCTGATCAACAGCATCGCCAAATCAACCATATCACTCGATGACCCCACCATGATGAGCAACACCGGCTACTGCTGGAAGAGAAACATAGATCCTCAGAGTACAAAAATAAAATTCTTTGTAATTTTAAATATGAATGAAAATATATTTGCAGGTCATTCTTATATTGGCTGGCTGAGTCTAGTGGCCATGGCTTGTCTGTACAACTGCTGGGTCATCCCCCTCCGCTGCGTCTTTCCATATCAAACCCCTGAAAACACCCCCATCTGGTTGACCGTGGACTTTTGCGCCGACATCATCTATGTGATCGACATGGCCTTCGTTCAGCCGAGGGTCATGTTCATTAGCCAGGGTCTTTGGGTCAACGACCGCAGCCAAATGAGGAGAAACTACCTCACCAAGATCGAGTTCAAGGTGTGAGGAAGGAAATAAAAAAAAACCCGAATTTAAGTAATTGTAAAAAATTTCAGTTGGACGTTTTGTCCCTCATCCCGCTAGATTTGCTCTACTTTTGGCTTGGGACGGACACGCCGTGGTTGAGATTGCCTCGGTTTTTTAAAGTATGTTTCCAAAACGTCGCTATGAATGTTTGGTGATAAAATAATTAACAAGGCTCTTGTTCCCTAATTTTTTTCTTTCAATTTTGATTAACTTTGGAAATGTACTGCAGCCCTAGCTCATGGGAGCAAAAATGATTTTATTTTAATTATTTAAACTTTCAATATTTTAATTTTTTATAATAATAATTGTATTTGAAATAGTTCCGTATTTAGTGAGCAAACGTATAATTTTTTTTAAAGAAAAAATTTGAACAAGAAAAAGCCTGGTTAATTCTATAATGATCATGATTCAATTACATATCTAGAAAAAAAGTAGCATTGATTTTAATATAAAAATAAAATCCCACCAGGTTCACGCATTTTGGGAATTCTTCTCCAGACTCGAGTCGGTTTTGGCCTCGCCCCATTTGGTCAGAGTGGCTCGCACGGTGCTCAACATGCTCTACATGGTGCACCTGAACGCTTGTGCCTATTACGCCTTCTCCGACTGGGAGGGCCTCGGTTCGAACCGCTGGACGATTTCCGGCATCGGAAATGTGTAAATATGGAAACGGAAAATATTAAACAGAAAATTATTCCTACAAATTTTGCAGATACGTCCGCGCCTTCTATTTTGCCACCAAGACGGCAACCTCCATCGGCAAAAACCCAAAACCCGAAAACGAAAAGGAATACGTTTTCATGACCGTCAGCTGGCTAATGGGGGTGTTTGTCTTTGCCTTGCTGATTGGTCAGGTTCGAGACATCATCGCAACGGCCACAAGGGGTGAAACCGAGTACCGCAGGTTGCTGGACCAGATGCTGCAGTACATGAGCCGACTCAACTTGCCCCATGAACTGCAGTGCAAGGTCAAACTCTGGCTCACCTACACCTGGCAAGAACAGAAAACCCTAGGTACAAAAACCTGCAATTTTTCAGAAATCTTTTTAAAATTCAAATTTTTTAGACGAGAGTGCAATTTTGGAATCGTTGCCGCCGAAAATGAAGACCGACATCGCCTTGAACGTGCACATTTCCACTTTGGACAAGGTGCAGCTATTCAGCGACTGCGACGCAGCACTGATCAGAGATTTGGTGCTGAAACTGAGGCCTGTAATATACCTGCCTGGAGATTATGTGTGTAGAAAGGTTTGTACCGCATTTAATAATTAAATGTTAATTGTTTTGGTGGTTTTGTCAGGTAAAATTATGAAATTTCCTATCTATTTTTTAAATTTTTTATCATCTTTTGAATATTTCAGGGAGAAGTTGGAAAGGAGATGTACATTGTGAAAACAGGTGTGATACAAGTTGTTGCGGACAACGGAGAAATGCTGGCAACTTTGCGAGAGGGCTCCGTGTTTGGCGAAATTAGTTTGCTGAGTTTGGCCGGCGGCAATAGAAGAACGGCTGACGTCAGGTTGAAGGTCAAATTTAAATATTGTGTAAAATACTAATTTCAAAAATTAAAGATCTCAAGGGTATTCAAATTTATTTGTTCTGAGCAAGGCCGATTTGAACGAAGCCATCCAACATTACCCCGAAGCACAAGAAATTTTACGCAAAAAGGCCGAGTAAGTTTTTTGTTTAAAATATTATTTTAAAATGATTTATTTCTTAAATTTTGCAGAGGTCTAGTAGCTCAAAACGCAGAGCGCGAGAGACAGAGAGAGTTGCAGGGTTCAAGCACAAGTGGTCTCGGCGGAAACTCCTCCCCTAACTTGTCACGGATTGGAGAATCAAAATTCTCAATTCTGTCAACCCCCAGTCACAAAACCGTCGTCACCCTGCACGCCGAGAAGTAAAAGAAAATAATGTGCCTGACTTTGAAAAAGAGACCGATTTTCGTTCCGAATTGCATTGCCGGTTGGAGCAATTTGATCTTTTTTTATTACTTTAAATATGTATATAATTATTGGCCACCTACTTTCTCACGCAGTCGCCTTCTGCAGCAACTTCTGCTGCTGCAGCTTGAAGTTCAGCTTCGCTCTAGTCCTTGACATGGCCTCCCTTTCTTCGGCTATCAGCCGGCACAGATTGTCTCGTTGTTGCTGTAAATGGGACCACGGTTAGATACATTTTTATAAATACAAAAAAATATCACGATCTCAACACCAACTTGGGAGAAGAAACCGTTTTACAACTTTTAATGGTAAATATACTAATACAAGACCAATCCTAAATTGAAACGTTTTAAGAAAACTGCTTTAACTAGAATGTAATTTTAGTTTTAGTTCTTCCAGCAGTTTCGCAATCCCTCCTCTGAGAAATTGTTATAGGCAAATATTTCTAATTTTATCAACTTGTTACTGAAAATAAATTGTAGCTTGCAAGAACATGTTTAGATATTTTAAAATAAAAAGCAAATGTGCACCTGTAACGCCTGGTTTTGCTGCTGCAGCTCCTCCATACTGTCCATGTCGTTGCTATCACCCGTCTTGCGCGGCTTCACCCAGCCATCTTCGGTTTTCTTCACCAACTCCTCTCTCAACTTGCCGACCTCACTGTTCTCCTTTTCTATCCTTTCCAAAAGGCTGTCCACCAAAGTCTCCAGCTGCTCTTGTACGGACCTCTGCTCTCGAGTTTCCTCATCTTCGTCGGGGAGGAGAGGAGAGGGAGTCTCTTCTCTCGGCACTTCGTGCACAATTGCAGAAACATTGATTGTTTCCGTGACTGTTTGAAGGAAAATAGTAAATAAATATAAATTTCACTTAAAGCAAACCTGTTGTGGGACTGCTACTGTCCTCTTGAATGGTTTGCGATTTAGAGCTCACATCGGCTGGAATTTCAGCAGGTAGTTCAGGTTCTTCCCCTTCTTTACATTCCGGCTGCTCTGATTTTTCTTCAGGCTCTTCTTTAGCTGCCTATTGAATAAAGTACAGATTCAACATCCTATTCTTAATTCAAGCAAGTCAAAACAACTTAATTAAAATGTAGACAGTTAAATAATATATTTGAAAACTTGGAAGAAATAGATAGAAACTTTTTTTTCAATATGTCACCTATAAATTGATAAAAAAAAAATGAATGTTTACATCCCAATCCTGCTACAAAATGAAAATATACTTACTTCTTGAGGTTTTTCTGTAACTGTGGTTGGCACAGGTGCACTAAGAGGTTCATCTTGCTTAACATTGAAGTCCATTTTCTCATCATCTGAAGCTCTTGGCTCCGAGGGTTTTTGAAGCATTCGTAATTTGCGCTGAAATGAGTTTGAATAACTTTCTCACCAACTTTGAATCGGTAAAATACCTTTAGCTGTGTAACAATTCTCTGTGCGTCCCACATTTGCTCCTCTCGTCTGGAGCCTGCAAGTCCGGCATGCATTTCTTCATGAACTTGTGCCAAAACTGACTCAAGTTTCCTCAACTCATCGTTGCAGCCGCTGATTGTTGTTGGAATATTTGGAGTTGGTCCACTTAGAGGAGGAATGTATCTGGAAATTTTTGATTAATAAATTGGATTAAATTTTTTTTCAGTTTCTACTTGTGGATATGCATATTTGGGAATAGTGTTGCTGAGTAACAGATCAAGGCTGACAAAATTTTAGGCGAAGTTTGCAGCAGAGGAGCAAAAGTTCCACACACGCCTTGAAGTCCACCACATTTATTCAGCTTCTCGTTGGCCACCAAATGTTTGCAATGTAAAACCATCCAACCAAGAAGCTCCCTGTTAAAAAAAATATCTAACTGTGAAATGGTATTTTGCGTATAATTTTCCTTTTATTTTAATTTTTATATTTAAATAAAAAACATCACTTTTCACTAAATATAATTTTCAATCAATTTATTAACGTTACCCATTGACAGCTGGCATTTTCTGAATTAGAGATTCCATTCCATCGCCTTTCTTGCCAGCAGCCTCTTCAAACTCAGGTGCAACCGAAGTTGGAATTATAGTTTCAGGCAACTCCCTAAAAATTCCAGTCAATTTTTTTATTTTCTTTTATTCATTTTTTTCCGAACCTTAAAAATAATTTTAGAAGGCCGGCCACTGTGACTGGATCTGTGTCGATAAAACTGACAGCGACTCTGTTGTTGTAATTTTTCTTCAGCTGCTGTGCTCTTGACTTGTTTCCGGAAGATTTGTAAATACCGTCCACTGTCAATCCGCACTCTTCCACAAAATCAATGCAATTCCTGACAACGAGAGGCAACTTGACTCCGTCATGACACCGACTTCTGGCAACCGCAGCCTCAAGAGGAACTCCAAAAATAGGTGGCTCGTCTGAATAAATTTATTGTGATTAAAATAATTTTTTAAATATCTTCAAATAGTACCAGGAATTTCAATCGATTCCTCCGAATGCTTCGATTTGAGTTTCTTTTCCTTCAGTCCTTTGAGTTTGGATGTCTTGTGCGCTTCCTTTTCCAGTTTCTTCTTCTCCTTGTGCTCTTTTTCCTTCACACTCTCCACTTCTCGGCTGTCCTTCTCCCTCGACTTCTCTCGTTTCTCCTTCTTGCTAGGGAACTTGAATGCCTTTTTCTTTGACTTGGATGGACTTCTGACAGATAAAGACAATAAGTATATCATTAAAATTAAAACTTGGTCTGATCTCACTTCATTTCCGAATCAGCCTCGTCGGGAGAACTTTCGCCTTCAAGGGCAGCATAGCCTCGGTCCTTCTTTGAATCCTTTTTGTCCTTCGATCTCAACAAACTGTCCCTCTTGTGCTTGTCGTGAGAGTCGTCGCTGACTGTCAAAGGGAACATATAACTATTAAAAACGCAATGTTATAAATGAATAAAAACGGATTTTACAGTCACTCTCGCTCTTTTTTCCTCCTGATTCTGAGGCGTAGAGTCCAGGGAATTCTTTGGCAACATCAGGGCTCTCAAACTCCATAATTCCAATCAATTGCCTGAGAACGAGAGATGATGCCAGTTAACAAGAGAACGCAATCATTTTGCAAACAGTTCGTGTCAAAACATGACGTACTAAATATGAGCCTGAGAAAATTAAAAATAAAATAATATTATAATAACAATTTTCCTCACCCCAAATTTTCTCGAGCTCAGATTTTGAATGACTGAACTTAATTGAGCATTGAAACTTTAAAATTAAATTCCACCGCTGTGAATTTCCTATTTGCTATTTTAAATGCAGAAATTCCGGTTCAAAATGTCAAATTTGCCGATCGAAATCAGCTGCCCTAGAGACCATTATTTTTGTTATTTATACGCGTGCTGCCACCTACGGCAGACTTTGGCAAACTTTCTACCTTCGAAACTTTAGTGGTTATGCAACTTGAAATGCGTACATGTGTGGCACATTGCCTATATCAGAATATTCTGAAAAAAGTACACAATCGTCACAATCTGAATGATCTGGGATGTTATTTTTAAGACGTAGAGAAAACTGCTGCGTAAAATGTGACATGTGCATGAATTTGTTTTTCTTTTAAGATATAGAAAGATAAAAAGATTCAACAAAAATAAAATAATAATAAATTTTTTCAAGAACTCTCTGTTGAGAAATCGACTCTAAAATGCTAAAAAGGAATTATGAGAAAATATTTCCTAACCAGATCGAAATTTTACGCGCCGGTGAGTGGAGGTGAGACTGGTAAAACAACTTCAAAAGTGTGTATGTACATAACATATCGGGGGTTTTGTGGTCAAGCAAAGGAGCCACCTCTCGGCTTATAGCTTGTTTAGTGTTGAAAAAAGATTTAATTACCCTTGCAACAACCTCACCTTCGTTTCCAGTTCATGCAAAATGCAAATGAGACTTTGAATGGCTGCACATGCATTGAAAAAAGCTGCAGATCTGATGTGAAAATGCAAAGCGCTGGAATTAATTAGCTTGGTTTATTTATTGATTGAGCACCAAGTTACTCCAGAGAGAAATCAGCACCATAAAAAACGAGAGAATTAATTAATTGAAAAAGAATAACTGTTTGAGAAATTTGAGATCTTTCGAAGTACAAACGCGTCGATTTATGTTGATAAAAACCACATGTACTTTTATTGTTTTCACACAATGCGCGTGCATACGCATGGGCGATAATCAATCTCTGTTGGACAGAAAAGTAAGGCTGGAACGTGCTCAAAATTCAAGATACATGTTAGCCTTTTTGTCGGCACTAAATTTTTGGAGCGCACTAAAGGAAAAATTTTGGCCAGCACTCAAATAAAAGAGGACCGCGTTGCGCATTTTTATATTTTCCGCGACAGAGGCTAGTTTTTGTGAGGCTTCTGTGTGTTATCCGTCCGTCGCGTTTTCGGACTTACATTGATTTGTTACTAAAATGGATCACTATTCACTTTCTTTTTTTCTCTCCTAAAAAAAGATTCAGTTACAAACTTCGGTAGAATTTAATTTTTAATATTTTTTTAATTGTATGTAACTTATTTTGCAGCGACATTGAATTTGTGTCCATGAAAAGGTCTTGTGAGGTTTCGTGTCCGCCTTTTTTTGTTCATTTTGGTTTGGACTTGAGATGGAATCACATGATGTGAGCAAGAGGAAAAGTCACATGATTTTTTTAATGAAGCACATTCTTGCTTGTGTGCTTAAATCTCTCTTTCTCTGTTGAGCCCCTGCAAAAAAAACACACCTTCAAAAGGTGGAAGCTGCAGCAATGGAGAGATCGAGCGAGCCGTGTGCAAAAAATTACAAACTCTGAGACCAAAAGGAAACATTTTGCCCTGCGACCTACCCATAGGCTTGAAAAATCTTTTGCTTAATAATTAGTGTTTTAACTATACCATTGAACAAAATATGCTTGTAAAATATTGAAAAATTTCAACCCATTTTGGTACAGCATCAAATTATTGTTTTGTCTTTAATCTTTTAATATTCTTGAGGCAAAAATTTGCAATTTAATTAACTAAAATAAACCAATTCTTATTAAAGTACTTAAATGAAGTGAAAATAATCCTTGTTGATGAGATTGTTTTATTTTAAAATAAATTGGTTTTACCAGGACAAGTTTTGGTTAGTACTGTCTACGACTATATTTCACGAGATCCAGGAAAAAAATAAAATAGGGTTACCAAATCCTAGTACAGCTGTCATTTCTTTTGAACAAGGACGCGCGTATCCGTTTTTCACATCAAAGGAGATCTCTAAAAGGTGCTCATATTGACAATTTAATTTAAAAAAAATTACAAATATTATTGAATCATTAAAACTAGAAATTTGTAAAATTTTTAAGAGACAAAAAGTTTGAAAACAACATCTACTGTCTCGTCTCATAATATTAAACAGCGGGGTTTTCACAGGACATTAATAAATGGGCTTTGCGAATGTCAAATGTACGCATGTTTGGCTTTGACACATGAATTGATTTCACTTGTGCGGTGGCGATCTAAAAATAATATAGATACATGAAATCGCTATCGGACCTATTGCTTAAGTAAGCAGTAAATTTATTTTGGCACTGCCATACGTTAGAGATAGTGAACAGCCCGCGTCCTAAATTTCCTGTTGCTTTATAAAAGCCAAAAATAACGAATAACTTAAAAAAAGAAGTTACATAATTCAGTATATTATAATGTGTGAGCTCTAATTTCAATTTGTTATATAATATATAGTGAATATTTTCTAAGCGAATTTTGAAGTAGATGACTAACAAATTTTTGAGGTCAAGATGTGAAGAAAAAATATCGGCATTTTAATCACTGAAAAGAAAAATAAGTGCTCCGCTTATTAAATTATTCAAGCCTGATTATTGCTTTTCAAGCTTACTAAGAGCTTAAACAAATGACAAAGATTGTGTCCCTTGCTAAATTTTTCCCATGACAAAAAACACTCATCCCGTGGTCAGAATCTATAGCTGTAAATTCAAACGAGTTAATTGAGTGATAATAATTAAAAAATATTCTGGAATGACACATCACGGCAGTGCAAAGGCAACCGAAAGCTCGTGCCGTGCATGCGAAATAAACGCACGTCTCTACATTTTCTGCATCGACCGTGTCCTTGAGTCTTAAGAGCAGCAAAATTTTAAAGAGAAAAATAAAAGTAAATGGGATCTTCATCCCACTGACATGGAGCGCACTGTATCAACTGCGTTTTAACAATTTTTCTTTTTTAACAACAGGTTTTGAACGAATGCAGCAGAGCCAAAGAGCAAATCCGTGTAAGTTTCTCACGCAGGTGTGTTTTATATAAATCTTGTTTTTTTCCTAGGAAACCGCAATTCGTTTGCCAAAGCGTCTCCTAGGATATGGACATGTGTCTGAAGCGCGACAAAATTTGATGGCGCCTGTGCTGTTTAAGTATGCAACCTGTGAAGCGGCTTATCTGTCAGATCAGTGACAACTTGACGCTTTGAGACTTGATATTTTATTATTTATATGAAACGCAACTCTCAGCACTTTTCATAAGCCAATTAATTTTTTTCCATTACGGTCTAAATAATTCTCAATATAATGTTTAACAGACCTCGCCTTTAGGGAAAGTAATTAAAGTCGGAGTTAAACGAGCGTGCCAGTGTATTTGATTTTTAATACTACACCACTGATAGCTGTCCAACGTCTGCGTTGCAGTAAATAATATGCATTGAACAGGACTCGTCAGTTGAAGCTCGTAAAGGAAAGAGAAAAAAATATACTTTACAGCAAGAGACGTGCAAGAGAATGCTTGGCGAGTCCTCCCAGTATGCCTTGTAAAACTCGTATAATTTATATAAATAAAGTTTAATGGTAAACCAATATTACTTATTTCTTGCATTATCACCTCAAAATTCCTGGCGATGAGTTACAATGTTATCTTGTGGTATTCTCATTCGGAAAAAATATTTATTTAAAAAAGTATATTTTACAATAATTATAAACATGATTTGCTGCGCTTTTGCTTTCATTTTTTTTTTAAATTTGTTTTATAATTAAATTTTTTGGATGATGCACTACATGAAAAAAAAAAATAATAATTTCAAAAAATAAATGATCGAGATTATAAGAGAATCTTAAATTGGTTTTAAGAATTATTCGCTCAACAACCGCGGTAGACCAATGAATTTTGTGTTTTATTTCTTCCGCAAGAATTATCTTGATTGTCCTCAAACAGGGGGAGCAAAAAGATTGAGCAGAAGTTTCACATTTCACACAACTTTTTGACCACAAAATAATAATTTTGCATCAGAAGGTATCACTGCCCTCCCAAAAGAAAAAAAAATATTGAGCTTTTTTCCCCGCAGCTTCAGAATTCAACCACAGGAAATCTCTTATTTAAGTAGATTAATATAGGAGTCAATGTCAATTCTGAAAGCAAATCATGCTTGAAAGGTTTATATTGTAGTGTAGTGCAACCAAAATAAATAAGAAATATAGATATAAATTTCAATAAACGTGATGAAAAATTCCTCTAAAAATATTGCATCGGGGAATGTTTAAAGAGTGTTTAGCAAATTTTTGTGAGCAACAATTTAATTTTCTCTTGTATGTAAAAATGAAGAATCATTGACAAACTAAAAATAAGAAAAAAAAAAAATACTTGAAAATAAAGAGGAAAGGTATTTCAGAAATTTTATCAAATCCTATAATATTAACTGATTTATAAATAATAGATTTAATTTATTTTGTTGATACAATTTTTTTTTAAATCATGAAATGAGACATAAATGCAGATTACGTCTAAGGAAAGTTGCTGAAATTTCGTCAATCATCGAATAATTATAGACTATACGGTAAAAATTATTTTTAATGTTAAATAATTCCTGTCCTCGCATATCTTGAGCTGATTTTGAACTTGAGAATAAATGTTCTTCCAACACATCCTCACCAAACTTAATATTCAATATAAACAAACTCTGATAATGCACCCTCCGAAAAAACAAAAAATTTTAATCAGATAGAGGAAAATTTGAGACACCTCCTCTTCGTTTACCGATCTAGAAAGTGCAGTCTGCGTGATATGAATCGTTGTATATTGAACCTCGTGACCAGACCAACGATGCTTTATGGTGTAACCCGAGATATGCCTTCGCACTGCCGCCGCCGTCGCCGCCGCGAGTCCCGTGACTCTGACGTCAGGAGAAGAAAAGGTTGTGGGCTCTCTGGAAGCGCACAGAAAGGCAGACTTACCCACCTTCGGCCTCACTCCGGATCGGCAAAAAATCTGCCCTTTTTTTCAACGGCGTTTTGAATTTTTTTTCATACATGCTCCACATCAAGCTTTAATAATGGTCTTGTCACGAGGTCTGTTGGACCCGTGTTAAAAATCAGGCGATGCCTCACAAGTCACATGATTTTCAAATTGTAGCTAAATTCAGCCGAGAAGTGCTAATGAAATATTTTAAATTGTAGTGCCTGCTCTCAAAATCGCTTATTATAATGATATAAAAATTTTAATTTTACTTTTTTAATTTGAAAAATGTAGCGATAAATTTTTCTTTCCAAGCTTTTAAAAAGGAAAGCTATTTTTATTTTTAATTTACTTATAACACTTATTTATGTTCTGCTGTAAATATTATCAATATTAGTGTATGATATTTATAAAATTTTGATTTTAAATAATAAAACGATTACATGTAATCTTATTAATTTATAGAAATTTAATTTTGTAATTAAATGGTTCTCCAATGTTCAAAATTAACCATTAAAATTGTAATAAAAGTTTAATTGTATAGACATCATTAAAGTATGTACATGATGTATGAATCTATGGTGACTATATTTTCGGGGCAATTAATCAAAAAGTGTTAATTTTCAGTATAATTAGTTCCGATAACTGTCAACTATAAGTTGGTGGCTTTCTGAATGACAATTTTATGTAGAGGACGACGCGCGCGAGAGCCTCAGCTTCAAGCTTCGGGAGAGTGGGGAATTAGTGGGCAGTGTATTAGAAGGCACCTTGCATCTTTTCAGTCGCTACCGACGTGCACCACGGGACTATACCTACGCAGGTAGAGCGAAAATTGTGTTTGAAGTCAAATTTGAGGCACTGCTATAGGAAATAAGCACACAAGGAAATTTCATCGACACGTAAGTTCACCAATTTTTAATTACACCCAATTTTTGGCAGAAATTAACTCCAATTTTATTTTATTTTCATTTTTATTTAGGAGATTTCAAAGGAGAGAGTAAGGTATTGAAGATAGTTATGCCAATTATTAATTATTTTACAACGTTTAAGTTGCGAACACGCAAGTCTTAACGATTGTTTGTAATCATCTGACTATGAGATGTAGAGATTTAAACGATTGAAGTGGTTCATTTTTAGAAATTTCTTAACATCTCGAAATTTTGGAGTTCTCCAAATTGTTAGAAATTTGAAACAATGTCCTGATTATATCTCTTTAAAAATTGAAATTTGCATTGCGAGGATGAAGTATAGATTTATTGTATTACCAAAATAGACGGATTGTATTGAAAAACGACCGAGTCTTTGTTTATATAGTTGGCTCTAAAAAGTATTGGAAATTTATATTTTTCATTATTTCTGACGCGATATTTTAAACCAAAAATTAAATGATAATTATAATAATAATAATGCTGTTTCTATGGCACAGTTCAATTCGTGATGCTCTGCATTCATTCCTTCCTGTTTGAGAATATGGACTTTTTATCAACGCTAGTAAGATGAAACCGATACTTAATTGATTTTTTGAACATTTCCCCATTGATAAGTCGCCCTCGTGCACATTATGCAGTCACGTATGCCAACGAAGGACACCAATAAGCAAAGAAAGATCAAGTTTCGCTCTCTCATTATTGAGGCTTCCGCGCTTATTCTGCTCGCGCCGTGTCACATGCTATTAGTAAACGGTAAATAGAAATCGTTTCCATTTTGATTATATGTATATCAATTTAAATCAAATCTTGCTAAATTCTTGAATCTAAATGCTAAATTTTATTCATCAAAATTTTAACAGATATCTTTGCAAGCCGTTTGAACTGCACGTGTCACAAGATATAATAAATTCTTGACTATCTTATAACTTTTTTTATGAAGTGTCTCTGATCATTGATGCTCAAGCATGTTCAGCCCCTAATGCAGAGCAATAATTTGAAATTCGGCGATTCCTATCTTGATCGATTGTGCTTGCGCTATTAGGTATGTCCGCGCGGCTTTTGGTAACGCTTTCAAACGTAATTTTCAATCAAGTCAATGTGTTAAGGAACCGGTTTATTGTATCATATTGGTGCTACTGATCTTTGCTTTAATTTTCACAATTCAAGCACATAAATTACTTGACACATCAAACTGACACAAGCTGACGTATAAATGGTCAATTTTTTACGCGAAAGTACAAGAAATTGGTAATGAGAGCATATTTATTTAAAAAAAGGAGCCAGTTAAATTGGATTTAAGTGTATATTAAGTATATGAAGTAACCGAATTGTGTAAAAAATATTCCTGAAAATTAGCATTTAAGTTAATATTGCCAAATTGTATGGCTTTGGACCGGTCAGGTAAAATAAACTCATTCCATTCATGGTGATTAGTTTAAAGTCGGCTTTTCCTCGATGGGTTTTGTGTTTTTTATTGTTTAAGAAAAAACGTAATATCCTGCTGCAGCCATAATTCATGAGCTGTGAAATCACAAAACCCATGGAGGAAAAGCCGACTTTAAATTCAAATCATCATGAATCAATAACCCTCCACCGTGAAATTCTACTAAAAAATCATTATTTAAATTTCCTGATAATATTTCATAAGCTGCAGATTTATATATATAAATATAAAATTATACTGGATTTTTCATCCTAAATTATCAAATATGAAAAATTGATATGAGATCTGAGTTTTGTATCTAAGCTGATTTCATCGATAATTCATGATTCATGATCTTATTTAATTTACAGAATATTATAATCAAGATGGAGTTGTCTTAACGGAGACACGCCGTCAGAATAAGCGTTAGATGTTTTTTCCTGCATTTAAAATGTTAAACTGTGTCTATTGAGACAGCTGTAGCTTTGAAAATTTCTATTGATATAAAAATATTCGTGCTGATTTGTGCCAGTGTAGGATTCTGATTGATAATTTTTTGTTAAATTCTACCGCAGTTCTAAGATTTACAATGACAAAAACTGGCATGGTTACGAAATAATTTTTCAAGATTTGTTATTTCCATTATTTACCAGAAGTGCACTGTAAATTCAAATATCATATACAACCATAATAATAATTTCTTTTTATTCCCAAAGGGCAAAAAACTAGCCGTCGTCATGGAGACCGATGAATCAACGCCCTTGCGGGTGTCTGAGCCGGACAGATCTTACGTTTACATGTCGGCCAGGAATAGAGTGTACAGGTCGAAGGTGCGACAATTCCAATGCTGCATTTGCGCCGGTTTGCTGTGAGTATAAATTATATTTTTCAAAGAAAATTCAATTACAAAATTGTGTGTGTTACAACTACAGAGCATTATAAGATAATTTTAATTTTATGAAACAGAAATAGCATTATGTATCTTAAATAAAGGCACAGAAAAAAATCTACAAATTTATGTTCTAGAATTTGGTCTCAACAGACATTAAGATGTTGCCAATCGAGAGTTCTGCATAAGAATCGCCAAAACCAGTTGTGCTGCGCGACAGAGACATTAAATTAAGAGTCTAAACAACTTTAGCAAACAAAATCTATTTTTAGCTCTAAAACTATTTCAACTATAAAAAATTGTCATTTTGCTGACCCCATTTGCGATTTTCGATCAGTTGGTTAATGGAAGTAGTACTTAAAAATTAAACTCTGCAAACTCATTCCGAAACAAGTTATTTGAACTAAAAAAAATAAAATATTGCATGAGCACAAGAGAAATATTTTTGCATATAAATTAGCTCGGCGCGGCTCTTACTTTGAGACTAAAATGAAAACAGCCTGGCTAATTCCAGACTCAACTTCGGAGGGTATGAAACTGTCAATATACTTTTATATATACAATTTTGAAATATAGTGGTAATAAAACTCTAAAAGCAGCATATTTGATCTTTCTAAATGATAAATATTATAATAAATAAATATTATTCAAGCAGCGTTTTTTTTTTATATCTTTTACATTTCTTCTCTCTTCGTCTCAAAAGGGAGCGCCCAGAAATCACATGACCACACACTCAATCACGTGCTACACCCAAAGAGAGTTAAAATATTTACACGTTGAAGTAGATTTCCAAATTTAATAAACAGTAGTCAGTCAGTTCTATTAAGATAAAAAAATTCTCCCCCTTTGATCGATATTGATAAGTGATTTTTTACATTAAGTAGAACTTGTTAGGAATGACGATTCAATTTGGTTTCTATTTTAGGAAAATAGTTGGCTCCCATTCTAATTTTTTTCACAAAGCATTATTTTTTTCAATTTAGGAAAAAAACATTGAAATGTAACAGAATTACTTGACTGTTTATCAAGAGACCTTTAATTAAAGAGTAATAAAAAAGCATATTTGCCAAAATTCTAATAAATTATACCACCCTTTGTTTGTTACGCGTGATGGGAGCTGAAAAATAAAATACGCAATAAAATCAACGCCCTTATGATCATACAAATTGTCAAATTTTGTCTTTTGCAGTGGCGTTTTCGTGCTTGCCATGATAATCACCGTCGCCTACATGGTGAACCACGACGTGGACGACATGCCCAACGAATTGGAGGCGAACGCCACAGAAACACCCTTGCAGCAGCTTCGAATGCTCTTGATGTCGCCCAGTGCGTTTAAAGGTTTTTTTTATATTAAAATTCTTAAAAATTAAGTTTTAATTTAATTTTACCGCATAGACGCGGAGCATTTGAAAATTCCGGTCAAAGGGTACAACTCGGTGGAGCTGAGCGCGGCGTTCTCCAAAGCGGAGGCGGATTTTAACAAAAGGGTGCAGGACGAAAAGAGCAACCCTGCCGTTCCCCTGTCGCCATACCACCCGAGCAGCCTGCACCAGAAGGCCATGTACAGCTCCACGTCGGCCCTCAGAGCGTCGCAGAGCGGACAAATCATTCTTGCCGCCACCAAGAACATTTACAAGTCAGTCCTCCGCTTTATTTGTATTTTCTAATATTTTGGCAATTTTTTTTATTATTATATATTTTTGGTTCATAAATTCACATTTAAGCTTAGTTAGTCATTTCAAATTTTCTTTAATTTCTGATCAAATAATTCAGGATAAATTGGCCCTATAAATATATAGTTTACATGTTTTTGATTCTTAATGTGTAACGTAAAAATTATGTTGAGGAGTAAAAAGTTCATTATTTTATAAAATATTTCATTCTAGCATAATAGTTGAAATGAAATTTAAGCAAAATCTTCTTATAATTAGTGAAATGTGGAAACAAATACTATATTGCCCTTCAAAAAGTTGGTTGCTGCTTAATTTTATTATTATTACTTTTTTATTTTTATTATTAACTAAAACACCTCTAGTGCCAAAAGATTTCTCAAGAACGTCTACAAGAGCCTCTATAGAAACTATTAGTTTTATTTCTCCTCTTTCGTTACAAAATTTTTTACAAATCAGAGAAAGAGAAGAAAGGATTTACAACTAGCAGATGTCTGCTAACACGCCAGACAAAAGAGACTTGGCAAACCCACAGCGCAAAAATTTAAATCTGAATTGTGCTTTTCTTTAGAATTAATGTGCAAAACAGAGAGTCAAATACACTATTAAAATTATAAAAAGAATTGGTAGCAGCTCTTTCATAATTATACATAATTGTTCGAATATGAATTTTTCTGCCCTAATCTAGAGACAAATGGCAATCTCCCAACTGGAAGGGTCGAGGTCCCCGACTTCCACCTTCTAAGTGGGTCACCGAGGAATGGTGTCCTGAAGAGGGCGATTCTGAAACTGCAAAATGCGACCCGTCCTCGCCATACAGGTCCATTGATGGCACGTGCAACAACCTGGTCAATCCCGAGTACGGTTTGGCAATGAAACCATTCCGCCGACTGATGCCACCGGCCTACGGAGATGGCAAGTTAATTAGGGAATTGCCCAATGCTCACTTTTTCAAGTCACACCGCGCTGGCTATTTTTAGAACTTGTCCAGCGGTACCAGTTTCGCACTACACGCGTTGCGGCAGTCGGCATGCTGTATTTGTTAACCGCCAAAGAGTAATTTACACTCCTGAGATTTTTGTCTCTGCCGTCCATGGGATAATTATTTTTTTTTCTTTTTACTTTTTGGCGATAAAAAGAACCAGCTTCTAATGAAATATATGCTGAAATTTCGCCACGCTAAAAAAAGCTTTCAAGTGTTTATTGACTATCAATTAAAGTAGATAGGAAAAAATGACGATAATTTCAAAATTCTTGCACATGACCCACAATTAAAGAAGGAAAAGTAAAATTTATAAAATGATCATATTTGGTTAAAATTATAATTTGAAAGAATTAATTTTTTAATTAATCTCTTTTGAAGAAATCGTTGTATTTCAAAGATAAAAATGGCCTGCAGAACCTTTTGAAAAGTCAGTTTTTTCACCACTGATAATAAAGGTTTTTAACCTTTGACACAAAAACTATTTTCATAAAGCAGAAAGACAGCTTGGTTCATTAGCTGCAACTTAAAGGAATTCTTATATTAGGCTTTGGTTTTGGCGGAATTCTTTTGCAATTTTTTTTTTAAACGGTCGGCATATTGGGTTGTCGAAATATTTCTGTTTGAAATTTTAGGTCACTTTACAAAAGCTTTAAAATCTTTTTATTATCAATAAAATTTAAACATAAAACATAAGCAAATAGCCAAAATTAAAATAAAATAAGCTGCGCCTTTTTCCTGGTTAAAATTAGATTATGATGTACCCTGATAAAAATTCGAAGGTCTCGGTGGGTACCACATTCCTAGAAGCTAGATCTATTTCCTTTTTTTTTTTGACCCAATTCAATCATTATTATAAAAAATATTAAAAAAAATCTGAAGTTAATATCTACTTAAATTTCAATCAATACCTTACCAGTGCTTCAAAAGCATGAATATCTATAGTAAGAAAAAGAGCGAGAAAAGAATTTGAATAAATTTGAAGGCTGTCTTCACAAGTACCATAACAATAATTAAAAAGAAACGTAAATTTCGCTTAAATTGATTTAACCATTTACAGGCATTTCGACGCCGCGGCAATCGACTGGGCCAAAGCCGCTGCCATCGGCGCGCGAGGTCAGCATCACGGTGCATCGCCCTGTCTACCAGAATGATCCAAAATTCACAGTGGTGCTCGCTGTGTGGGGCCAGTTTGTCGACCACGATTTCACAGCCACCGCGCTCAGCCAAAGTAAGGATTATAATTGAAACATCAGTTTAAATCAATCTGGCAGCAAGTGTAAAAAAAAGGTTGTAAAAGCTTAATGGGTTCGTAAAAAAAACCAGGCACAAATCCAGTTCGCGCGTCAATGCTACTCCGAGATACGGAGAGTATATTTTTCGACACATTTATATGTAAATTTTGTTGATTTTTTTCTGGTTGCTTTAATATAGTTTGATCATAATTAGACACTTTTCTATTTACGTATTATAAATTTAAAAATTCAGACTTTTTAGGGCACGTGTTGATCATTTAATTCCTGAATCCTGAAAGCTGGTAATATTTTGAATTGTAATTACATTTATATAAGATAAATAATTTTAATATTTAATTCTATTCTTAAAACTGTTATAAATTTTTTTATTTTTTAATTTTTGTTATTTAAATGATCAATTTTTTTTATATAAAAATCAGACCACTGTTGCTTCTACTTCGATTAAAATTTATCTAAAAATGTTTACAATTTTTCTAACTAAATTTGTATTTAATTTTACTTGAAACCACTTGCTGACCGCGAGATACAACTGGAAAAATTTTATACCAAAGTCTTCATAAGTATTAAAACATTTCTCCTCTCTGATGCAAAGTGCATCTGTGATATAAGTTTTAATGGAAAATGCGAGTTAGGAATCCAAGGCAAACCGGTTTGACGATTTGTCTCTTTCATTCAGGAGCGGATGGCACGCCGATCACATGCTGCAACACTGTTTGGCAGCATCCTGAGTGTTTCCCAGTGCCTCTGGCCGCTGAAGACCCCTTCTACCAGCAGTACAACATCACGTGCATGGACTTTGTTCGTTCCGCGCCCGCGCCTACTTGCTCTCTAGGTAACATAAATTTATCTATTTGGATACGCTACCAAATTTGGAAATTCCTAGCTTGAAGCCAAAAAACCCAATAAACATTCCTTGGAAACTAAAAAATTTGGGTTGATAAAATTTTTGCGCATAAAAAATTTGGTAATTATATTTCATGTAGATTGTAAATTTTGTGCCAAATTTAGTACAAATATGCAGTAAATACCACAATATTTCAAACTAATACCTATATTCTGAATCTTATAACTTATGAACGCAATAATTATACTTATTTTTCATTTCCATTCAACAAGGTTAGTTGGGAACTATATACAGTAAAAAAAAATTATTTTAAAATAATTGAAATTTTCGGAAATTTTATTGAAAAATACCAAACTAAACTCAATTGGGTCAAATTACCCAAATTACATAAAAATAAAAAGCAATATTATTATTATTTTTTTTTTTTTTTTTAAAAACGTTTAAATTCATCAAATGTTTATGCAAAGAGTAGGTAAAATATTTTATTTGAAATAATTTGTATTATTTTCAATGTTACAATAAAATAAAATAGAATTCAAACACCAAATCATAAATATTTTAACTTTTTTTAACCAAACAGGTCCTAGAGAGCAGTTGAACCAAGTGACTCCCTACATCGATGGGTCCGTGGTGTATGGTGCCAACAAAGAGCTGCAGTCAGAGTTGCGGACTTTCACTAACGGTCTCCTACTCTCGTCGAGATCGGCCGATGGCCGCGAATTACTCCCCGTCGATCGTTCACCCAAGGACGGATGCAACCAGGCCGAGGAAGCTGCCAAGGGTCGCTACTGCTTCAAATCGGGCGACGCCCGCGCCAACGAAAACCTGCACCTGACCACCCTGCACCTGATTTTGTCCCGAGAGCACAATCGTGTGGCCGCCGAGCTGAAAGCGCGCAATCCCACGTGGGATGACGAAACGCTTTTCCAGGAGTCGCGCAAAATTGTCGCCGCCGAAATGCAACATGTGCACTACAACGAATTTCTGCCCGTCATTCTTGGTGAGTTCAATGGGCGAAGGTCCATTATTTGTTATAATTTTTTTTCCAATTTATTTCAATTGTCATATAAATTAATTTAGTTTTAAATTTAACGAGCCTCGTACTAAAAATTTATTGTGCAAAATAAATACAATAAACGCAATAAACACTGGAAAAGTCCCAAGAAAATTCGTTATGTCTATTTAAATTCAAAATTGTAATTTATATAATTTGACAATTTAAAATTTTTAATCATGAATGTATCTTGTGAATAAATTTATAGAGCTATAAATTTATAAAAGCTCTTTTTACTACTTCGAATAAATTTTATTAAATTTGCTAAAATGCAAAAATTAAAAATTGCAGGACAGGATTTGGCTGACGATTTGGAACTGACTCCGAAAACGAGTGGATATTACCACGGGTACAATGCATCTGTCAACCCGCAGATTGCAAACGAATTCGCGGCCAACGCTTTCCGTTTTGGCCACACCTTAATGCAGGTACCTCTGTCAAAAAAGCATATTAAAAAATTATCAACATTGAATTAAATTATTTATATCGTTAGTTGATTTTTTATATAAATTTTAGGGTCTTTTGAGAATGATCGCGGGTGACAAGTCGAGCGAAGATTATGTTCAATTGCACAAAATGCTTTTCAATCCTTTCGGACTTTACGAAACTGGCTATATTGAAAAGGCAGTGCGGGGAGCGACAAGGACAAGCGTGAACAAACCAGGCGGCTCGGTTTCTCCAGAGGTTTTTATGTTACTTTGTAATTGTGAAATTTATTTTATATATATTTTTTATCAGTTGCAAGGAAATCTCTTCAAGCCCAAGACTGGACCTTGCGGACTGGACCTGGTGTCTCTGAACATTCAGAGAGGCAGAGACCACGGTCTTCCTGCCTACCCTGCGTGGCGGGAGTACTGCGGTGGCACCAAACCAACGACTTTTGACGAATTGGCAGAAACCATGGATGCGGAATCCGTCGAAAGGATGAAAAGCATGTACAGCTCAGTTGACGACATTGACCCATACACCGGCTTGGTTTCCGAGACGCCAGTGACCACCAACGGAATTTTAGGTCCGACCGCCACCTGTGTTATTGCAGAGCAGTTTATGCGGCTCAAAAAGGGAGATCGGTTCTGGTACGAGACACCCGAAGCCCCACAGGCCTTCACACCAGGTAGATTTTTACTTTTATAATTTGCATGATGAAAAAAATGTTTTATTCCTTGGTTAAATAATTTAAAACTGGTTTATTTTAATTTAGAACTTAAATATTTTTATTGTTTCGAATCTCTTTCATTAATTTGATATCAAGCGATTTTATAAAATAATAAATAAAGATTATTTATTGCATTTAAAAACTTGAAAAAAGGGGGGAAATGCGCAAAATACTTTTCAAAATTTGGAATAATATTGCATTTTTCTTTTAAATGATGCAAAAACTTGTCAGACGTTTAAAGCAGGTTGCATCTTTAAAAGTCCTAAATAAAAAATTAACAGAGACTGATGTATTTTTGATAATAATAAAAGAGTAAATCTTTATTATAGAAAATTTTACATTTTATTTATTTCAGCCCAACTGGATGAGATCAGAAAAGTGTCACTGTCCTCCCTTCTTTGTGACAACACGGACACACTAGATGCAGTCCAACCCCGTGCCATGGAGGCCATCACCACAGAAAACACCATCACTGCTTGCGCTGACCTCCCAAGACCAAATCTGGACGCCTGGAAAATGCCACCAGCAGTTCCTTTGGTTCAGCTAGCCGGTATCAAACCCCGACCTGTACCATCCATCGAAGAACTTAATATTATTCCTCGCGATCCTACCAATCCGATCGACCGCGTGCCTAATAAGAACGAGCTGGTTGTGGGCGCCACTGCTGTTGCCGGCACCGTCACTGGTTCTTATGACGGAGGCGCCACTCAGGTCATTTGGGATGGATCACTACCCATGACCATCCCCACTAACTTCATCAATCAGGTTCTGCCACCTGACGGCACACCTCTCACTCCGCTTGACCCTGCCCTAATCGATCACAGAGCTGGAGTAATTTGGACAGGTTCCGTCGACCTCACCGGAACCAACAGACTTGAAATCAATGCCGACTTCTCAGTGCCAATCTTCATTGAGGGCACGGGCTTCACACAAAAATGGTGGAATGGTCACGCCAAGATTCAGCTCAATATCAACTGGAATTCCTCCGAACTGGTTGGGCAGGCTTTGGGTGACTTTTTTACTCCAATCACGCTCAGAAGCAAGTTAAACTCTACTGCTGAGTACGGCATTGGCGCCGTACCAATCCTATCCTCTTCCACGGTCACTTCATTGCGCTTCCCCATGCTGCTCCAAGGCACTTTCAACTTCGACCACTCAATGTTTTACTGGAATGGCAACGTAACGATTGTTTACCCACCTAAACCAAAACCTGTTTTGCAAATGTCTTACGGCAGTAATGGAGGCTATGGTGGGGTATATGGAGGCTCACCGTATTGGGGAACGCCCTACGTGAAACCTCCAACTCGGCTTGTGATCAGTGCGAATGCCGTAACTGGCAGCATTAGTGGTTCTTACGATGGTGGTGCTGCGCAAACTTTGTGGGATGGAACCTTCCCCGTCGCCATACCTTCACCTTTCCTGGACAGGAAGTTGCCCCCAGGCACCGTTTTGCCCGCACCTGACCCGACCGTGCCCGTTGAGCACCGCGGAGGCGCCTTCTGGAATGGAAAAATTGACATTAATGCTAACGATCAACTGGTTTTGTCAGGTTCTTTTTCAATGCCTGTTTTCCTCCACGTTTCCATGGCACCGACTGTGCAAAAGTGGTGGTCAGGAACTGCTGGAATTACTTTCAACGTGAATTGGAATACAACAGAAATTCACAGTCTGCCTGAAGCAAAGTATTTCAGCCCACTCTCCTTTAGACAAATCATGAAGTTCGGCCCAAGCCACCCGTACTCCTTCCTGACCACGACCGACCCTAACGCGTTGGACAAAACGGCTCCGGCCCCTCTGCCCACCTTCCCGATCATTCTGCAGGGTGACTACAACATTGACCACACTCAATTCATGTGGAATGGAAATGTCACTCTTGTGTTCCCCAAGGACAAACCAGTAGCACCTCCTTCTCTCCTTATGGCGGCAGCTCCAACTAAATCGGCAAAGAAACCAAAATCTGTCAAACCTGCAAAGCCTGTCAAACCTATAAAGCCTGCTGCGTACAGTTTTGGTGGAAACGTAACATCTGCTTCTTATACCTTAGATGTCAACAACACAGTAACTTGGGATGGGCTAGGACCAATAAACTTCACCGTACCCACCAAGGGTGTTGGTCCTTTGGCTGCCAAGGACGCTTTCCATGGTGGCTCTTCCGTGTTTACCGGATCAATTGAAGTCACAGCACCTAACACCATTTCGGTCAGTGGCACTTTCGCTGTGCCGATCGCCAACGCCTCTAACCCCTATAGCCTGATCTGGCAGTCTGGTACTATCGAAGCAACCTTGAACGTAACCTGGAACGCCACGATTCCCACTGTCCTCACCACTGAAAATGACACCCTTCACTGCCTTATCTTTTTGTCTTCCAAAGCCCCCAAAAGCAAAAGCCCAGTTTCTGAAAATCTTTTGGCGGTGGCTCCAGTCGGTCCAGCCATCATGCCATCGTGCTTCCTTATCCTCTCAGGCTCGTCTCCAGACAACACCACATTTACTTGGAATGGCTCTTACGTAGCAGTGATCAACCCTCCGGTTGGAGTCACACCACCACCCGTAACACCTGTTAGGCTGAAACGTTCAGCAGACAACGCTGGTGTCAATGATTATACCCTATCAATATCGCACGGATACGTTCCTCGTTCAGCCACCCCAAAACCTTACGGCCATAAAATGGTTCTTGGAGGACGTGTTGTTCAGGGCAAAATTACGGCAGCGAGTGGTGCGTCCCCAAAACGCTCTCTCTTCCACGGATCACTACCAGTTTCCATTGCAATGCCAGCATTTGACCGCTACTTGCCTCGCACTACCGCGGAATATGTACACCAGAACACTGGCCCCATTTTCCACGGAAACGGTCCCATTTGGTCAGGAACGGTCACCTACAGGACTGGTACGAACTTAATAGAGCTTTACGGGGACTTCAGGGTGCCTCTGTATCTTCACGGTGACACCTTCAAGCAGGAGTGGTGGTTGGGCCACGCTGAACTTGTCGTTGAAGTCGCTTGGAACAACACCCTCCTGGACTTTGCCCAGATCGCCTCCAAACCTGACGCTGACTTTTACTCTCCTATCCGTTTCCGACCTGACGAGGATCCTGTGGCAGACGCTGATAAATACAACGTCATCCAAAAGAGCGACCCTGACATGATGATCGCCACACCCATGCAACCACCTGACGAACCGTTCTATCCTAAAGGTCCTATGCCCAAGTTCCCGATCATTCTGCACGGCGCCGTGAGTGCTGACGGCAGCGCTTTTCTCTGGTACGGAAATTTGACCATGGTGTTCCCCTACACTGAATGATCTTTTGGAGAAATCACTATATTAATTGAATTTGCTATTTTTCGATCTAATCATTTCCTTGCTGATAAACCATGAAAGTCACAAGACCCATTTAAATTGGAAGTTGAAAATTGCAGGAGTAGTTTTTAGAGAATAATTAAATTATAAGTTTTCTTCTCACCAGCAGAACATATGTTTTCAAGAATTTCATCATTGTTTCATATGGCTGCATACTTGTCTACTTAACAGGTGCATTTATAATTGCTCTCGGTTTAATATTTTGATTTTTTGAAAATTTATTAATTTCTTAAATTCAGTTTGGAAACTTTGAAAGTAATTTTTTTTATAAATTTTTTGACCTACAAACTTATTCTCTCTGTGTCTTATTTATATGAATTTGCATGAAATGCTTGACGCGCTGTGCAAATTAACATTATGTGAAGATATGATTTATTTTGTGTCAATTTCTCTATATTAAATAAAAATTTGACTAAACTTATAATGTGGTGATTGGTTTTAATAAAATTTATTATGATAGCTAAAGTCAGTTGCAATCAACAAAAATCCATTTTATCATTTCCCCAGCTTGTTATCGATCCGCACCCATAACCCCGTTGACACCAAGATTCGTTATTTTTAATGAGGAATCTCTCTATAATCTTTATCCTCCCAGTCTTCCTCAGAAAATAAGCTATCCAAGTCAGATCGGCCTAAATTGAGAGTTTTGAGCTTTGATTTCTTGTCGCTGCCAAGACTGAAGAAATTCAAAATCTTTTGCGGCCACGACTGTGTTTCTTTTGAGCCTGCATTTTGTGGCAACAGAACTTCATTTTCTTTCATTACTCTCGCCCCGGATTCATCAAAGTTGAAACCCTGTGGAAAAATAAGTCCGATTTTTCAATGTTACTTTTAACAAATGACAAATGAAAATACCTCTGGTAAACAATGATGTTGCAAGCAAAAGAAATTTTTTCCTCCTTCAGTATTGCACAAAGTTCCATCTGGGAAATACGGATCAACGCCTAAATCATTCAACTCTAGCCGTGGGGTGTAGAAGGCGCCTGTGTCTTTCCTCTTACAGAATATGGAGCAAGACATCCACAGTCGATCTATAAATTTAATAATTTAATGGCAAACTACATTTAAATCATCTAGATTCAAAGAAATTAGTATTCTATAACGTCGGTTTTTATACAAAATTTTGATCGCTTTATTTTTAACTTAAACGAAGCTGAAGGTATTACTTATTTTGTTTTTTAAAATATTTGTTTGGAACTGATTGGTTTTTATTATATTTTTGTCACTTTTCTCAATTAAATTGAAAAAATTGTGAAACTTATATTCAAATTTCCTTTTACAAATGAAACTAAAAATTTACAATTTAATAATTTTTTTTGCAAAAATAACGCGACGAAAAACTTTTATTAAAATTTGTTAGGTGAATATGTGCTGCGAAATTATTGCTTTTTTTAATTTCAACTTCTCTACTAAAAAGGAGAGAGAAAAATCATTTGATTAATAAAAAGTACATGACTTATTTGTGTACATTCTCGAAAAGTAAATTGCTTTTAAATTATAAACTACCTGACTCGTGAGGTGCTTGCAAACCAGTGGTTGAATCTAGTTCCGGCAGCCACCTGCTGAATTCCTTGCACTTCTTGGCCGCGTATTCCTCCACCGTTATTCTCTTTCTACACATCTGCCACATAATAATTAGCAAAATTTAATTTGAAAACAATGAGCTTTACTTTATTATCGTCACACAAGCCTACGCTGAAACTTGGTCCATCACAACCTTCTTCTGTGTTCACAGGCTTTGGATTGTCGCAATTCCTTCGCTTATTTGTAGACCCTTAAAATTTAATATTTAACCTGCTCTAAGAAAAAAAAATGTATGTAAGTTTCATACCTTTAGAGTTTTTAGTGCAACCGGAAGAACATTTTTCCTCCTTCCAAGCACTCCATCCACCAGCAAATTGTGATATAGGCTTTTGTTGGCCCACCCGCTTGACTTGAACGCAAAATCCTCCTTGGCACCACTGTTATTTTTTATTTATTTTTTGTTATTATTATTAGATTCTGAAAATAATTTATCCTAATTTTATTACTAAATCTCTCCCGCAAGACGTGCCCTCCAAAGCTGGACCAGCAAAGTAATAGCCAGAGCGGTGAGGCGTGGAGCATTTTAAGTTTTGGCAAATCTCAGACAAGGCACCCTGCGCTTCAATGACCGCGTCTTTGTCCCTCAAGAGCAACTCGCACTGTCTCTTGGGAGTCCAGTATTGGCCTGGAATATTCTTGAATCGCGTGTGGTCGTTTGCTTGCGACATTTTGGCAGGCGCGTCTTTCAAACACTTAGCCCAGCTGCAAAATACATTTAAGGTTCACTAAGCGCCTGCCGCCGATAGAAATATGCAACCCGCACAACGAGTATCAATTTCACTTTGGACAGCATGTATGTGAATAAATTACATGGTTTATAATTAATTAATTCAATCTTTTAATAAATATTAATTAAACGCATGCCGTCTTGGATTGAATCTAATTTGAAAATCATCCAATAAAAACTATACATTTTATGAAAAATATGTAAAGAGCAACATGAAACCAACTAATTAAGTCTGAATTAAGTAAATTATTCATAAGTCCATCCGCCAAATTTTCACATATTTTACAAATGTAAAATATTTTATTTCATACCTCATATCGCGTAAAATTGCCGCACTGCAACTCGACCACTCTGTCTCGCCTTGGGTGCCTCGCGATGGAGACATGACGAAGCCTTCTTTTGCACACGAGTTGCTCGTCCCGTCATGATGCATTCCCAAACTGTTAGGAAATTTTAGAATAAAAGTGAAAATAAAAATTTAAAAATTATACTTGTGACCAATTTCGTGTGCCAAAACGTAAACAGAAGTAAATCCAGCGGATGGGTACGGTTTTCCAAAAGTATTGACAGTTCCCAGTTCAGCAATCACACAATTATATTGCGATGTGCAAACACCGCCAACAGTTGCTAGACCTATTTAATTATGAAATTTTAATTTAAATGAATATTAATTAGATTTGCATAAATTTAAGGAAATAACTTTTTGAAAGAAATAAATTAAAAATCATAAAACATGATTTGAAATAGCAGGTTTGTAAAGTTTATCTAAAATGGTTAAGGAAAATTCCTAAAGTTTTAACAGCATAAAACGTTAACTGAACTCCTAGAATACAAAATTAATATTCCAATACCAAAGTGAACATTGAAGGAGACGTTAATTTTTAATTTAATTTAACAACTTTTAAAGAAAAATGTCACGGTCATTCAATTTTAGCAAACTTATGTACCTTCAATTGTATTATTTTATTTTTTTAACTTAAAATAGGTAAGCATTTAATTACTGAAGCATATAACTACGAATTAATTCTTGCCAGCATTCTTGGCGTAACGTCCTATAGTAATTTTTAATGCTCTTTATTTTAGTTTTGAATTAATTTTATTTTCCTGAACAAATATTTTTATTTAATTAACTTATTATTGGTGAAAATTATTTACCCATGGTAACGCCACTTTTTTGGTTGCCCTCGTAAGCAAAGAAATCCAATCTGCGGAAATACATATAATTCAGAGGATTGTTAGGTAATTTGCACCACAATGCGCGTCACAATGATCAAGATCAGTGCGGAAAAAGCACGATTGTGTCAAATATTTGCTGTATCATAAGCCGGATATTAATCAAAAACCTAATTCTTTCGGCACATAAAGATGAGTGACGCGGGCATTGATAATAAATTACCCAGACACGTAAAGACCCATGTCCCAGTGGCCGGGATCCGAGTCGCTCTTCGGATTGTGTTTTTCGTTCCACGCGCAAAACGAGTCCAACAATTGTCCCCTTTCTCCCCCGTAGTGCGGCATGTCCGAGGGTTGCGACGCGAACAGATCCAATCGCACAATTGATAGCTGCACGGTCCGCCCCAGGCTGGGGTGCAAATACAGCGCTTGGATCTGCCAACCAATTCAATGTACACCTCATGAATATGGATCAAAAGAAAGCGGTATGAGCTATTTGCAGAACAAATTATAATATGCACGCATTTAAATGCATGCTCAAGTTATCTAATTGTAAGAGTTTGGAAATGATTGTGTTACAAATAATAATGAAAGTTGCAAAATTTATGTCTGCATAAACTGCATTTATTTTATAAGGTTGAAATTTAAAAAAAAGTTGAAACTACGCAAAGGAACAAACTATATAAAAAAAAAACATTTTCCATATAACCATTAATAATCTTTGAAAATGCCAAAAATATTATTACTGTAAAACTACTAATAAAATAACCAAATAATACAAAATAAACATTTGAAACTATGATTTTTTTCGTTATTTTTTTTAATATTATTTTATTATTAGATTTCATTAAACACTTTTTATGCATTTATGAAAAGCAAATAAGACAAAAATAAGCGATGATTGAAATAATACTTTTATCTCACCGCGTTCATGTAGGCGAGCAGCATGTCCCTAATTTGCTTGTCATCGTAATTGAAGAAAGGGGAGAAAAGGCGATAGCCCGCTTCGTCGAAAAACACTCCTAGCTCCAAAATGTAATCTGTGGTCTCGCGAGAATAACGTTTCCGAACAGTCTTTTCATCGTCCTCGTCGTCAAAATTATTTTCATCCTCATTTATGTTTTCCTCGTCAAAAAATTCGAAATTTCTCTGTTCTTTTCCAACAAGGTCTTCAGCTTTTTCGGCTAAAACAGCCGCTTCTTTGTCATAAATGAGAGGCACTGAAAATTCAATGGAATCAAATATACGGAGAGTGACGTGGAGCAAAAAATGCTTTTAAAATTAAAAAATTTAAAAAAAAAATGACTGAATGACAAATTGTATTTCTCGAGAGTTATTTATAAAAGTACATCAATGGCAAAGATTTCAAATTCTGAGGTAAAAACAATTGGTAAATTTTCTAACCGGCATCGCCAAGTAAGCTATCGACTGACATGAGCGGCGCACGTCGCACCAGGTGAGGCACAGGTGAGGGTCCTTGCCCCTCGACAATCACGGCCGCTTCGCGCTCCATGATAATCGTTCGCAATCGCTGGCTCAAGGGGCTTATTTGCAAAGTCTCGTTTGACAGCAGAACCACTCCACGCTGGAAAATTGTTTGGTAATAGCAGAACAAAAAGGGAAAAAAATTTTTTAAATTATTTTCATGAACAAAATTTTTTAAATTTTATAATCAATTTAGGGCTGGCAATAACTTTTGTTTTATGCCAAAAATTAGAACAAGGCAATTGTTATTTATTTTTAAACATCCATTTAAACTTATTTATTTTTTTTGCAAAATTTAAATTTGGTAAATTTTTAATCGATCACTTCTATTTTTAGTGATGTTTGTTTTAACTTCCAATTTCATAGAATTAAATTTCTCACTCTAAATTTAACACTTTAAAAATGAATAATATTATTGCAACATTGTAAATAAATCTTTTTAATTAGCATTCAACTCACAACTTCATTTGGTTCACACATGCTAATCGCAGCCACAGAATCTCCATTTCGGTGCAGATAGTGACACCTTGGTGGCGTCCGTGACAGAATTCTTCTCGCACCGTCGTTGTGTTTGAAAGTTTTGAACGATGGTGCGATTAAATAAGGATTCCTCTTCAGATTCAGAGATACCGGACTTATATTTTGATTAATTTCAATAAACATGGATAAACATATTAAACATAGAAAAAATTACTTACACATTGAAAGCGCGAAATTCGTATTTGAGTTCTTCGGTGCCCTCTCCACCTTCACCCTCAGCACCTTCGACCATTAAAGGTGGATTCATGAAAACCACTTGGTACTCAGGGGCTGCGGAAGAAGCAGATACGACTCCCAAGTAAAACGCGAGTTCATCTTCCGTCATAGATTCGTGCAGATTCTGATTACAGTTCATTTTAAGTTAATTGAGATATGTGATAATTTACTTAGCCTGTATTTTATTAATAAATAATTTATAGATACGTGGATTTGCTTAATATTTTCACAAGTAAAGATTAATCAATAAATTTTGTAATGCAATTTGAAGTATGTAAATTAGTACACATAATTCATTAACGGTATATATTGCAGATATTACTATTAAAAATTTACTTTAAAAAATAAGAGAACAATTGATTCTAATAATGAGTTGTAATATAGAGAAAATAGTTAGTGTAATTAAAAATTTAATTAAAAATATTTAAAATAATGTTATTTAACACTACCTCTGCATGCAAGTTTCGCAAAGCCAGGAGCAGTACCAAACTAAAGGTAAAGAGACCCATATTGAACGGCACAAACTAAAGGTGCATCAGGCACGGACGCTTTTATATCGCCCCTTCCGCTGCTCCTGCGATATCTGCGCACCAAAGGATGCTGGTACTGCAAAGGTCAGGGTCGCCCTCAGGACGTTTACCCGCCACAACCTGACTAGCGTGTTCCCAACACATTGCAAATCTTCATTTCGCACTCAAAATCAATTACTATTCAACTACTCTCGTAAAAAAAATTACCTGTGATTACATTTAATGTTCACTTGTTTGTAATCCATAAATGGAGCAGGCTAAAAAGTATTCAATACTAAATTAAATATAAATTGGAACTCATAATTCTCAAAGTCGTTGACGAGGGATAAAAAGAAATTATAAAAAGTTTTAGTAAAATAGTGAAAAATAATGGAAATGAAGATTCGGGCTTTTCCTCGTTGCAAAAAATTGTTTTTTTTTTATTCAAAAACAAACGGCTCTACCAGTTTCGGTCACGGTCTGCGACCCTATTTCATGAGCAAACGCGCTGCTCGCTGACTGTTTTGTGTTTTGAGCTCCTCTTCACGAAAAGCCTTTATAGATTATTTTAAAGTAAATTTTATGACCATTTTGAGACTATGATCTATATAAAAAATAATTTGCGCTAAAACGGAATTGAATTATGAAAAATGATCCAACAATAGGAAGCACAAACTGAGGTTACATTAAATTCATATACATTGATTACAAAGCCAAATTTAATAGAATTTTTTCCTTATCATTTTATAATTAGCGAAACAAGTTTCATTGACGGGAAGGAGCAGCTGCTTGTAAAAGCCTGGTGCATTTGAATTTATCTCTTCTGATTTTTATAGGTTTTTAAGGGTTTTTAAGAGAGACAGACGAATTTTATTGACAGGCCACGAAAATTTTACAACTGCATGCGAGAGTTCGTGTTTATTTTTTTCATTAATTAAAGAGTGCCGACAATGCAGCATGATGGGGGCTCGAAATTCGCGCGAAGTGAAGAGACACGGGCGGAATAATAATAAAAAAAAAAATGATATCACCTGAAGCAGAGAGTGACACGCGCGCCTTGATTGATGAATTAACATTGACGATAGTTGCGATAAGCCGTCGAACAAGAAGGAAACCAAACAAACGGGCAGCGATCAATTTGCTAATGCCGAGATAAGAAGAAAAAAAAATAATATTATACAAGTTCGTCGATATAACAAAAGAAAGAAATTGTTGTTGAATGGCAAAATATACAGGGGAGTCGATAAAACTGCAATAAAATAAACACTTGGTGACGTGCGCGTCTGTGCCCGCCCGGTGTATGTTTTTCCCTTTGTGTGATTTACTGTTAAGCGCACAATGCAAATCAGCCGAGTGTGAATGAACACGTTCGGGGGATTCCTCTTTGTGTACACATGCAAAGCTGCGCCGGTGTGCAGTCCATCTGTAATGCGAGTAATGCACGTGTAATATGCACCTCGTTTGGTGCAGCGACTCAGAATAAATCGGCTCCAAAGCAAATCGAGCGGAAGTTCAATTACAAAACGGGGAAATATTACTTACTTTCAAAAGAGACAATTTTTTATCCAAAAGTGTAAATATTATTTCAAAGAGGAAATTTAGATGTTTTTAAAAAATGATATGATTTTTTTTTTTGTATTTAGTTTCATTTTCATTTTATGCATCTGCTGATAACTGGTGAAGAGTCTTTTTTAAACATTTCTTTTTATTATTTATTTTTATTATTCAGGCTCAAATTATTGTATGAAAGTTATGGAAACATCATTATTGTGATTCATTTTTCAAAAGTTCATATTCATAAAAAAGCAATAAATTATTTAAAAATTTTCTGATTGCAAAATTATTTAAAATTTAAATACATAGTTTAATACTCTATCACCAAACCAGAAAGTGAATACCTGAAAGTGAAACATAAAAATAAATTATTGTAATCAATTGTAATAAAATTCATACATTTAAAATTTAATATAAACTAAAATTCACTATATTGTATTTACTTGATTTCATTAACAAATATTATTAACCAATGCAAAATTAAATCAACTGTTTTTTTTCTGGGCGAGTCTGCACTTTTTTTATTCTACACATTTAACCATTTCATACATAATCAATTTTCCAAAAGCAAACAGAGAGCGATTTCAAGCTAATTTTAGAATGCGCAGAGGTACCGTGCAGTCTCGTCACACCAATTCCCGTTTTTCACCCTTTCCTCCCTAAACACACCCAACACCCAATTCCACACCCTTTCACTTTCCGCCGATGTATTTATGGCCTTTTCGCTCCAAATGCGTTGATTAGCATAAGAAAAGTTTTCCATCGGGACTGCACTGACGTGTGTTATGATTTATCAAAAATTGGCTCATTTCGGCTGAAAAGGCACAGATTTATTGCGTTTCCATTGTGCTTGGTGCTCGGACGGGCGGGCAGCGCGCGTCGAGTGGCCACCTGCCACCCAGTCCAACCCCCTCCCTCCCTGCAAGCGAGGGGTGGCATCCCTCTGTGTGTTAACAAGCACCTGCCAAGAGCGGCTCTTTGCCGAAAGCGCGCGGCCCCTCCCCTTGCCGGGGGTGGCAATGGAAAAGTGCCATAAATGCGAAGTGCACCCCGATTTCCATAATCAGTGCATTCGGGGCGCTGCCGCGGAAACACCTCGTCCAAACGAGACCAATTCCGATCGTGACATTCATCAGCAAGGCCTATGGCGATTTGGTCAAAATCTGAGAGTAAGTTATTATTATAACATTTAACTTACTATATTTTTTTCATTTGTAAAATTATCCCTAAAAAAATTGTATATTTGAAAATTTTATTTTTGCTTTTGAATCGAATTTTTGATCATTTACATTTTTTGGCGTCCTTGCCGACATTTTCCTCTCATTTCTTTTATTCTCAAACGAATGTCAATTTTCTTTTAATAAATTAAGAGAAAAACTTTGGCATTATTTTGTGAATTTTTCATTTTTTACAAGAGAGATAAAAGCTTTTTCAGTTTATCACCACCAAATCTCCCAGCTCTAGTTTAAGCAACTTTACAAGGCAAAAGTTATCGATATTTTCTTCTAAAATTTTTTAAAAATTATACCATGAATGAAATCAACATTAGTTGAGAAAAGTTAATTAAATTTATCCATGATTAAATGAAGGAAGATAAGTTGCTCTTCCAATAATTAATTTCATACAATCGAACAGATTTGAAACTTAAATCTTTGCAATTCTAGAGCGCATATTTTAAATTATGAAATGAAATTCCATTTGGTTTTCAATTTTAGATTTCTATTATTTTAGACTTTATTCGGTTCAAATTTTTGAATCATCAATTTTTTGGCTACCCACGTTTCTAATTATTTGTTAAATTTATTATAATAATCCTATTAATAATCCAGTACACAATGTGTTGCAGCGTCATGAAAAACTTGCCAAGTTAATTAATTAGCAATTTTCAAGAACTTTACAAATGTGTGAAAAAAAATAAAAATATTTTTTTCGTTTATTGTTTAATTAAATTTCAGAATAATAAAAATTATAAATTAGATGAATAGAAATATTATTTATTATTTATTATTATTATTATTTTTTTTTTTTTGATGCAATAAATTTTGAATATAAGAATTTCTGTTTGTATGATTAACAATTTTTAATATTTGAATTCAATAGTTTCAGATATTATGTCTAGCAGTATTGACGGCTCGCCAAACGCCCCTTGCAGCAGTCCAGACGTGATGTCCTTCAACCTGCTTCGCAGCACCGACGACAGTTGCTGCGCCGACTCGGAGTACGAGTTTGACCTTTGCCCTCAATCCTCGCCCCGTCGGCCGAAAAACCGCTCCAAGGGAGGTCGCAGCAGGGGCCAGACGCGCAGCCCGACGCAGACGATGCGTCTGAAGCGGGTTCGCCGGGTCAAGGCCAACGACCGCGAACGCAACCGCATGCACCAACTGAACCACGCGCTGGACAAGCTGCGGTGCGTGTTGCCCACCATCCCCGAGGACACCAAACTGACCAAAATCGAGACTCTGCGATTCGCGCACAACTACATCTGGGCACTGTCACAGACCCTGGGCATCGCCGACGCAGGGTTGACGCCCCCGGGGGCAGACTTCGAGTACACGGCTAACGGCGGCGTGACCCTAAACGTGGGCAACGTGACCGTGTCCATCGGCGCCAACGGCGAAAACGTCATCACGTCGACGGCCGGCAGTTTGGCCCAAGTCCGGCGCACCCAGATGGACAGTTTGCTGGACAGCTGGGAAAGGGACTCGACCCTCAGCAGCAACTCAAGCTACCACGAGCAGGTCACGCACTACCCGGTGACCTCGCCCGACCAGACCGTCGCGCCCTACCCTGACTACCACCAGTGCATGATGGCCTATAACAACAACACCAGCTACTGCAGCAGCGGCTACGCCAGTTACTCGTGATAGCATATATTTATTTTGAGAATAAATACTTATAAAGTGCAATTATTTATTGTAAATATGAATATTGTAAATATTGAGTATTTTTTTTATATACAATATATTTATTTTAATTTTGATAAAAGGAATAATTTGTTATTTAAATCTATCAATTGAAAATGCTATAGTAGGATTAGCTAACAACAGAGGCATCTTTTTTCTGAGAAAATATAAATTTTATATTGTTTGATTAAAATGCTGGGTAGTAATTTTTCTTTGTGCTGAAAATCTTCACATTGAATTAAAAAAAATATATATTCTAAATTCTCCACTGGATATGAATGAATTTAAAAATATGATTGGAAATTTATCTTTCAAATCATGGGTGAAATTGTTAAAGCATAAATTTTAAAGTCTTCAGAAAAAAAATCTAATATAAACTAATCTCTGAATTAAAAATAATGCAATTAACGTTTTGCTAAATATTTGAAATAAATTTTTAAAAAGTCTTTGCTTTCGAAGGTTGATTCATATTGTTTAATTGAAACTCTGATATATTCCTGATCCAAACTAGAAATGTCAAATTCCAATTGAAACTCCTTATTTAATTATAATGTGAAGGTAACAAATTGTTCCTAGTTTTTGACAAGATCAATTTTAATTTTGTGTCTCATTTTCAGTAAAATCACACATGTGTCTTATTGAATACTATTATGTTTATTGAATAAGGGAGCCAGAATTGTACAAATCGATGTGTACATAAAAGTCACAAAACAATAAAGCTAATTATAATCTCTCAAATCCCCACGGATTTCATTTCTCAATGTATGAAACCCATTATCCGCAACAACTGCAAGTCGAACAATAACAGCAATAAATTCTAGGAAAGTCCCGAGGGAACTTCCTTGGCGCTCTGATTATTTCTATTTGGCTGATTCGAGTGTGCTGATTTTGAGAGAGCTGCATCCTCTCTCCTTTTCTCTCTCTTTTTTGAGAGCACTCGAGAGTATCTATCGTGAGTGGCCGCCGCGCATCATCAAAACCTGCCGCCATTATTCCCTAATTTGCCATCCACCAGCGGAACACTGATGGAAAATACACTTTCGAGAGCCTCTTGAACAACTTCCCCGCATGCAGTTCGGTCGGTGCATCAAGGCACTTAGCCTTTTTGTTCGGAATTAGAGGGAGCTGCGACTTTTTGAGTTGAAAGAAGAGATTTGAACTGTTGCAAAAGCAGCGACCGCGATGCACGCACATGCGTTACAAGGAGTGCTGAAAAAAGAACACACATTGCGGCTTGTTTCATTCATTGTTCGCATATAGTGGATTCTTTCCAAGATTTTCATCAATGATTTACGATATCCTTTAGTATGATCAGCAGTTGAAGATACAAAAGTAATACTTTAATTTATTTAAAATTGAGTAAATATGTTTGAATGAGTGCAATGTACATTTTAATGTTAGGCCAATAAAACTGAAGTAAATATCAATTTTACTAACTTTAGTTGCTTTAAATTTAATTAAAATAATCAAATATTTCTTAGAGAACAAAGAATTCAATATTTTTAATAATAATTAAAAGTATTGCTTTATTATTTTAAGTATTATTTCATTATTTAATTTTATTTTATAATATGATATATGATCATTAAAAATGTGTATTTTCATTAAAATTATCAGATCAAAACAAATACGTTGCAAGAGCACCTTCAAAGTTAAAATAATGAGTAGAGTGTCTACGCAATACATAGAAGATCATATTTTTCTTAGCATTGTATCTAATTAAAATTATTAATACATAGTAATAATAGTTAAAGAAAACACATTTAAATTTATATCTTATTCCAAATCATATGATAATTTATTTGTGTATCAAATTTAATAGAGGTAAATACTAGATTGCAAAATATAAATAAATAATTTATCTATTTGATGCATAATATAATATTTGTGGGAATATAATGATTTCACTTTAATATCTGGGCGAAAACGTAAAATTTTAAATGTTATTGCGATTTTGAACAGAGATAAACTAATAGTCGTAATCAATGAATTATTGAACAATGATTTTTTCAATGCATAATGTATAGTTTTCCAATTAATCGGATAAAAAACAACAACAATATTTTTTAAGTCTGTAAAGGTCTGAGAAATAAAACTAATAATTAACAATTTAATTTGAATACTGATATTTTTCTAATAAGAAAAATCTCCTATTTATTTATTTCAATTTTTTTCTGGCTTTCATGAATAATAATCAATAATAATTAATAATTTAAATTACACTAGTGACCATAAGACCCTATGAACTTCGCCGCAGTGATACTTCAGGTTTTTAACAACATACGCAGTAAAATAATAATAACCTTTCAAAAAAAAAAAAAAAAAAAAAACATAATTATCAGTTCCAATTTTGTCAAAATTTCAATAGTTACAAAAAAATTCTAAAAATAGAATTATTCCCCTAGAGATTATCCCCAGATTAGAAAACAAAATTATGTTAATAGACCGTCGCACAACAAGCGTAGCGAATCCAAAATGAATAATTCAGCACGCGTGCTTAATGCACTTGACCGCGGCTTGATTACGTCTCCAGCTGCCGCACCACATTTAAACGTATCAAAACCAGCCCAAAGGTCAACTATCAAATAGCATGGGTATGCATTTCAACTGATTATCCACGGCACGTGGCCGGTAGTGTGCCGGAAATTACTGCGTTTGCCATGCCTATTTCCCTGTAATTCGCTGTGTCAACATGAAACGGAGGCATGAAATCATTTCCTCGGCACCGAACGACGAAAACCACCCTCGGAGAGCGAAAAGCAACCCCCTGGCCGAGCCAGCCTAAAAATAAAATGCAATTTGATTACTGATGCTGGGTGAATGAAGCACAAAGAGATTTAAAAGTCTCTGGGGTGGCAGCTGCGCCCCGCGTAGCCCCCGGCCCCGCCGGTCCTTTGTCCTCTCGGCGACACCCCTTCGAGCTATAAAAACTAACCGGGTATGAATATGATCGAAACCTGCACCCCCTTTCATTCGCTTCAAAGGGAGAGAGAAAGAGAAAGCGGCCGCTTTTAAAGGATTACCGCGATTCCCGGCGTCTATTACTTAAGATTACGCCGTCGGTAATACGCTCATAAAATTTGATTAATCAGCTTATCGTGTGGTTTGCACTTTACAATGCATTCTTTCTTTTTTTGTTCGTGTACTGATCGACGACGCTTGATTTCTGCGGAAACAATCGACGCTCGATTGGCATCGCGGGCCAAGTGTTGCTTCGCGTGCCCCACATTCGAACACCTGCGTTCAGCCGGGGGTGCAAAACATACAGCGGGTGCAACAACCAGCACGCACATTGTGGACGTATGATTCACTGATTGCACTCGAATCATAAAAATAATGACAACCAGTCAAGCGAGTCCGAGTCAGACAAAAACAGAGTAGTGAATCAGAGCAAAGCGTCGATTTTGTTTTGAAAGGGTTTTCTAAACAACACTCCAAATTGAATGTATTCGATTTCCAAAAGTTCTTTTCAGACAAAAAATTTAAATATTGGAATACACCATACACAGTGCTTCACTGCAAAATTTTTTCTTGCTGTCAAGAATACAAAATTTATTTTTGACTTTTATTTTGATGTTTATTTATAATGATGATTTAAAATTTAATTATATCAGTTGTTTTATTCATACTTTCCTAAAATCGGATGTAAATTATGGATCAGTTCAAATGTTATTATTATTTTTAAATTGTAAAATCGGAGGTTTTTGTTCATTTTTATAATGTTTGATGAAAATGAGTAAAATTTAGTCAGCTTAAGGATGTGGAAGATTGAAAATTCCATTAAATTTACCTAATTGAAAGTTATAACAATATGTATTATGGCAAGCACACAACTCTGATGTCATTATGAGTATCACATACCAACATTATATAAAATGAACTAGTATTATTTAACAGGAAAGCGGCTTGTTGTTAGTTTCTCATTTTTTTTCTGATGTTATGACGTGGTTAGAATGTTCAAGAGCACAATTTCGATTCTACATAAATTTTTAGTAAGTTTAGAGATTAATAATAATTGAATACTTGATAGATAAAAAGTAACTTTGAAGTTTCTAGTTTACAATTTATTTGTATGTAGTATGATTAAATCATCCTCCAATAATTGAAAATTTTATATTAATTAGTACTTCTTTGGTTACAAAGATTGCACAAAATTGTAAAAAATATTATAGTTTTTATGAGCATACAAAATTAAAAAATTTATTTAATTAAAAATTATAAATAATAATAATAAGTTGCTCAAGTTTCTACTGAAAAATATCTGAAATATTAGAAAAATGATAAAATTATTAATTAGAATTTGGCACTTGTTTGTCATTTTAGTTTTATTACTTGGAGTTGCTAACTATTAACTAAAAATTGCGCAACTAAAAAGGCATAGGCCTACAAGATTTTGTCTTGGCCTGACCCTGAAACAAACTGTATGTAATCAAATAAAAGATTTAAATATAGCAGAGCGAATAAAAGCCACTATGTTCCTTTAAATTCTAACATGTTGAAATTATTGTTCATTTTGGTTGCTACAAATTTGTCATTTCGAACCCAATAATCATTCCTTTGAAACGAAATTTATAAATTTTGTGAGATAATTTAAATTATAATTTTTTTTTTTATGAAATGAAGCGTATAATGCAAGAATTGACATCTCTTGAGAAGTGCATTAATGCAATTTCTATGTTAAAGTGGCCGCGGCGATCCGCGGCGGACGCTCAGCTAATTGATCTAAATGGAGTGTCACTCGCGTCTCTCGCGCCGGCTGCACTTTATTATTTTTCACCCCCGACTGCACACGTGCAGTGTGTCAGTGGCTTTAAAAACAAACGTTTATCTTATGATAAATTGCGTCGAGTGGGATACACCGCGTTAAAGGGGTGGCCGATCTATTATATCATTTTTTTAAATCTGCCGTGCCATTAAAGAACTTGATGCTTTTTCGTGTTTACAGCGTGACAGGTCTCTCTACTCTTGTCACGCCAACGCGCCCCCGCTCTGAATTATTGAAAAGCGGCTTTGTCTCGCCTGATTTAGAACGCGGCGACACTTCATTTCGGCCTCTTTGTGTTCTGATCTACTTTGGTCATTTGCATTATAATCCACCGTGATTAGTCGTGTTGTCGGCTCTTTATCCGCGTCTGATCAATTTTCACGCACCTCTCATCTGAATCAAAAACAGAATGCATCTGCACGAATACATACAAGTTCAATGTAAATCATGACATAAATTTGCATTAAGGTAGATAAAACAAATTCTGGTTTTGGATTATAATTTTAGAGCGAGTTTCAAATCTAATTATTTTATAAATTTTTGCCTAAATTATACATTATAATTTTTAAACTGGTGAAATGGAATCAAAATTAATGGTTATATCATCAGTTAACTTTGTCTATTTTATAATATTATTTCTATAGCAATGACAAATTTTTGTCATCATAATTATTCAATTTTATTGTAGTAAAAAAAAAATTGCATAAAAAGCGATAAAGTTTTTTTAATATAAATATTTTATGCTTTTTTTATAATGGAGTTAAAAATTATTCAAATTAAAAAAAAAAATTGTAACAAAATTATAAATAAAATTATTTACTAATTGATTATTATATGATTATTAAATTTTATTTTATGCCATGACTATGATAACTATGTATTTATGAGCAATGAGAAATATTTAATGAATTTAGGAAAGCGTACGCTGAATTTTTCACGAAGCACAATATCTTGATTTGCAATTAATATAGTTTTGCATTGCATAATTATTAGTAAAATGAATCCTGATATTGTGGAAAAAAATATGTACTCCTATAATAGAAAAATAAGGGCCCAAGCTAGATTTATTGAAAATTTTACCACCCCCTTTCAACCCTCTAGAACGGCCACCCCATTAACATTGCAGAGCTCGCGCTCCCCCTCGATCCTCTATTGAACTGCGGCTTTGATCTTCTGCCGCGAGCTGGCGGCACCACTTGGCAACACAATTTAATAATGCGTCAATTTCATTGAATTGGTCATATATTTGTTGAAATTGATAAAATATAATTATTCACTGACAGTACTAAATTTGGAAAATTGCAAAGTCAAAAGTGGTGAAAAATTATTCAAAAGTTTTAATAACGATTGTTTAAACTTTAAATTCAACAAACTATAATATCTCTATTTAAAGATAATTAAATAATGAAATTTTTACTTTACACCGGTATACACAAAATCTGAAAGATTTTATAACTGAAGATATTTCAAACAAAAATTTTTGTTATATATTATCCATCTTCATTGTGAATAATTGCAATTATGTATGATTTTGATAAAATTGTATCTGACTGACACACTTTGAAACTATTCAATGGAAAATTTATTTAAAAAAAGAAAAATAATATATCCTTGAAAATCCTCATCCCATCTCATTTTTACTCATTTGGCTGTAATGAAGTCATTTATTAAAATGATTAATCCCACTGCTCGTTTCATGCATAGCAAGACACCACGGCAGACATAATAGATAAATTTAAATTACAAAAATAATTATGGAACTCAAACACAATAATAAAAATATCTAATTACTAGTTACATCCTTGAATTAATTATATGTTCAAACAAATACACACAATATACGAGCAAGTCCCCAGCAGAGACCTTGTGAATTCAATATAGCAATATGGTCCTTGAATATCTGCACCAACCCTCTATAAAATGGGATGAGTTTCACATGGAAGAAGCGGGGGGAAATTTCAGTGCACTTATAATGGAAAATTTTAGACACCAGACAAGCTATAGTAAACAAATACATATTTTGCATTTAAATCGTAATAAAAAATAAAAAATTATTCTGTTTTATGTAATTTACAATTCCCTTTTTAGAATATATACTGCGTAGATTTAATGGAGAATAAAGCTACATATTTTTTTTTCTAGTTGAGAAGAAAAAATATTAAAAATTGACGATCAACGTAATTACAAAATTTACTTTTCACGTAGTAAGATCCTGAAAATTGAAAATGAGGCCTAGTAAATTCCTCAATTTTAATGAAAGTAATTTGAATTTTAGCAGGTAAGAATTTTGATATGCTTTATTCCATGCTTGAACAAGAATATCCTATAAGTTATCTTTACCGAGTACAAGAACTACGAGCCAATTTGTGATTTTGTAACAAGAGCATTTCAAAACGTTGATATTTCAAAGCGGACGGAATCTACGCAACTAGCAAAGCAGATTGCACAGCGGCATTAAACGCGAGATTAAATTAATTCACTGTGTGCTTATACAACCTGTGCAGTCAGCGTGCCCGTCGGATTGCCTAAACGGTCGTTCGCAGGCGCTCGATTGCGGCACAAAGGTGCTGCGCCACAGTGAAACTGGAACGGTTTCAGCATCGATGGCACCAATGGACGGGTTGCAACACTTGAGTGTGCAAAAAAGGGAAAAATCGTCTGCTGTTGCCATCCGCAATGCAAAATTCATTGAGGCCATAATGCGAATTTCATTCATGCGTCTGCTCGCCGCGAGCACGTGGACGGGCGCACGCGCCGATCGGGGTGCACCACCTTAAGCTGCGTCGCCAACGAGAGGGCAGTTTCCAAGAGGCACCCGAACGTCGAATACACACGCGCGCCTCACAACGCGACGAGCCACCAACGGTCAGCCTCGATCACCACACCTTCATGGTATTCTAATTTTCTCTCTTTAAAAATACCCAAAATAGAATCATTCTTGTTAGGAATATTTTCATTAAACTTATTCTGCTGCAGTCAAACTTATAGTGCTAAAATTGTGACAAATTCTTATTAAAAATTTTTATAATTTTATTTATTAATTTAGAATAAGTTATATGTGGGGGGGGGGGGGCGCTTAAAAAATAATGCTTGGATTCAAATTTTTTTACCGTGGTTTAAATGGAAAACTACAATGTTTTTAAGTTTCAATAAATTTTTAATTCTCAATTTTTCCGATTTTTTATATGTATGTTATAAAATGGTGCCAAGGTGCTTTTTGGAGAACAGGGATACAAAAGATTTGGAAAAAATGGAGTTATTTTGGAATACTTTCTTAGGACCTGAAAGTTTGTTCTAATTGTCGAAAAACCGTAAAATTCCACGTTTTTCTTCCTCTAAACGATCAATCAATCCTAAATTTCTTTTTTCACAGCATTATGTTAAAAAGTATAAAAAATGTCTAAAAATCATAAAAATTTATTTAGCGCTATTTTAGCTTTTAACCCATATAAAATATTCATTGCTGTTATAAATGATAAAAGTTAAAGCTTTTTTGGAAACAATTGGGATTTTAAAGCTAAAAAGAAAATTGAATTGAAATAGTCCGATTGGACAGGTCACCATACTTAAAGTTAAACTAATCAGATCTGTACTTATTATAAAATTTTCAAATTTAATTAATCCTGTCAACATTGAACACTTATTAAGTTTTGTATTAATCTTATCGGTGTTACGGAGAAACCTGAGCAAAATCTTCTTTTCATTTTTTTAATGAGCTCCAAACTATAAAGGCAAATCCCAAACTCACCCCCAAGTTAATCTCTACGAACTATAACAAAACCAACTAACTCTACTCACTCCAAGTTTTGGTTCTCATGTCATGGTGGAACTTTTCAAAGCTCAGCTGCAGCAGATTTCTCAATTTATTCTCGCTCCTATAAATCCGCCAAAGTATTTAGTTGGCTTAAGCAAAGTTAATCAAAATATTTTATGCCTCCGTTTTACGAGCAGGGGTGCGAATGGCAAATCGATGCTGCCGTCGTATAATCAGTGCACTCTGGTTCCAGGGACCAGGAAAGAGAATCATCGTTCTTGGGTTTGATTTTGTTCCTTTATGTTTAGAGTCAAAATTATAACAACAAAAAAATTAATTCAAGCTCAAGATAATATATTATATAAATTGCTTGGGTTTATTGATGTATAAAAAGAGAAATCGTTATACCTTTATTAAGTCCATGCTGGCCGAAGATCAAGATTTCCAATTTTTAAAATTCCTCGATATCTATTAAAGAATTGCATTCCATAGTCAAAGAGTAACTTGGGGAAAAGCACCGCACATTTTCACAAATTTTTCAAAGCACTTAACACAAACACGGAGAATAAGCCCGCACTGCGCGGGAATCAGCTGTTCAAATAAATAGATTTTACCACCACTCCACTGAATGTACATGCGTACATGCCATGTACCACGGATCTCAACTCTCATACCCTCTCCCCACAGCATTCCCCAGTGTTGAGAACAGGAGAGCAGCAAAAATTTAGTGTTACTTCCCAAAACAGTAAAAATAGAATAGGAAACTGTATCTTAAAATAAATTTAAAACTCGAAGTAATTCACTGTTTTTACATGATTGTGATGGTACGTAGATGCCAAGATCAGTGAGTAAATTTAAGAATAAAAGAACAAGACATATTGTATATATTTTTTTTAAAAATATAACAATTATACCGGGGTATCATTGATTTTCGAAATTTTAAACCAAGCTTAACCTCGGTGAAAAAGAAATAGAAAGCATGATCGCTTGCCCTTTTCTTTTAATTTTTTTTTTGCAACAAGGATAATTCTGGTTTCTATATTTTTCCAAAATATATTTAAGTAATTTCTATGTTTTATTTATTGCTTCTCTTGAAACTTGAATTCAAATAAAAATTTATCAATTCCCGAAGGATTTTATTTTCCTTTAAACGTAAAGTATGAGGGAACAAGTGATATTAGGTACACTCATTTTTACCTCTGTATAGATATAAAAGAGAGGTTAAACGTACATAGGGATCGATGCGCATTGATTTCTATTGAAATTTGTCAATATCATTTGAACCTCCCTCAGTCAATTTTTTTTATATTCATTTGAAAAAATAACTTCAAGAAAAGTAATATAACTGCGAGCATTTTTATGCCGTTTGACGTTGCATGAACATGTATTTATTTAGCAATGCTTGCCATTGAAAGTGATTCAGAGGGGAAAATAATATTCAAAATTAAAAAGTTTTTCATTGGAAACCTGTAGAATAGGTAGGTTAAGCTGACTGACCACTAATGAGGAAAAGTTTGCGCAAAATTTGTTTTATCAGGAAAACCGAGATTATTTTGCCAACAGCAGAGAGTAATGAGCAAAAATGAATAGGCCCCTTTCGTGGAAAATGAAAGCCAGCCGGTATTTTTTTATTTTGATACCGAACCAACAACAAATTGAAATGTTATAGACTGGAGCAATTATTGAATACGCGATAGAACTCTATACCCTAATTGTAAGTCGCCCTAAGTATTGAATGAATAGAATATAAAATCATATGCAATATGATCATTGGGTCATAGTTTCATCTCATTTCAGGGCACGATAAATCAGTGGTCGATTAAATAGGATTTGGTACACCAGAAACTACTATTTTTGAGTTTATGAATAAAAAGAAAGAATAGTGAATATTTCGAATATAATTTTTATGTTATATTGAGACAACCGATAATGTGGTGAAAAATACTCTTTTGAATTTTAATAATAAATACATCAAATATAACCTAGTGACAATAAACACCGAATAATTGGAAAAAATTGAAGCCGTTTTAAACTAGTTGAATACATAAAGAATAGATATACTTGACACCAAAATATATCTCTGTATTCTGCTTGTTCAATGCAATTCCTGTGTTATCTGAGTATGATGCATGATTATAGGATATTAATTAACACTATAGTAATAATTGAGTAGAGAAAAAATTACTGATATAATATAGTGGCTTAAAATTTCTCTGCTTGTTCCTTTTTTTCATTCTTCTCATAGATGATTCGTTACTTGAAATCAAGAATCGGATAAATTTTCAAGGTGTTGAAACAAAACTAAATTAAATTTTTGTAATATTGTAAAAATTTTAAATTTAATTATCATGTTATCATTATACGAATAAATTACACAAAAATATAAATTGAATGCATCACAATTTGTCTAAAAACTATAAGAATTATTTCCGTCACCAAACCGTTAATTTCAGTTGATCATGCAATGCCCCATATAACTTTCACTCGCACTAACCCAATTACACTACTTTATTCCACACTCATAAAAGTGCGTCCTTCCGTATAATTACTCTTAGTTTTTGTTTTGTGGGCAGACATGTAAGTGGGCGCGTTTTTAACGACAAGTTGTGCGTCCGGTCGGCCGGCCGGCGCAAAGCTAGTTTTACGAGTGAGAGCACACCTAGGACAAATAGGCTGCACTATCGTCCGTCTCAATTCATCAGTCTGCGGGATGGCACGGTGACACGCACCACTTCAACGTCGCGACATCTCTGTTCGTGAGCGTGGCGTGCGACTCTCGAGAGCTCGTTCTCAATTTTGGGCGTGCATATATTTAATGAGAGCCGAGCACCGTTATCTATTCTGATTTACGACTGGTGTGTTTTAATTAGGGCTAATTAAATTCACTTTTTGCTGCAACTGTGCGTGTCACGAGGTTCCATGTACATTTTTTTACTCTTTTTCTGTTCATATTTAATGTATTTTTATATTTTAATTTATAATTGATTATTCAATGAAGAAAACAATAATTAATATCAAATTGCATCAATCCTTTCTCGACTATTATTAGGTTTGAAATTTTTTCCTATAGGTGGGTTTTGGATGGAATGACTGATTTTTATAATCTACCTGTTGCATAATTTAGTTCTTCTTTGGAAAAAATATTACCATGCCATTGCGTCCAAAACTGCGTAAATGCAAAAATTGCAATTAATATTTCAAAAAAGAATTTTTTGTGGAGTTATTAAATAGTAGTAGCATGAAAGAAGATTAACACTAATTTATTTATCAGACAAATTGATTTTATTTAAATTTTATATCTAAATAATATAGAAATTATTTGAAAGCTTAATGTGAAAATTGCGGCTCTGAAGCACAATATAAATTGACTTTTCTCTTCATTTCAGTGGCAAATAAATTTTTAAAATTATTTGTAAAATTAAAAAAAAAATCAAATCATAACTTTTCAGTTGTAATATCAAGGTCGAAAATTCCTTCAACTAATGAGGAGCCTCACAAGCTTCAAATAACTTTACAAAGGTTAGGGCACTTTGTGTGCAAGTTGGCAAGTACTGGGCTGTCCACTCTCTCTGCCTATTTACATGGTGCGCTTCAAAGCCAGACTGCTGTGTCAGCGGTGATGCACTTTTGCATCCATTAGCTTAAAAGCTCGCAATTATAGACACACAGGAAAATCCGCTGTCGGTGCACACACAGAGTATTAATGGACGAGTAATTGAGAGCTCCAAAGACGTAAATTCTCTCCCTCGACTTTAATCAAATGGAAATCAATGTGTTGCAGTCATGGCGATTCTGCAGACATGTTGCTGTTGGCACTCGGTGCGGGCGGGCAGCTACGCCAGCGCGGCCTACACCATGGTGAGTATTATAATTATCATCACGGCTCGTCGCGGCAACGACGATTTAATTTTGCGCCATTGTTCTGCCTCGAGAAAATGATTATGTGGCACTAAAAGCTTTGCGGAAATATGAATATTTATGGGAAGCGCTAATGACTCTCATGATAAAATGCATTAAGTGGTTAATTTTCATACGGATAAAATAAACAAAAATCGTAGCATATTAGAAGCTTTTGCAAAAATGTCATGTACTTTTCTCTGTATATTTTTATATATAAAAAAATCATTCTGTAAAAAAATTAAATTGCCATTTAGTTTCCTTCCACTCCCTCTCTCAATCTAACCATAAATTTTAAATATTTTAATCAGATCCATAAAAAAAAAATGTTGCTGGGATAAATGTAGGATTTAAGCATAATTATCCTTAATTTCAACCTTTTTTGGGAGTAGATCCGCGTTGATACTGAAAAAAAAACGCAATATTATAAATGCGTACAGAGTCAGACACATTTTTGTATTAAATAAATTGCCTCGTATAATAAAAATATGCCTGAAGGATTAAAATTTTAAAATATCAATCATCTTATTTGGACTGAACTTATTTTTGGAGCCTTTTTGTCTTATCGTGTTTTTTTTTTATGAAAGCAGTAGATGCACGTAAGCATTATTTGTATGAAGTACGACTTTTCTGCTAGTTTGAGTTTAATAAATGTCGAAACCACTGCGTGTCTCGAGATCCGTCCTCGTTTGCAAATTGCACTTGAAAGCATCTCAAGACAGATGCCGAGTAATTAGTTTCTTGTTGGCGAGTTCCGGGCTTTTCATTAATAGTAAGTCTCTCCAGACATTTTGCAGTCTATTAGTGACGTGTTTCTTCTCTGAAAACACTCGCCGCCATAACCATAAGATCGAATTGCTCCGTAGCGATGAATACATTAGTCGAAGAGGCTATTAGTCGGATCAGTCGCGCTTTGTACATATTAGTTTCGCAACGACGCACGTCTTGTTGCGCTTGACGGATCATTTGCATAATTGCGTTTGCATTAATGGCCCTCAAATTATCTGGACGCGGCGACCTTCCCTCTGAGAAATCGACCAGAAGTTTTTAAAGTTAAAAGAGCATTAAATTGAAATAAATTAACCCTTTGAAGTGGATTTCAAAAGCGCTGGTTTAAAAAAAATCATCAGTTTTGGATAGAATGCATCAAATTCAAAATCAAAACTCATCAATACAGGCAAATGTATCTGAAAAATATTTAAAAAAAAATTAAATACTCTAAAAAAATTATTCTTCTGAATTAATTTATAATTACATTTTTATGCGTTTTATTATGAATCATAACATTTAATTTCAGAACGGACGTTTTAATTAAAACAGTTTAATTGCGATCTTCCAAAAGCAAATATTTAATATTCAACAAGTGCAAATTATTGCTTCTTGCCAAAGTTGGCAATTCAAATTCAATAGACGCTTGTAAGTTAGAATCAAAAAGCTTATTCGAGCAAAGACTCATAATTTTCAGATCAAAGGATGTTGCTATCAATAATTCACCAGCCACATGTGCATCGCTTCGGTTGAGATTAACTTGGTTGCTACGGGGGTTTAATGAGAAAAGGCGGCTTTGAACCAGAGCTCACTTTGAACCTTTAAATTGCACCCCGTCGTCGGCACGCGATTTTCCAACAAGCGCACACTTCGCGGTTACGTAATGGACGCGCTAGTGGAATTGAGAACGAAAGCAATTTGTGCATGAACTTGTAAATCAGAAGGCTGGAGTAAATATTTAGTCAGTTGTGTGTTTAGCCGCGAGCAAGCGAGGGTGGTACACTTTGGAATAACATTCCGACTTGGATAGTCAGTGTAATGGGTACTTTTCCACGAACTCCGCGTGCGGTTGTCCAGACCACCAGATTCTCCGGCGATGGCCAAAAGCGGAAGAGTGTTCGGTAAAATTTTGATGAGGCGATGAGTTATGCCGCGAGAGAAGCGAGTCGCGCCCGCTGCTAAAAAAAGAACTTGGCGTTCTGACACAGCATGTGTTAGATATGTTTGCTGCCAGTTTTGACAAATTTTTTATTCTACAGAATTGTCTGTTTTGCCAATTTATCACACTTTCATACTTCATTATATTTTTTATGTATTTAAATATATACAATGTTTAATATGCTTTCATTACTTTATAACGCAATCAATGCAACTATTACCGCTTTTACGAAAATTTTATTTTTGAATTTGAAATTTAAAATCTAGCAATAAGTGATTTTTTAACATTCCAACTATTATTTCAAACGGTAAATATCAGAACACGCAGATTTTTTTATTTAAATTTTGCATTTATAAGTTTGCATCATTAATCTTGAAGAATTCCATTCGTAGACGCATTAAATAAATGATCAGTTACATCCAGAGATTAGGGCTATTAATTGTTACTTATTATAGCACTAGCGATTTTTTAATGTTGCCCGTTTTTCACATAACTGATCAAAATAAATGAAATTTTTTAAAGCAAAATCTTTTTTTATTTGTCTATTGAACCAAATTTTTTTTTAACTTAATTACATGAAAGAAAATCAATGAGCAGTAAATATGATTAATTTTTCCACAATTTTCTAGTCTTCATAATTCACTAACGATATAAGTTGCACTTTAAGAATAACGTGAAACATAACTGACATTTAAACTTAATTTTTTCCTTATCTTTTCAATAGTCGACAAATTAAATTAGTTTATAAATTCATAGATCCATAATACTAAACTTCCAATATTAAATAAACAAATAAGGAAGACATACATTTCAGGTCAATCAAACATAAATCTGACGTATCATGGTAACCCATGTCTTTTTCTGATTTACTTGTTACTTAGTCTCTCTCTGCAACTCAAACCCTCTCTTTTGAAATGCATCTCTCTCTCTCTCACTTCTTGCCCCCCGTCGTAAATGTGTGACGACTACCGCTTCGCTTAAGGGCTCCTCTCAAAAGTGTTTTGATGGACAATAAAATCTTTCTCGCTCTCAATGGTCGAGGGGCGCGGTTGGCGAAAAAGCGGCCGGAGTGCGCGAAAGTGGGTGATGAGGGCCGTCTTCTTTCGCAACCCTCCATTTTATGGCCCTGCATTAATAATTTGACACGCTTCTCTGCGAACTGACTGGCGACGAATTTCCTGATAGCTATCTATATAACAGAGAACTCTGCGTTTGGCAACTTGGCAACTCACCGACGATGTGAGATTTGAATCAATATAATATAATACCTGCGGTAAAGCAAGAGTTTCCATCTATTTAAATTGAGGTAGACAGAAGTAGGAAAACATTATGCTGTACTAAATTTAATAATTTCTCGTAAACAATTCAATCTCCATAATTTTGGCAAAAATATTTTATAATTAAGGTTCCAAAATAGAAAAATCAGAATGATTTATGAAGTGTAAAGAAAATAATAAAAATAAAATCTGCGTTTGACTGATTTGCACAATCTCACTCACAGTCACTATTGTACCTATCTATAAATTTATTTGAAGATGAAAACTTTTGGATTAAATTTTATAATTATTATTCGTAGGGATTTTTTTTTACACATATTCACAAATTTTCATACACAAATATTAATCTAAAAAACATCCTTTTGCAAGGTCAGAATGAATTTCTAGTGCTCAAATTTGCATCAAGTTTTCCGCAAGTTGAAAAATACCTGCCGGTGCTGCATCAACCGAGAGATAAAACCATTAAAACCAAGCGCGAGTTTCATTAGCAGCAAGCGCGAAAACCAATTATTTCCTCTCGGAGGAAAATAGAGCTGAAATACGAAAATGATTGCTCGCGATATTAACCCACATGTCTGGTGCCGGTGATTGAATATTTTCAGCATTTGCATATCGAGGCACGGTTAGATGGAGCGAGAAAAGATGCCACGCTGAATTTGCCCTCATGCAAATTTATTCCCCCTTTTCGCATGCAAATTGCAAGCTCTCTCTTGATGCAAATATAAAATAAGCGGTTGCTGAATTTTTTTATTGTTGTTGCAGCAAAAAGCCGTTGATGGATTATAGAGGCGCGAGTAAGTGACACATTCCTTAATGTATCGGCTGGAATACTTTTTATGCTGGGAAAAGCTCCGGCCTCCGGTGAAAGTACTCTCTGATTCTCCAAAAAAGCTTTTAATGTCTTGATTGATGTATGGTTAACTTGTAATTCTGGACATTTGATATTGCGATTGAACCCTTTTAATCCATATGGATGATTGAAAATAATTGTATAAATTTTCTGTGTTTTAATTTGCTCTTTTAGAAATTGTATATTCAAAACATAAAATTAACCAAATTAAAAACTCCAGAAAAATTCTCAAAATGACCCGTTTACGTCATGTATGGCTGACTTGGCGTTGTTGGCCGAGTTAAACCAGTAAATCAGAAGTAATTATAAGCCTCCTAGGTCAATTTGCAAAAAAAAGAATAAGAACGTGAAGGGATGAACTTACTTTTCCGGCGGCGAGTCCGACTGGCTTGAGAGCTGCTCTGCCGAGTCCGTTAGCTTCGGTGCTACGCCGACTCGAGGGCTTCTTCTCACGTCGCATTTCCTCCGACTTTCGCCTGTTTCGGGCCGAATTTGAGCTCAATCTTGATACCGGCGAGACACGATGCACTTTATCAACAAAGAAAGCCATACTAGGATGTTCTGTGGGCGTGTCCGGTTGTCTATTGTGGGAGAAAAGCGGGAACGAGTTTAGCAACCCGACAAATCTTTCTAGAATGAATTTATCAATATAATCATCTGATTAAGTTTTAGATTTTTTGCGACCGAAAAGTTTACATTTTTAGAATATTTAATTAAGGCAGGAGGAAAATCGCGGCGTAATTCTCATTTTTCGATCCCGGTTTCAGCATTGGTAGTCTACCAAAAATACATAATTTTGACAACTTTTGGCCCATGAAAGAAATTTCAATTAATTTAATTATCTACATTTTTCTGTAAGGGTTTATATCATGTATTTTTGATTTTTGTATTTTTTTTTTAAGTAATA